GATTTCAAAAGGGGCCGGACCGCAGACGGCAGACTGACTGAGTCACCTCGTTCATATATAATAATAATAATATATACGAGAAAACAGCCGCACTTTGTCGGCCGGGAAAATTGAAAACCCCGGGGCTCATTACTCTATTGCAGGAAGTGGAAAAATTATTCCTCTCCGTTGATGTACGAAGCAATATTATAAATTATAAACCTATTCGGCTATTCCTCTTCTCACCTACCATCTCCCACCACCGGAGACGAACAATAATTAAACTACGAAACAATCAATCCCTGAACTCTCCGCTCACCGGAACTTCATCCCAAATCCTTAGCTCCTCCTCCTGTAACCAGCCATGGCTTTCGAGAAGATCAAGGTTGCTAACCCCATCGTCGAGATGGACGGTGAGATCTTCTTCTCCTTTTGCTGATGATCACCGTGCAATCATTTCCTGTTTGTTTCGTTGAATTTTTTTTTTTTCTCCCTTTGATCTATTTGGTTGAGTTGCGATTGAAAGATTGCGGTCGTGATTTGGATCAGCTGAAACGTGCTTCTAATTTGATTTGCGATCTGGAATCTGAGAGAGATAGAAAGAGACTCGATGTTTTATTGTCACTACAGCCATACTGACACATAAACAGAGGGAGTTTCTCATCCAGATGCAGGATCATAGTTATGAGAATTACCTTTTGTAGTCAGTCGCCATTTAATATGGGCTATATGAGGCTAGTGGTAGCGGAGTGTGTCTGGCTGACTGTCGCCATTTGATCTGGGCTATGGGCATGGTCCAAGCCAGTTGAAACTTTAGAGGAGGCTACTGTTAATGGAGTGTGTCTGGCTGACTTTATCGGGGTCATTGTTGGCACAAGCACAAATGTCATGTTTGGGTTGTTCTTAATGCCAGTTTTTGCCTGTGTTAAAATTCGATTCTATTCACTAAATGTGTTATGTGTTTGTTGCTGTTTTGTTGCTTCAATTGATGTGTATTGGATCAGCGATTCACTTACAAGTTTGCCTTTTACAGGAGACGAAATGACTCGAATCATCTGGAAGTCCATTAAGGATAAGGTACTTAAGGATATGTGTTATGGTCATTCAGAAAGCAATTCTTTACCATTTTCAGCGCAATGCTTTACGTTTTGCGACTTATGAATTCTCGGTTTTGATTCCTTGTCCAGCTTATTCTTCCGTTTTTGGAATTGGACATTAAGTACTTTGACCTTGGCCTTCCACATCGTGATGCAACTGATGATAAGGTTACCGTTGAGAGTGCTGAGGCTACTCTCAAGTAAGTTTTCCTGCATAGTTTCTATGAAGTTTCTCTTATATGAATGTTTATATCACATTTCCAGATCTTTATGAGTCTTGCGTACATATTTCGCCTCTTTTCTTTTCCATTCCTTTCCTTTGTAGTTTGAACCAGTTCCTTCTTCTTCCTGGCATTTTATATCCCCCCTTTATTCTGAATATAGTACTACAATTCTTGTGCGAACAAGGTAGTTTTATCATGGATAAGGTTTCTAATATTATCTACTAACAAATTCACAAGGAAGCATTAAATATAATAAAATTAGTTATCTGCAGTTGTAGATGTGCTTTCTATTTGCTACCTTCAACCCTTGCTGCCAGTGTTTTGTGTCATACATGGGATAACATCACATTGATCATCTTCCTATTATTGGATTTATAGGCTTGTGACTTCTTTGTGTTCACTGAATTCTTCTTTCCCCCTCGATTAGGTATAATGTTGCAATCAAGTGTGCAACAATTACACCAGGTATGCTTCCATTTAGTTAGAAAGGATGATCTGCTCATCCTAAACATCTGTGTACTGTTACTACAGTTGTGGATTCTTTAATTGGATAAGGACTAAAATTTGACTTATGATTGACAGATGAAGATCGAGTCAAGGAATACACGTTGAAAAGTATGTGGAGGAGCCCAAATGGAACAATCAGGAACATTTTGAATGGTAAATGTTCTCCTACTTTCTCTAATGATTGCATTCATGTAGTCATTGACTTCTAATTTTTGAATTTGGTAGGTTATTTCAAATATAGTTGGTTTGGTTGCGATTGAACCAATTAAGCTCTGGAATCAATAGACAATTAAACCGAAGAATTTTACCGAAGAATTTTACACCAAACACAAATTAACCATATCCAAATTTTAAATTAGTCCAGTTAGTTGGTTAACCAGTATAGAATTCAAATTTCTACAGACTTATGACTTTATAACCTATGAGTATTCGTCAACCTGCTTCAATTGAAAATCTCATGTTATCAAGCTCATCAAATACTCTGAATAGAACATAATAATGCAATTTATCTGGTTAGCGTTGTCTATAGGCCAGACAGATCGACTTCAACTAAATTAATTAAATTTTTTTACAAAACATATTAACCATACCCTATTGGTTAAATGGTTACAAGTATACATGTTCTGTTGAACACCCCTAATATGTGGCATGTGGGTTTGGCTTTAGGTACTGTGTTCAGAGAACCAATTATTTGTAAAAATGTCCCTCGGCTAATTCCAGGTACTTTCCTTTTATTCTATTTAGATATTTATTATTCTTGTTTTAGTTTATGCCAAATCTGTGAAGGTGGCTAACCTGTTTCTGCTGCTGATATGTGGAAGGTTGGACTAAGCCTATTTGCATCGGTAGGCATGCTTTTGGTGATCAATATAGAGCAACAGATTCTGTCATTAAGGGGCCTGGCAAACTCAAATTGGTCTTTGGTATATACCTGGCTTCACCATTTCGTTCTAATGCGTTGATATTTCATTATTTTCCGCATAGCTTACTTCTGTTTCTTATTCAACATGATCGTGGGAGCTGAAAAAGGTTTATTAACTCATTTTATGTGCAGCTTTGCAACTTATTTTTGTAGGAACTAACCCTTTTGTAACTTGTTCAAATGCTGCAGTTCCAGAAGGTGAAGGTGAGACTCAAGATATGGAAGTCTACAATTTCACAGGTGCTGGTGGGGTAGCTTTGTCCATGTACAACACTGATGAGGTATATGTAATTTTGAGTTCCTTCAATTAAAATTTCGTAGGTGAAATGCTTTTCTCTTAACATACCATGGAATGCAGTCAATCCGTGCATTTGCTGAGGCTTCTATGACCACTGCTTATGAGAAGAAGTGGCCGCTTTATCTTAGCACAAAAAATACAATTCTGAAGAAGTATGATGGAAGGTATGTTCCTTCAATCACTTCTTATGATCTGCATGGTTCGCCCTTCCGTTCTTCTGGTTATTACTTGAACTGCTTTGTCTTTGTTGACTGAAGATTCAAGGACATATTTCAAGAAGTATATGAAGCAAGCTGGAAGACGAAGTATGAGGCTGCTGGTATATGGTGAGTAGTGCCTCTTACATAAATTTTGGTTCTTAGTACAATCTTTGTTCTCTTGATTCTTTGATTCTCATTCAAAATGGTTGGACTTGTAGGTATGAGCATCGGCTCATCGATGATATGGTAGCTTATTGCCTTAAGAGTGAAGGGGGCTATGTGTGGGCATGCAAGAATTATGACGGAGATGTGCAGAGCGATATGTTAGCCCAAGGCACGTAAAACTACCAGCCTGATTTCTCTATTTAACCAATTTAAGAAATGATTAAGCTTTTGTCAGACTGAGGAGTATGGATTCTCACATTGAATCTTTGTGCTATTCCTGGGTTTTGCTTGTGCTTCATTTATCAGGAGAATCTCTTATATAATTTTTGGGTTGGTTCTGCAGGTTTTGGATCTCTTGGATTGATGACTTCAGTACTGGTACGTCAACATTCTTGATTAATTTCCTTAACGAGAGTCCTGATTGGTTTCCTGTTTTTGTTTTCTTTTATACAGCTTATTTTCTTGGTCTTAGCATTTACCGCTGCTCATATTGTGTTACACTTAGTTCTAGTTCTGAAATGATTGGAGGGAGAACTTTTTACAATTACCCTGATGTACTTTATGTGCTTAAGATTTTAAGCAATAATTGCTCATTTATGTCGGTTCTGTTGCTGCTGAAAAGAAAATAGCCCTCTCCAAATCTTCCCTATTTTCACTGGAACTTTGGCTTCACTTAAACCTCTGTTGTGTTTTCGGTGCTGTTTTCCCACCATTCTCCTCTTATCCATTAACGCGAATTTTATTATGTTCTGTTCAGGTGTGCCCAGATGGAAAGACTATAGAGGCAGAGGCAGCACATGGTACAGTCACCCGCCATTACAGGGTTCACCAGAAAGGTGGTGAAACCAGCACAAACAGTATTGCATCTATCTTTGCTTGGACAAGAGGACTTGCACACAGGTCTGATGCCACCCGTCCTGTTGTATTTCATTATATTTTGACTTGATCAAAGGAAGTCTTTAAGGAAACTGCCTCTAGAAGAAATGAAGTAGCTCTCAGTTCAAAAATTAAGACTCGCATGATAAAACTTTTGCGGCTTTTGGCAGGGCAAAGTTGGACGACAATGCTGGACTCTTGGATTTCACCCAGAAGCTGGAAGCTGCATGCATCGGAGTGGTAGAGTCGGGCAAGATGACCAAAGATCTTGCTCTGATCATCCATGGATCCAAGTGAGTGCTAACACCAGCAGTTTTGACATGGTTCATCTACTAGGCTCTGCATGCTCGCTTCGTTGAAATAAATAACTTTGATCCTTGTGGATGGTGTGTATGCAGGCTGAGCAGGGACACCTACCTCAACACGGAGGAGTTCATCGATGCTGTTGCTGCTGAGTTGAAGGCTAAGCTCTCTGCTTGATCATCAATGCCAATCGCAGGACTCGGAGTACACTTTGGAATGTCTGGGGGAGATTTGCTTACACAAATAATCAAAGGGTTTGGGATATCAGTTGGACTTGCGATCTGGGTCGGATGTCTTCAATCAGATTTTTCTTTCAATTGGAGGTTGGATGTCAACCCGCTGCTCATGCTGTTGCGTTTCTTTCCTGCTTAGTGGGTTGCGAATGTGAATGGTACTTGTTTTCAATCAAAACTAAATGAACAAATTTGGCTCATGTTGGGGTTTTGATTAGGTTTAACGTTAGTTTGCGCAACTCGACTCAGCTCATTTGCGGCACTAGTCCACATGCTAAATTACCATCCACTCAAAAGACATTCCACTAATCATTCACAAAATCGAAACAATAGTTCAACACAAAAACCTAAAAAGTTTACTACCAAGTGGAATAGAAAACAAGAAAAGGGAATTTCACTTGGAATTCCACGACTAAAACACATACTAATGCTGCTAATATTCTTTCACCACTACCAGAAACAGGGTTTTATCACTCAAAAGCCCACTGGTTCTCCCTGCGAACCTCTTCTTCTTCCTCCGGGGTGAAGTCGTTGACGATGTTGAAAAGCTTCCTGATCTCCTCCGGGGTCTTGTCCTTGATCATGTCCGCCACGGTCTGGCAGGTAAGATCCAGCAGATCCTTGATGTTCAGGTAATTGGCAGCCAGAATTAGGTCGAAGAGCGTCTCCTGATCGACCTTCACGAAATCCGCGTCCCAAGTCTTCAGGCCGTCGTCCGCGCCGGCGGCATTGGCGGTGGCGCCGTCAGGAGACCCTTGGTGCTTCTTGCAGTACTCGATCACCATGGCGAGGATCTTGGCGGTGACGTTGGGGAGAGGGATTCCGTTGTCGGCGCAGTCGTCCTCGATCATGTGCTTGATCGTCTGGGACTGCATCGCCACCGCCTCCTCCACTTCGAACGACTCGCCGTCGCTGCTCTTCAGGGTGATGACCTTCTTCTCCTCCGCCGCGGCCGTCGACATTTTGGTGATTGCTGCGAGAATGGAGTTAATAGCAATGGATGAGGTTTGTGAATCGGCAAAGCAAGGCCTCTGCTGTTTATATAGAGAATTGAAGAGCCAGGGTTTTCCCAGTCCGCATAAGGAAAGGGGAACTGGAAGAAAGTACATAACGGAAAAGGAGTAGTACTTTCTAGAAGCTAACACAAGGCTTTTCCGCGAAGGCAAAGAAGAATTATGGGATTTATTAGGGTTTAATTAGGGTAACCTAGGGTCAATTAATTACGTTTAATTATGGGATTGATTAGTGGGTTAATTATGAAATTCATTAGGTGTTTAATTGGATAGCAGGGAGACCCGCGCTACTAGGGTGATAGCGGAGATCAAATGGACGCGGCTGGCGGTGGGATGGAGATAGCACATCAAATGGTAACCCAGGGCCTGCTGGCGCGGGAGGTTTGATGCGAGATTCAGAAAGGAGATGGGTAGCCGGTTTTGTGGCTAACATTGGTGAGGCCACGACTGCCCTTTCCGAGCTGTGGGCGTTCTTTTATGGGCTGGTTTTGGCTTGGAAGTATGGAATCAGAGCTCTGAGGATTGAGTCGGACTCTCAACTAGACATTCAGCTTATCAACAGTCGCCATGATCCGGTACACCCTTATGCTACCTTGCTTGCGGCTATTCGTAGGAAGCTAGGACAGGACTGGTTGGTGAACATCACTCATACATACCGAGAAGGGAATAGAGCCGCAGACTGGCTCTCGAAGCACAGTCTCGTCTATCCCTACGATATGCATGAGCTTGTGAACCAGCCTCATGGACTAGCTTCGATTCTTCAAGATGACCTCATGGGTATCGCTTTTGAGCGCAGAGTTGTAGCTACTTCTTCTTCCTCCTCCTCTCGCCTGTAATCTCCCTTTCCTGGCCTCTGGCCTCCTTTTATGAAGAAAAAAAAAAATAGGTATTTAATTAAGGTGACTTAGGGTCAATTAATTATGGAATTGATTGTGTGTAAATCTAGATTATGTCAATCATTTTTTGCCAAAAAAAAATCGATCTCGGAATTTAAAAAGATTATATCGCAAAATTTTTATTTAAAAATTAAGACGAACTATACAAAAATTAACATGAACAAATTATACTAAGATGATCATAAATATATTTTTGAGTAAAGAGAAATTAGAAAAAAGTGAGGTCCACATATTTGAAAATGGTAGTATTGGAGCAAAAATAATGAAAATGGGCATCATCGCCAAATTAGGAGACGAAGGTCCCTGGCTAATAATTTTGTAGTATTATGAAAGATTTGGCTAATATTTCGTATTCTCAAAGGTTTGGCTAATATTTTATAATCCGTGAAAGGTTTGGCTAAAAAATAGTATTTGTCACTATAAATTTTTTAAAAATATTTTTTAATTGACATGGCGCTGATGTGCCAAACAAGTGGAATGACGATTAGCTTATGTGTAATTCTGTTAAGTATAACGTTAACGGGAAATAAGCGTTATGAAATATTTGGCTAATATTATATTTTTAAAGGTTTGGATAATATTTTAGAATCCATGAAAGATTTGGTTAAAAATAATAATTACCTAATAATCAATATATGGAATACTACTTCTATTGGAGAAGGCATTTCTCTGCCAGAATAAATGCATCCAGATATGCAATTGTCTAAGAATGAATTTTTAAGGAACAAAAAATTGTAATAGTCAGATGGGAATGGGAAGGGTTGAACGTGGTCCGTGGGAGACTCGAGTAGCAGGGCTAGAGGCCCATCTCATAAATTCATAATTCCGCCGCTTGTTTAGTGAAAGACTAAATGATCCTTCTGTGAGCTGCGCATGAGTCAGAAAAAATGAATTTGAGTAGGTGTGGACTGTGGAGGAAGAATAAGGGTGGAAATTGGGATGGGTGTTGTTATCCGCTCCACATTTTGCGGGTAACCACACCCACAAATATAGAATTATGCTATCCACAACTCGTCCCGTAGTAGGAAGTGGTTAATATAGAATTATGCTACCCACAATCCGTCTCACAGTGGGCAGGGCCGGCCCATAATATTTCGAGGCCCTGTTCAAAATTTTAAAATGTGGTCCTAAATTTTTTTCGTTGTAAATTTATTAAAAATAAAAATTATTAAATAATAATAATAAATACGTAAGTTTAAAAAATGATTAAGGCCTCTTTTCCGTGGCTCTTGGCTGCAATAAGCATGATTTTGTCACAATTAATTAGAACAAATATGACTTATTAAAGGACCAACTAATCTATTAACTTTCTTTTAAATTAGGTCCATTAACAAATCCATTTAATTTCTTTTTAATTTGGACCCACTGAAAAACTAATCAATTCATTCTCTTTTAAATTTGGCCCATAAATCCTTACATGGCCCATATAAACGAGTTAATAACTATTTCTTTTAACTTAGGCCCACACGTAATTTTCTGCCATATCAACGAATTAAAATTTTGGGCTCATGCCATATAAATGAATCATTAACGAGGCCCTTAAAATTATGAGGCCCTGTGCTGTGGGTCTGACCAGCACATGGCCTGGCCCGGGCCTGACAGTGGGTAGTACTATTCGCCGCGGGTTGGTTGTGGATACCCATAAAAATTTTACGTTAAATATATAATATGGTAATTAAATAGTGATGTTGTATTTCTTCTCACATAAAAACAAAAAACATACATATATGAAAGTTAATAAAGGGTTAAATAAATTATAATTCTCGAATACAATAAGTTAGTTAGTGTAAATTCAGAAGAGTTGGATTTGGAAAGAGATTTGAAGATAACGAAGAGGCGGAGTGACTTGTTACCAGACAAACATCGTTGCATGTCACGGCTCCTCCCAGTGGCGGACACAGGATTTTTGTATAGGTGTGTCGGCCACCAAAAAAAATTAATTAATTTAAAATAAACATTAAAAAATTCATACATAAAGTTCATCAATTTCATTATTTTTTATAGTGAACCACAACGAGTTTTCATATTCAGAAAAAATTCTTAATTACATTTGCTCATTAGGTTGCAAATCAAATTTTTTTATGTATGCAACTTAAAAATTATTTATAAATTGATCACTCAACTTATACCAAAGATTTTTCTCGATTAAACTCATATATGGAAAATGTCATTTTGTAGCTTGCAGTTGCAATAAGTAAAGTCAACACTAATTTAATATGAGAAAGTTGGTATGAGAAGCTGGAAGGGTGGCCACAGGCGTCAATTTTGAATGAGAATTAAGATGTCGTCAGCTCAATTTAATTCTCATTCAATTTACTGAGGTTATCTCTAAATTGATAGTTATCTTTCTGAATACTCACTACGTAGTAAGTAGTCAATTAATTGTTTACTCTTGTACAACAACTAATTATCTACCTAATCTGAAATCCAATAACTCCTATATTTACATATTTTAATACTATTATCACAACAAATTTTTTGTAATGTAATAAGATTAAGGTGTGTCGATTACAATTATTGGAGGTGTGTCGGAGGTCCCGTGTACGAATTTTTTACACCGAAAAAATGTGGATTCCTCACAAAAATTTCGGAGCAAGGTGTGTCGGGTGACACACCTTGCTACAAGGTGGGTCCGCCCCTAGCTCCTCCGATGGCAACAACAGCAAAACACAAAAGTAGCTCGATAAGTGGAGGCACCCGCTTTTAATGAATCGATTATTCTCCACTCTCGATTATAGTATTGTATTGTTGGTAGTTGGTTGCATGTTGTGTTGTTCGTGAGTTCGTGGAGAAATGGAGATGAGTTTTGGTATCGGACTAACCTTTCTCGATTATTTCCCTCTTTTAACGAATCGATTAATTTATCTGACTATATCTATGGACTTGGTTTTAGGGATGGCAATGGGTCGGGTTGGGGCGGGTTTTGTCAAACCCAAACCCATTGGTTTATCCGCAAAAAAAAAAAAAAATCTCGGGATAAAACCCGCTGGGTTTGAAAAACTCAAACCCAACCCAACCCGCCGGGTATCCCCGGGTTCATGGGTACTCGTGGGTTTTTGTGGTAAAAAATTTACAATAACAAGTTTCTTTCAAAATAAAAGTTTAACATCAATTTTCTCATACAAATTATTCATACAAAAAACACCAATCTAGAGCATACAAGCAAACCGCAAATGATCAATACAAATTGTTCAAAATTGAAGATAAACATCTATAAACAATATGATTAATTGAAAGCTTCTTCCTCGTCAACTAAGTTTCTTCACTCTCCACTTCATAATATCAACTTCATTCTAAACAATTAGAAAGAACAAATTATACATGTTCCACAAATATAAAGAATATTAGTTGTTTAAGGAAGGTATATTATTTAGAATATTAAATATACCGGGAAAGTAATTATATGTGTGTGGACGGGTACCCATTGGGCGGGTTTACTTAACCCAAACCCAACCTGACCCGGTGAATAGTGTAACGGGTTTAAACCCGAACCCGGCCCAAAACTCGTCAACACGGGTTTTACCCGCGTTGACCGGGTTGGGTCGGGTGGGTACCCGTGGGTTCGGGTTTTGTTGCCATCCCTACTTGGTTTTGTTATAAAATTAACATATACCACACGGACAATGCTTATTTGATAAAATTATCTCACATGAACATTGCATATTGACTTGTTTTTGTTTTATAAAATAAGGGCGTATTTGGATTTTGGTAACTACTTTAATTCTTAGTCTTCCAAGTTTCACAAACTAATAAAACTAATGTGGGTTACAAAGTATTTTGAAGAAATAAATTTAACTAATGTGGTTAATGTGTGTTTTATGAGTAAATCACTATGGGTAGTGGTTAACCACTAACCACAAAAATAAATATTTTGGGTTTAGGATAGGGTCAGTAACCATTGGTAACTGACTTATGAGCAACTAAATCTGGACCTTTAGATCTAAGTGGGTCTAGAAAATTCATATATAAGGGTTGTCAATTAAAGGCATTTTATTTTCGCTAGTTTTCTTAATCGACTCTTATCTTCTTCGTTCTAACTCTAATTTCAATTTTTTTTGCACAGATGGAACGAGTTCGTTGTGCTCTACAAATTGAGATCAATTTTCAATATATTTCGAGAAACATATTTTTTACCAACTACATACCATATGGTAACTTCTTCGTTTTTAAGTCGTTTTTGAAAACGTTTGCTTAGAAGGAACGAGTTCATCATGATCTATTGGATCTATAAATTTCTGTGTGAAAAAAAATACTGGATAAAAAATTACCATACTTTACCACTTTGGTATGTGGGTCGTAACTTGTGGTAAACAATGATGAAAGTCGTAAATGACAGTTAGTATACTCCTATTATCATGTATTCAACCTTCTTACCATATTGGTATTTTCATACCATCATGGTACGCTTTCTTACCATATGGTATTAAATAGGAGCATACCATATGGTAACGACTAGTAAAAAATTATACAATTTTTTTTGTACTAAAAATATATCAAAGTGGGTATCATTTTAAAGAGCACATTTAATCTGATTTATCTGTGCAAAAAAATCGAATTTCGACTTAAAACGAGAAAGAAATCGTTCGTTAAAGATTAAAGGGGAAAAATAAAAGACTTTACAGGAGAGAGAGGATACTGATGTCATGCTGACGTGGACAGGTTACTCATGGTTACTGGCTATTGAGTTACTGACCTGATTCGTTCCTAATATTTTGCTACCCACACCCACCTAACCCACTATCCACAAATTATGAGTATGGGTATTCACAAAGTGTGCGATTTAGTGCGGTCACCCGCAAACAAAACTTCCTTACCCGCAAAATCGCAAACCAAACTTCCGTATTTCTAAGTAATTGCCCCATAGATCCTATATCGATCTATATGAAGAAGAAATCATGTAACGAAGGGGATTCTTATTTGTACAAATGCTACTTCGAACTTGGAACGAGCATGAAGAAATTAACGATACTTCTTTATCTTTTGAGTTGTTCTGCCGGACCGGTTACTCAAGAACCTTATTAAAAGTATTGTTTAGATTATTGATGAAAATACAAAATTGTAAACAATATATTTAAAAAATACAATATTTATGAAAAAAATCCAACAATACCTCTCTTTCCCTTTTAATTTTTATATTTTCGTCTCCCCGTCATTTTGCTTCACCTCGTTATATTCTCCGAGACGAAGCACACTAAACCTGTTCATCTTTTCACCTACCATCTGCCACTACCGGAGAGGCGGAGACGAACAGCAGCAAGTCAACAACGAAAGAAACATTCCCAAAACTCCGATCCCCGGAACTTCATCCTAAATCCTTAGCTACTCCTCCTCCTGAAACCAGCCATGGCTTTCGAGAAGATCAAGGTTGCTAACCCCATCGTCGAGATGGACGGTGAGGTCTTCTTTCTCTTTGCTGTTGATGCAATCGTTTCATGTTTGTTTCGTTCGTTGGCTTTTTTATTTGTTCTATTTGCTTGTGTTGCGGTTCAAAGTTTTTAATCGTGATTTGGAAACGTGTTTCTAATGTGATGTGCGATCTCGAATCTGGGGAGAGAGGGAAATAAAATGTACTCGGTGTTTTGTTGTCACCACAGTCAATACTGAGAAACGGGAATGGCTGATGCATAAAAAGGAGTTTCTTATCCTAGATGCAGGATCATAGTAATGGGAGTTTCGCTTTGTATATCTTATTCGGGAGCCATAGGCAGGGTCCTCTAGTCAGTCGTCATTTAATCTGTAGAGGAGGCTACTGTTAATGGAGTGTGTATGGCTGACTTTATGAGGGGCCTTGGGTACAACTGTACAAGCACGGATGTCATGTTTGGGTTGTTCTTAATGCTATTTCTCGAAAGCTTTCATCTGAGAGTTTGTTGCTGTTTGGTCGCTTCAATTGATGTGTATTGATTGAATCAGTGATTCACATATATGTTTGTCTTTTGCAGGAGATGAAATGACCCGAATCATATGGAAGTCCATTAAGGATAAGGTACTTAAGGATTTATGTTCTGGTCATTCAGAAAGCGATTCTTTACCATTTTCAACGCAATGCGTCATGTTTTGCAACCTCTGAATTCTCGGTTTTGATTCCTTGTCCAGCTTATTCTTCCCTTTTTGGAATTGGACATCAAGTACTATGACCTTGGCCTTCCACATCGTGATGCAACTGATGATAAGGTTACCGTTGAGAGCGCTGAGGCTACTCTCAAGTAAGTTTTCTGGCATAGTTTCTATGAGGTACTCTTATATGAACATTTTTATCACATTTCCAAATCTTTATGGAGTCTTGCATACATTCTCTGTCTCTTTCTTTTTTATTCCTTTCCTTTGTAATTTGAACCAAAATTTCTAGATTGAACCAGTTGCTTTTTTTTTCCAGGCATTTTATATCCCCTCTTTATTCAGAATATATCACTACAATTCTTGTGCTAGCGAGGTAGTCTTATGATGGTTAAGCTTTCTAATATCAATTGGTACCCTGATCTACTAACAAATTTACAAGTAAGCATTAAATAGAATAAAAGTAATGGTATTCAGTGATACATGTGCTAACTTCAACTCTTGCTGCTTGTGCTTTGTGTCATGGATGGGATAACCTCACATTTGATCATCTTCCTATTATTGGAATTATAGGCTTGTGGCTTGTTTGTGTTTCTCTTGGTAAGTTTGTGTTCGCTGAATTCTTCTTTACTCCTTGATTAGGTATAATGTTGCAATCAAGTGTGCAACAATTACACCAGGTATGCTTCCATTTGGTTGGAAAGGATTATCTACTCCCTCTGCATGATTGTTTACTGTTACAATTGTGGATTATTTAATTGGAGAAGGATTATAACTTTAACTTATGATTGACAGACGAAGATCGAGTCAAGGAATACACGTTGAAAAGTATGTGGAGGAGCCCAAATGGGACAATCAGAAATATTTTGAATGGTAAATGTTCTCCCACTTTCTCTAATGATTGCATTCATGTAGTCATTGACTTCTAATATTAGAATGTGGTAGGGTTGTTCGAGTAGTTGGTTTTTGGTTGTGATTGAACCAATTAAGCTTCAGAATCAATAGACAATTATACATAATAATTCAACAAACCGAGCAAATTTACACCAAACACAAATTGAGCATGTCCAAAATTTAATTAGTCCAGTTAATTAGTTAAACAGTACAGCATTCAAATTTCCAGACATATGAGTATTCAGCATCCTGCTTGAATTGTCAATTTCGTGTTTGTCAAGCTCATCAAATACCTAAATAGTATGTAATGATGCAATTTATCTGGTTAGCATTGTCTATAGGCCAAACAGAACGAATTAAACTAAATTAACTAAATATTTATACGAAACAAATTAACCAGATCCTATTGGTTAAAATGGTTACAAGTATAAATGCTCTGTTGATCACCCCTAATCTGTGGTATGTGGGTTTGGCTTTAGGTACTGTGTTCAGAGAACCAATTATTTGCAAAAATGTCCCTCGGTTAATTCCAGGTATTTTCATTTTATTCTATCTAGATATTTAACATATTATCGTTTTACTTTTGTCCCAATCCTGTGGAGGTTGGCTAACCTGTTTCTGCTGCTGACATGTTAAAGGTTGGACTAAGCCTATCTGCATCGGTAGGCATGCTTTTGGTGATCAATATAGAGCAACAGATTCTGTCATTAAAGGGCCTGGCAAACTCAAATTGGTCTTTGGTATATTCTTGTCCCCACCATTTCATTCTTATGCATTGATATTTCATTCTTTTCCGCATAGCTTACTTCCGTTTTTTATTCAAAAGGAATGTAGGAGCTGTGAGAGGTTTGTGAACTCAATTTATGAGCAGCATTGCAACTTATATTTTGTCAGAACTAATTTTCTGCAATATGTTGTCATGGTAACTTTTTGTTTTCCTTTATCCACGAATACTTAAGTAATTTGTCCAAAATGCTGCAGTTCCAGAAGGTGAAGGTGAGAAGCAAGATATAGAAGTCTACAATTTCACAGGTGCTGGTGGTGTAGCTTTGTCCATGTACAACACAGATGAGGTATGTGTGTTTTTAAGTTCCTTCAGTTAATTTTTCTCAGGGGAAATGCTGTTCTCTTAACATACCATGGAATGCAGTCAATCCGTGCATTTGCTGAGGCTTCTATGACTACTGCTTTTGAGAAGAAGTGGCCTCTTTATCTTAGCACAAAAAATACAATTCTGAAGAAGTATGATGGAAGGTATGTTCCTTTCTTTTGGTTATTACTTTCACAATCTTGCATACTGTATCAGTCATGGTTTTCCCTTCCTTTCTTTTGGTTACTTGAACTGATTTTTGTTTGTTTCAATGAAGATTCAAGGACATATTTCAAGAAGTATATGAAGCCAGCTGGAAGACGAAGTATGAGGCTGCTGGTATATGGTGAGTAGTGCCTCTTACATAACTTTTGGTTCTTAGTACAATCTTTGTTCTCCTGATGCTTTTTTTCTCACTCAAAATGGTTGGACTTGTAGGTATGAGCATCGGCTCATCGATGATATGGTAGCTTATTGCCTTAAGAGTGAAGGGGGCTATGTGTGGGCATGCAAGAATTATGACGGAGATGTGCAGAGTGATATGTTAGCCCAAGGCACGTAAATCCTACCATCCTGATTTCTCTATTCAACCAATTTAAGAAATTATAAAGCTTTTGTCAGGCTGAGTATGGATTCTCACGTTGAATCTTTGTGCTATTCCTGGGTTTTGCTTGTGCTCCATTTATCAGGAGAATCTCTTATATAACTTTTGGGTTGGTTCTGCAGGTTTTGGATCTCTTGGATTGATGACTTCGGTACTGGTACGTCAACATACTTGATTAGTTTCTTTAAGAAGACAGTCCTGATTACTTTCTTGCTTTCGTTTTCTTTTATACAGCTTATTTTCTTGGTCTTAGCATTTACTGCTGCTCATATTGTGTTACCTTTTGTTCTGAAATCATTGAAGGGAGAACTTTTAATCGTTCTCCTGATGTACTTCATGCGCTCGAGATTTTAAACCGTTATTGCTCATTGTGTTGGTTCTGTAATTCTGTTGCCGCTGAAGAGAAAATAGCTCTCTCCAAATCTTGTCTATTGTCACCGGAATTTTACGTCTCTTAAACTTTGTTTTGTTTCCGGTGCTGTTTTCCCACCATGCTCCTCTCGTCCTTTAATGGGATTGATTATGTTCTGTTCAGGTGTGCCCAGATGGAAAGACTATAGAGGCGGAGGCTGCACATGGTACAGTCACCCGCCATTACAGGGTTCACCAGAAAGGTGGTGAAACCAGCACAAACAGTATTGCATCCATCTTTGCTTGGACAAGAGGACTTGCACACAGGTCTGATACCACCCATCCTTTTGGATTTCATAATATTTTGACTTTATCAAAAGTAGTCTTTAAGGAAACTGCGTCTTAATGAAGTTAAATAGCTCTCATTTCAAAAAACAAGGCACATATAATAAAATGTTTGTTGCTTTGGCAGGGCAAAGTTGGACGACAATGCTGGACTCTTGGATTTCACCCAGAAGCTGGAAGCAGCATGCATCGGAACGGTAGAGTCAGGCAAGATGACCAAAGATCTTGCTCTGATTATTCATGGATCCAAGTGAGTGCCAACACCAGCAGTTTGACTTGGTTCATCTTCTAGCCTCCATGCACACTTTGGTAAAATAACTTTGATCCTTGTGGATGGTGTTTATGCAGGTTGAGCAGGGACACCTACCTTAACACGGAGGAGTTCATCGATGCTGTTGCTGCTGAGTTGAAGGCTAAGCTCTCTGCATGATCACAGACGCCAATTGCAGGACTCGGAGTGCACTTTGGAAAGTTGAGAGAAAACTCATTTTGGGGTTCACAAAATAAGAGAAAGGTATGCTGGATATGGGAGATCAATTGAACTTGTGATCTGGATTAGGTGTTTTTAGTGGGACTTTTATTCTTATCGAACCTCGAGGTTTGGATGTCGTTATCGTTTAAAGAACCCACTGCACATTCTGTTGTGTTTCTTTCATGCTTGTTGGATTCACTGAAGTTTCAAGGGTTCGTTCTTTTCGAACGCCGCAAGATACTGCTCAATGCCTACTACTTTGCACCAAATGCACACCACAACCACATGAATGCAAACACCGTAGCGTCGAAAGGAAGGGGAAGCACGACGAGTTCATGTCAGCTTGTTAGAGATATCGCGGCGGCTTCGTGATCGTGACTGCTAAATGCTCCTACAAGAACAGCATGCCTGATCTCAAAATTGGCAGACCAGTTGATAATTGCACAAAATCATTCACTAAATCAAAATAATAAAAATTCAACTCACAAACCTCAAATCAAATGTTCACTAAGAATTCCTCCGACAAAAATATCCTAATACCGCAGTAATAATGCTGCTACTAATACTATACTACCAGGCTTCATTCAAACGCCCACTGGTTCTCCCTGCGAACCTCTGCTTCTTCCTCAGGAGTATAATCGTTCTTAATGTTGAAAATCTTCCTGATCTCCTCCGGTGTCTTTCCGCTCATCATGTCCGCCACGGTTTTGCAGGTCAGATCCAGAAGCTCCTTGATGTTCAAGTAATTGGCAGCCAGGATTAGGTCGAACAGGGTGTCCTGATCGACCTTCACGAACTTCTTGTCCCAAGTTTTCAGAGCTTCGTCCTCCACGGCGCCGGCGTAGTCAGGTTTGGGAGACCCGTGGTGCTTCTTGCAGTACTCGATCACCATGGCCAGGATCTTGGCGGTGACGTTGGGGAGAGGGATGCCGTTGTCGGCGCAGTCGTCCTCGATCATGTGCTTGATCGTCTGGGACAGCATCGCCACGGCTTCCTCCACTTCGAACGACTCGCCGTCGCTGCTCTTCAGGGTGATCACTCTCTTCTCTGCCGTCGACATTGTGGCAATTCTGCTTGATTTCTCTTCGTTATGTGTTCTGCGCCGCGAGCGATAATCAATCAATGGGGTTTTCTTTGTGAATCGGCGAGCAAGGCCTGTGCTGTTTATATATAGAGAATTGAAGAGCCAGGGTTTTCACAGACCGCATAGGGAAAAGAAACTGGAAGGAAGTACAGAACGGAAAATGAATAGTACTTGCTAGAAGCTAGCACAAGGGATTTTCCGCATAAGAAAAGGACTTGGAATCTTTTTTGGTAGAAACTCAAACTTTTACTATTGTAACAAATCTATTCTTTTATGCAGCATGATTTAAGTAAAAATTAACTCCGACAAAATAAAATAAAAAAGTTAATAGTTGGCCAACAAAAAGTTAAAATAACAGTAGGACCGGAAACCGGTAATTCTGTCATTTTTTTTAAGTTCGAAATTGTTGAAAATGAAATTTTAATGTAGTTTATCAACATTTATTGTGACAACATGTCAGCCATAGGCATGACAAATAATTCAGTGTTTCACGCAAGATCGAATCATTTGGAGTTGTGTCATCATTTCATCCGAGATCTTGTCAACGATGGAGAAATAGTGATGGAATTCATCAACACCAATAGTCAATCAACAGATATCATGACAAAGGTGGTCACCCACTCACCCGAGAAAAATTCGAGAAGTTCAAAGAGCTGCCCCAAATTGCAAATTAAGATATGGTGTTAAAATGTAATTTGAAATAATGAAGCTTATCTCCTCTTACAATCACATCAAAAGACAATCTCATATGCAATAAGTTTGAACATGGAGTGTTCTTCCAACAAGCTTTGACAAGGTGTTGAGAAATCGTATATGATAAAAACTGGTATACTTCAAGAGTATAGTATACTCTAGATGAATTAACTATTAGATGTACTTTGATTAATTCCCACTTCCGACCAAACTCAATGATCAATTATTATTTTCAATTAAATTGAAAATAAAGTTTGGCTCTAGAGAATCAGGGCCGTTTATTATTTAGAGGTTAGGGTATATTATTATACCTCAAACTCGGTTTCATTCATAGTCTAAATAGAGATATCTCACCAAAAGTACTTGTAGTATAGTATACTCTAGGAGTACACCAGTCTAACAAATATATCGGTTCGAGGAAGAGTTACAATACAAGTTTGAGAAATCATAAGGGTGGGCTTTAGAGCAGCTAGCTAAGCTGAAGCAGACAAGCACTGTGGAAGAGTTTTGATTGAATTTCCTAAGGCTAGGAAATATGTGACAGGGTATGGCAGAGGAGAGTTTGGTTGGTCTGTGTCTTGTAGGTTTGAGGTCGGAGTTAGCTGCAGTGGTTAAGGTGTTTGAAACCGGTTTCTTGAGGGTGGCCTTTCGTCTAGCAGTGTGCAAGAAAGAGGAGCCGACCAGCTGGAAGGGGAGCAATGCATGAGTTCATAAGGAAGTTGGCGAGAATGCAGGAGCTGGCGGTATGACGAAAGTCATGGCCGCGGATCTAGCCAGAGCCATGCCAGCATCGACGGTTGCAATGCTACCAAACGGGCGACAGGACCCCAGTTTAGTGCCTTGAGGTTTCGTGAAACTTACACCGGTGTAGATGGAGCAGAAGCACAGGGACGGGCTTCTTGGCACAACCACAAGAAGAATATGCAGAAAAAACTCCTCGTCCATGGAGGAGAGATAGTGCCAATGGTCCTCATTACTGTGTAATCTAGATAGGTTTATTGTCTCAATGTGCAGTAGAGAGCTCCTGGAATACCGAATAAGTAATGGCAACTGCGATGAGAGGTATATCGTTGGGCGCCAATGCGCCAAGGATCACTTGATGCTTCTCGTTGGCAATTTGGAGGATGAGACCGAGGAGCTCGTGGTAGAGGAGGCCAATGAGAACCAGGGAGCGCCGGTCCAAAATGAGGGCAAGATTGATTTCGAGAGAGATGGATTGTTAGAAACCCACTTTTGGGGTGATTTCGGGACTTGGACTTGTTTGTAATTTTATTTGTGTTTGGATAATTTTGGATATTATTTTGTGGTTTTTTGCCACATTTGGCTTTATTTGATTATTTATGTTATGAGATATTATTCTGGGTAGTTAGTGGGAATTATTCGGGTTATATATTTTGTAATTAGTAGGTATTTCCGAGGTTGTCAACCCGCGGGTCGACTCGCCGGTTGGTCTGTTTTGACCCTGATCCGCTAAGAAAAATGGCTCGTACACACTCACCGTGTCGACGCGCTGCAAGGTTATCGGGTTGGAGATCGCAAGGTTTCGTTTTTCCTTCAGTTTGTGAAATGCTGCCTATTTTTTTCGGTTTTTCTCTTTGCCTAACCCTATCGTTGGAATTCTAAGTTGAACATTTGAATGTTGATTTTATATAAGTGTGTAAATTTTCATTAAATGTTGGATCCAAGTACGGCATGTTATTTCAGTGTAATTTTATATGCTATTATTCACCGAGATTTGACATAATTTATATATGTATGAACAATATTATGACTTTTTCATATATTCATACTAAACGAGACTAAAACGTTAGGCCCATTAACCCTCAACCCACTTATTCGACCGGGCCAACGAACTAAACCGAATTGACAACCTTAATATTTTCTCATTAAGCAAATACATAACCTAATTTCTCAAATCCTAATATCTCCACTCTCTCTCTCTCATTCTCGACCGAACTCTCTCTCTCTCTCCTCACCATCATCATCGTGCATCATGTGCTGCCGCTTCATTTTTCGTTTTAATTTTACCTTGTTTCTTTAGCTCCCACAATTCTTTTGGCATCTCTATGCCTCCAGTAAATAGAAAAATCAAACCATATATCATACAAGCATTCACTAATTTAAATAATTGTTTCGCACGCAGAAGTCAAACAAAACTGCTAAAACATTACAAGAAATCAGATTTCTACTTACTAATACAACTACCACTCCTGATAAAAAAAAAAACTTAACTTCTATCTATACTGCCACCACTATCATCACTTAGATTTTGTTGCCCCCAATACGGCGCGTTTCACTCAAAAGCCCACTGGTTCTCCCTGCGAACCTCTTCTTCCTCCTCCGGGGTAAAGTCGTTGGGGATGTTGAAATGCTTCCTGATCTCCTCCGGAGTCCTGTCCTTGATCATGTCCGCCACCGTCTGGCAGGTCAGATCCAGCAGATCCTTGATGTTCAGGTAATTGGCCGCCAGAATTAGGTCGAAGAGCGTCTCCTGGTCGACCTTCACGAAATCCGCGTCCCAATTCTTCAGACCACCGTCGTCCACAGCGGCGGCGTCAGATTTAGGAGACCCGTGGTGGTTCTTGCAGTACTCGATTACCATGGCGAGGATCTTGGCGGTGACGTTGGGGAGAGGGATGCCGTTGTCGGCGCAGTCGTCCTCGATCATGTGCTTGATCGTCTGGGACTGCATCGCCACCGCCTCCTCCACTTCGAACGACTCGCCGTCGCTGCTCCTCAGGGTGATCAATTTCTTCTCCTCCGATGTCGACATTGTGGCGATTCCTCTCCCTCGGGATGATTTATGTGCTGCAAGAAACGAGCGATTAGCAAATCAATGGGTGTTTGTGTATCGGCAAAGCAAGGCCCTGTGCTGTTTAAATAGAGAATTATTGGAGAGCCACTTTTGATAGACGGAAGGATTTTGTTTCCGCACAGGAAAAGGAAATATGAAGGAGTATAGTAATGAACGGAAGAAGGAAATATGAAAGGATTTTGGTTGGATGAAATTTTAGGGGTAAAATTGATATTTATGGTTGGTTTGGTTTTGGTGATAGTTTGGTTGAGATAGTCACAATACATGCATTGTTTACAATATATTGTTTTTCTGAATTTTTCCGCACAAACAATACAAGTATTGTTCGCTTGATTTGACACAAAAACTATCACTCAAAATGAGTGATAGTTAAATCTCAAATTTTGGGTGAGTTTGTTGAGAATGTTTGGTTGAGATTGCTGGGTTTTGTTTTTGTTCCAACTATTTCCCCACTTTCTTATGTGTGTTGCTTTTTTCATATTAAAAACAGAAGGTAAAAGTGACATTTCAATTAAAAAGTAAGTTAACTTATTTAAAAACTATAGTGACTATCACAGAATCCAAACGATGTAAACTGCAATACACTATTTTTAGTATATACATGTATATTATGATGCATGCATTGATGACAATGCATCAATTTAACTATCACCAAAACCAAATGGTCCCTTATTGTTGGGCGAAATTTGGCTGCGATGCGGGTTGCAGCCGCCGCGCTACTCCCCTCCACGTGTCGTCTCATCATTGGTTTCAAATAGTTTAAATTAATTATTAAGTGGGCATTTTATTTCAACGAGAATACGGAGAAGCATTTGACGGAATGCATACGTACGTAGTCAACGTTTCTCGCGTTATGTTTTATTTTACCTTGAATGATTTATGAAAACCTATTTTCATTATGTTTCAATTGAGTAGCCCAATTGATTAAGTGCTAGTGGTATTTATAATTTAGGGATATCTTACATACGGTTTGGTATAAATGAATTCCATAAATTTTGAGGAAATCATTTTGAAATGAAATATTTTTGTGTTTTGTATTAAAAAGAATTCATTTTGAATTCTAAGTAATTGTAACTAGTTATAGCAATTCCGAGGAATTGAGATGGAATTTCCAAATGAATTCCACAAATATTTACTAATTATAATAGATAGACACGATTATCCTCTTTTATTAACTAAATTACTTAAACATATGACATACCAAACACAGGAATTCATTTGACAATGAATTCAACACGACGCATCATTTTATTTCTAAATATTGAATATAACATACCAAACATATATAGGATTTCATTTGACAATGAATTCTACACGGTAATTCATTTTACAATGAAATGAATTCTCGATTCATTTGGTACCAAACAGTCTGTTACAGTAACTTGTTATAATTTCAAGTTAGATAACTAGTATGAATCTATACCATTAAAAATACATATAATTTCAAGTTAGCTAACTTGCATGAATTTATACCATTAAAACATATTAAAATCAATTTAGACGGTTGATAATCAAAATAGTGGTATGAATTATGATATGAGACTCGAATTTTCGACCAAGTTGTCACGACTCACAACAGTTGACAAATCCCCTTATGAATATTTGTGTTTATCAATCCGAAGGTTTGGGACCCGATCGACTAATTGTTCACTGAACATCATGGACTAGATTCTTCGAATGAGGAGGATATATGCATTTTAACATATATTAGGCCTTATTACTATGATTATTGTTCTCAATCTCTCTGTAATATATAGTAGTACTTCAAGAGATTTTGAACTTTTCAAATTTCTTGCACTCTCCTTAATTGTAGCTAGAGGTAAATTTGTAAGTTCAATGTAGAACTTAAATATCTTCTTACGAGAAAAAAGTGTCATTACAAAGACTTGAACTCGAGTCCTTTAGATTGATAGTTAATATCCCTAACCAACTAGACTACAACAATGTTTATATATTTTTTGAATTAAAGAGACAAAATACTGAAATATCTTAAAATCATAGGACTATCCACCACAACAATCAATCATCGAATTAATTAATAACTGTAATTATTTACAAAGTGAATTATCATTATATACCTAGCTTTATGAATCAACTAAGTGAGTTCCTCTAATCACACAATTCTTCACTAAGAATCAAATAGTACATTTTGAGTTTATGTATGTCTTACAAATTTTACATTTATTAAGTTACATGACTTTGTAGTTTGTAGGAATACAAAGATTGTTTACAAAAGTGCTATACAAAATCTTATTTCAAAACATAAAATTTGACATTTGTGATCTATGGTTTTGTAACGAGACATTTTCAATGCTATAAGTGAATGACCAAAAATCATTGATTAACAACTACCCTAATGGTTGACAATTATAAGCATAGAATTGAAAGACTAAATACCATTGACAAACGAGCCAATTATCATTGGCTAAATTTAACAAACAATGGTATGTGTATATACATTGGAAATTCTATGGTACACTCGATGGATTGAGAGTTATTGCATCTCCTTAGCTAAATAACATTATCTAGACCATAGATTAATCACGTAACTGAAGTACTAAACCATATATCATAATTCTCTAAATCCCAATATAGTGCATATGGAATGTTGTATACATCTTGGCGAATCAGAATCATTGATTATGTTCTTAGTATATGTGATATTAGGGTTTAAGTTCTATAGGTTTAGGGTATATGATTTAATTATTTGAAACTTAATCTCCCTTTTCAAATTTTCTGCAGTGAGAGGGAAATTAGGAAGGACATTTTTGTCTTCACAATTATTTGTATTTTTTTATTTATTTACAGAAAAAGATAGACATATTGAGATTTTAACCATGGTCACTTCAAACAAAGTGAAGGTTTAAAATCAATTAGACTATGTAGATTTGTTGTATTTTTTAAATTAAAAATATATACGAAGCTAAAATATGAAATCACAGAACTTTTCAACAGTTAGCTAGCCCAATAAATATTCTGTAAGTACTTATTTGGTGTTTTGATACTTCGATTTTGATATTTTTATTTTAATTATAGTTTAATGCTTAATTTAAAATTTTATCTATCTTATAAATAGACGATAATCATAAATTTGCAACCAAAATATTGTTCGTTCGAATATTTCATATCAAATTATAGTATTGAATATGTAGAAGCGATATAGAATTAAATTACCATTAATTTCCAGAACTATAGTGAAGCAATCATATCTTTGTGCAAACTATAGGGGGTTGGTTCTCTGAACACTTTTGTCCAGTTAAATACTAAGTTTTAAAACTCTTCCTAGGGGTGTACGTGGGTCGGTTCGTTTGGGTTTAGATATTTTAATCATCTAACTCATATACCACGATTTTGAAAACACTAAATACAAACTCACCCAAATAATTTAAAATTTTAATGGTTTGTGTCCTCCATACCAAATGAACCAATTTACATGTCGCTTAACTACGGACGATCTCATTGTCCAATCTCATCATTCTAATGTCAATCCATAAAAGTAACCCATATTTGCATTTGTGAACACATGTTTCACATTATCATTACTGTGACCAGTAACTTCGCTGCAATTGATTCATTATTGCTCATCATATGGCCTTCAAACTAATAAACATATCGAGCCAACAATTTTATGACAAAACTCAAAGTGAAGACAACTCATCGTCTGGTGGAATTTTGGCGCTTGCTGGTGTCCATTAATCTAATTGCAACCATAATGATTGCTAAAATTAAGCTTTCACGCAACACACTGGGAGTTGGCGGTGTGAACTTGGAGTAAAAGTTGATATTGGGTTTGGGAAGGGAAGTGGTGAGAGGAAGAAATTGTGTTTGGATTTGGTAGCAGGTAAAGTTCATGGTTCGATTCCTTTTCGTAAAATGCTTTGATTTATTTTAGTTAGAGGTATAATATCATGGTTATGTGGGATAAAGTGAACCAAAAATGAGCTTGGGGATGGGAATTCCAACTTAGAAGGAGTGGATTAGATTTTGATAAACTCAAGTTTATGATTAACTGAAAAAATATTTAGATTTAGACTTTGTGGCATTGAGATGTTCATAGAGAGTTTAAAACTGATCCAAGGCCATGGATTGATATTGGTTAGTTGATTGCGATTTTGAGGAAGGTGGATAAAAAGTCATGGAAGTAGTTTGCAGCAAGTGAAGGCAGGGAAGAGGCAGTTGGTCAGGGTAGTGATTGAACCAAGGAGGGTATTGAAAGACATAGAAGCAAAATCAGAGCAGTTGAAGAGAGAGAAGTGGTAGATGATCAGGATATTAATGAAAATAGAGATGGTATCGAAGGGCATGGAAGTGAACTGGATCAGGTGAAGGCAGAGAAGGAGGAGAAGAGCATATTGATGGAATTGAAGATGATTGTTGGTTTTACGAGCTTATTAAAACTGCCCCGAGGAAGATGAGTTGGCCAAATACAAGAAAAAGGATTGAGGAGTTGGAGATCAAGCTGACAAGATACTTAATTGAAAGAGAAATTCAGGTCTATGGAGAGAAGGTCCATCAAAGTAGCATAAATGGAGTTGTAGAAGGAGGATTAGAAATTGAATTTTGGTTTAAAATATATACGTCGAGAGATTGAAGATGGAGGGGATAAAAAGTTGGTTGTACAACGGAGAGTGGAAACTATTGGATCTTTAGGTGTTATGGTTGTTGCAACTACCACAACCAATGTTTATGTTAAAACGAGGAATCATTGATTGATTTACTAAAGTTAAGGTCGATTCACTATTCAAATTTCTAGAACCTGTAGATAAGGAGTGTCTAATTTTGTGTCTCATTACTTTGATTGAGTTTATTAGTATATTGATTGTAACTCTAATTTTGTCATTTGCTCTCAAGTTTTGTTGGTCTCCTTTTAGTTGAGTTGTTAGCATATGATTTACTTGAATCAACAACTCTTCATTTCTGTTTTTTTTTTTATAAATCCATTTCTTTTTTATTAGTGGCATGTTATTCATAGAGGAGAGCTTTGAACCATTTATGTGGGATTGTGAGGTTTCATTTCAGTTTCAAACTATCTATGGATCATGTGGTAATTTTTTTGTTAAGGATGATATAGATTAATAGTAATTTGAAAAAGATACAAGAAGAAAAAAAACGAAACAAAGCTGGAAACAAAAGGAAAAACAGGCGCAGAGGAGGACAAAGAAAGTATACAGGGAAGAGAAGCAAGAAACCAAAGGAAAAAGGAGGGCCTTAAACAGAAGACAACAGAAGCAAAATAACCGCTTCAAACGCCTAACAGGGGGTTCTCCTAGTCCTGGATATCAACCTGCTTTTAAGAGTCGACACCCAAGCTTCTGCCACTTGCTTATCAACTTTCTCGCTTTTATATTATATATTTCTGGACAATCTATTAACCAATATCATTTTAATGGGGGCTCAATTATCATTATGAAAATGGGATTAATGATACATTTTTATTTTCTTAAACGAGGAGGATATTTTCCTGAATGTTCGACATATATATTCATTCCCATGGTCAGTGATGATGGACTCCGGGAGTCCAAATCTCGCAAAGATGTTCCTCTTCGTGAACTTCCGCACCTGTGACTCAGTGATCGATGCCAACGGATCTGCCTCGATCCACTTGGTGAAGTAGTCCACTGTGACAATCAAGTACTTGAACTGACCAGGCGCCTTAGGAAAGGGGCACAAGAGGTCCATGCCCCACTGGGCGAAGGGCCAGGCGCCTACGTTCCCTTGCATGGGTGCCGCGGGGATGTGTATATCGTTGGCATGAATCTGGCATTGGTGACAAGCCGCCACATGCTTCCTGGCGTCCGCCCGTATCGTCGGCCAATAATATCCCTGCCGGAGAAGAATTTTCTCTAGGCTCCGGGCGCCTGCATGCATGCCGCAAGTTCCTTGGTGGACTTCCTTGATTGCTTCCAACCCCTCACCTTCAGTTAGACACCTCAGGTAGGCGCCTGAATGCGATCTCTTATACAACACCCCATCAACTATGGCGCAACGGGCTGCCTTTCTTCGCAGGCGCCATGCCTCTTTCGGGTCCTCTGTTACTACTCCTTGGGTGAGAAAAAGTCATATTGGTGCCATCCATCCTTCCCTTTCTCCTGTTGCGAGAGACGCCATTACCATCTCCTCATGCGGCACCTATTTCGTTATGATCACCGTCCGACTTTCCTCAAAGTCTAAAGCCGTCGCTAACTTGGACAAGGCGTCCGCATGGGCGTTCTCCTCTCTTGGAACGTGGGTGAATGTCACGTCCCGGAACCAGGCACACCTTTTCCGTACGGCATGCACGTAAGCTCCTAACGTTTCTTCCTTCACTTCATACACCTCATTCAACTGGTTAACCACCAATGCCGAGTCAGTTTTGACATTCACCTTCTGGGCGCCTAGCTCTCTTTCAAAATGGAGCCCCGCAAGGACGGCTTCGTACTCTGCGGCGTTGTTTGTCTTAAGAGTAGCGAACCGTAATGCAACCTCATGCAAGGCGCCTAGCGGACTGATGAGGACTACACCAGCCTCTGCTCCTGCCCTGCTGGCCGCTCCATCGACATGCACCTGCCAACATTCCTCCACGCTGGCTCCCCCGTTAGTTATGCCTTCAGCCGCAAAATCTGCCAATACTTGAGCCTTGATAGCTGGCGGGGGCGCATATTGTATGTCAAACTCGCTGAGTTGCACGGCCCACTTCACCAGGCGCCCGGACACATCCATCGATCCTAGTACCGACTTGAGGGGAAGGTTTGTGAGCACCACGATACGATGAGCCTGAAAGTATGGTCGGAGTTTGTTGGCGGCCATTACTACCGCCAACGCCGCTTTCTCGATAGGCGCATACCGCGTCTCGTGACCCACCATGGTGCGACTCGCATAATACACCGGCTTCTCTTTGTTCGTCAATAGGTCTTTGGATACGAGGACCGCACTTACAACAATGTGGGACACAGCTATGTAAAAGTATAGCACTTCCTTAGCCTTAGGCGCCGTCATTACCGTAGGCGCCGTGAGCAGCTTCTTCAAATGCCTCGTTACAATCATTGGTCCACTTGAACTTGTTAGCTTTTTTCAAAACATTAAAAAGGGGGGCGCTCCGATCGGAAGACCTTGGGATGAAACGCCCAAGCGCTGCCAGTCTCCCCGTCAATACTTGCACCTTCTTGGGCGTCCGCGGGGGATCCAGACTCATTATGGCCTCGATTTGCTTGGGGTTAGCTTCAATTCCTCGCCTTGTTATCATGAACCCCAAGAACTTTCCGGCCTCAGCCAAAAACACACACTTCTTGGGATTAAGCCTTAACCGGAAGCGGCGCATCGTCTCGAAAGTTTCTCGCAAATCCATGATGTGGTCTTGGCGCCTGCTGCTCTTTACGATCAAATCATCCACATACGCTTCCACATTCCTTCCTAGCTGCTTGCGGAAAAATTGGTTCACCATGCGCTGATATGTTGCCCCGGCGTTCTTCAATCCAAACGCCATCACCCTATAACAGAAATTTCCGAACGGCGTCATGAAAGCTGTCTTTCCCATATCTTCTTCCGCCATAGGTATCTGATGGTACCCCGAGAACATATCGAGGAAACTAAGTGCCTCATGGTAAGCTGGTGCGTCCACCAACAAGTCAATGCGCAGCATGGGGTATGCGTCTGTGGGGCACGCTCGATTAAGGTTGGTGAAGTCTACACACATCCTCCAATCTCCAGATGACTTTGGGATAAACACCACGTTGGAGAGCCATGTGATGTACCTTGCTTCCTCCACAAATCCCGCTTCGAGCAATCTATCAACTTCTCGGCGGAGCGCCTCCTCCTTTTCTTGTGACAAATTTCGGCGCTTTTGTTGAACAGGCCTTTTTCCTTCCTCCACGGCGAGTCGGTGCACTGCTACCTCAGAGGACACTCCTGGCATGTCCTGGGCGCCCCATGCAAACAACTCCCCAAACTCCCGCAACAATTTGATTAAAGGTGCCCTCATCACTTCCGGCGCCTGTGCCGATATCCGCACCTGTCTCTCCGGGCGCTCCTCCTCCAGGGCCACTACAAGCTCATCATTCACAGACTCCGCCCTAGGCGCCTCCTCAAAGCGAACATCGACATTGTTGATTCTGTGCTTGCGGACGCGGCTCCTTGGGTCCTCTTCTCGCGCATACCGTGGAACATTCCTTCCTCGGGAGATACCGATGCCATGGGGTGCTACAAACTTCAGCGTTTGGTGACAAGTGGATGCCACCCCATTGAATTGTGCTAGGAGTGGTCGACCAAGTATCACGTTGTAGGGGGAGGGACAATCCACAATCCTGAATTCTACCGTATGTGTTACACAATGCATTTCGTCACCTAGGGTCACGGGCAGGCGCACACGCCCGATGACTTGGGCTGGCGCTCCCGAGAAACCAATCAACACTGAACTCGAGGGACGCACCAACTCAGGCGCTAGCTGCATGCGCTCAAACGTGCTTTTGAAGAGGACGTCCATCGAACTCCCGGTGTCCACCAGCATTCTTTTCACCTTGCACCCTGCTATCACCCCTTGAATCTCCAAAGCCTCTTCCGATGGGACTTGGCACGCTTCATCTGGCTCTTGGTTGAAGTGGATGTGCACCGCTGCCCTGGCCTCCAACGATGCGGCCCTTAGACGCCTCGTCCTCTCCAACTTCTCCCTCAAATCGAGCGTGCCGGTTATGGATTCAACCGTCAGCCTGATGCGACAAGGCTCCCCTTGTTGGTCAACTTCAAACGGCGGCGGCGTTATCACCGGCTCCTGGTGCGTCTTCCTTTCATGGTCAGCCTCAAACGGGGGTGGTGGTACCACAGACTCCCACCGCGTCTTTGGTTCTTCGGGCGCTCTTTGGATTATTGGCGCCTCAGGCGCCGGCCTGGTCACATAAGCTCTATGGGTCCTGTCCTCCCCCCTTCTGACGAAGTCGTTGAACATGCCCTTGTCGGTCAAAGTCTGAAGCTCGGCCTTAAGTTGATAGCAATCAGCGGAATAGTGTCCCTTGTCGCGATGAAAGTCGCAGTATCTGTCGAGGTTTTTCTCGTTTGGCTGGCCGCGCATGGGCCCCGGCCACCGTATATGGTAGCCCCTATCCTTCACATATTGTAGTACATTTTTTAGGGTGTCATTATACTCCGTAAAATTTGCGGCACTCCTTGGCACGGGGCGTGGCGCCTCTGGCCTCCTCTATGGACCGAAATTTCCTGACATGGGCCTGGCGCCTGCCTCACTTCCACTTCGTCACCCCTTAGGCGCCTTTTCTCGGCCCTTCTTGCAGCCAACGTTTCCTCCAACATGATTACCTTCTGTACCCTCCGGTCCAGGTCCTCGGTGGACACCACATCCCGCTTTGAAAGGACTCAGCAGAGCTCTTCGCTGGAATGCACGCATCGAGACGAACTCCTAGCACCGCTGGTTGGACATCCTTGACCGCCATGGCGACTGAGATCCAACGATCGTTGAACTCCCTGAGCGCCTCTCCTTCCCTTTGCCTTACTTTGAACAGTGCGCCTATGGTCAACGTCCGGCGCTTCCGACTTGCAAATTTGGACAGGAATAGCTTGGCGAATTGCTCAAAACATTCTATGCGCCCCTCCTCGACTTGATGGTACCAATCCAAGACCACTCCCGCAAACGTGGACGGGAACACCTTACACAGCGTGGCGTCCGAGCTGTTGTAGAGTTGCATTTTTGTGAAGTAGCTATTCAGATGATCCTCTGGGTCGGCCACCCCATCGTAACTGGGTAACGGGGGAATTTTGTCGTTCCCGCTGGCTCCATCAGGATGCTTCGGGCCAGGGGTTGACGAACGCCGAACCGTCTGGCAACCCTCCTAGGCGCCCAAACGTCATAGGGTCCCGTCTGAGTGGGCTCGAGGGGCAGTCTCCAGGCGCGCGGACGTCCGGGCATAGTATGCCCCTGCTCGGTCTGGTGCGGAAGTCCATGCTGCTGCGATTCCGAGTCTTCCCCCGCTCTGTCTCGCTTTCTCAATCCGGGGCTGTACATCATCATGTCTTCACTTCGCTCCCCCTCCAACTCCCTCCTGAGCGCCGCTATGGCCCGATCTTGGTCAGCTATGATTCGGAACAACTCTCTCTTCGTTAAGGAATCCCCCTCGTCCGCTGATAGGCGCCCAGGGCTCCCCTGTTCCCCCACGTCCATGCTCGATCCATGACTTCGCTGGCGCTCGCCCTCCTCATGATTCGAGTTTCCTGACTTCGAATTATCCTCCCCTTCGTTTGTTTCATTCATGTTTTCCATGGGCGCAACCCCTTCCTGGCGCGCCAATTGTTGAAGCCACGTAACCCCCGGGCTCACTACTCCGAACCTCCGACTGGTGGACTGCTCTCCGGACGCCTAGATCCTGCAGGGACAGACGCCTAGGGGCTTTGAGATGCCCGTTAGCACTCCAACGCTCAAGTTAGTATCAAGTTTTAGAGAGAGAAGTGCTCAAAGAGATTTTAGTGAGAGAAGCCAACCTGCTTAAATGCTACCTACCGAGTACTATTTATACTCGTCGAAGCCCCGACCGGGCTCCTAGAATTCAGCTCCACGTCAGCGCGTCATTAAATGCTCAGTACGGCCCAACGGTCGGGCGCCTCCATGTGGCAGCTCCTGGGCTCCTGACCCCTGGCGCCTGCAGGGACCACCTTGCCAGGTGGCACGCCCTCAGCTCTCTGGTCTCTGATTTTTATGGTCCCCGCCCCTTCTTTGTCGTCATGCGCCTACTGATCCTAGGCTGGGCCTAACTCCTATCTTTCATCCCCATCTCCTTGCCCTAAAGCGGGCTTGGGCCTAAGCATTTTGGACGGGCCCATGTCCCAACAGCTCATCTACGCACACACCCAACAATAACATAAAAAATATAAATATTAAAATATGAACATTCCGGCCAACGGACCGGGTTATAAGGTAGTAATTAATATAATCTATTAGTCTTAGTCTTTATTTGTTTCGGAGTAGGATTGCACTAATAGTTTATGATGATTTCTAATTAATAGAATTAGTAGAGTACGGACCAAGTTAGGATTCTAGTATACATACATCATTGCGATGTTAGTTACTTAGTTTGGTAGACGAAGAAGAAAAAACCTAATTATTATATTGTTAATTTGAGTCCTATCCTTTATTTGTTTCTTGGTGGCGTAACTTGGGGAGGAAGTCACGTTGTTGCGAGGGGTGTTTCTGGGATAGGATTCTTCTGCTAGGGTTGGCTGAGAAGATGGCCAGATTCGGGTTCTATATTCGCATCTGGCTAGCTAAGGTTCTGGCTCAAGGTTGTCAAACCGGTTTATACCGTTTTGCCGGTTTGGTAAGTGGAATGGTATGACCGGTGGTATAATCAGTTTGTGTCGGTTCATGCCGGTTTAAAAAAGTTTAAAAACAATTAATATCCAATGTATTTAATCATATATAGAACATATTTGTAGACAATTAAGTTACAATCCAACAAATATCATCAACTTTTAACTATTAAATTCATAAAATGAATGATAAATTAATTTTTATATTAATTAAATTTATTAAAATGATGTTAATTTACTTAGAACACGTAAATCGATCATACCGGTCATACCATTGATGTCATGCCGGTTTCATGACTGGTACAGATTGAACCACGTTCAACCGGGTGGCATGCCACCGGCATGACAACCAATCTGGCTTCAAAAATTGCAGCTAGCGAGGCAGCAGCCCACTTGCTCGCATTATATTTTACTTATATTTATGGAAGATATTTTTCGTTATCGTTGTGCAAGTTGCAGTTCTTTTATTGCCTCGGGGCGGGCAGGTCGGGGCAGCCACACCGCCAAACTCCCAGAGACCGGCAAAGCAAAAACGTGATGCTGCCCCCAGCCAAGCTGCTGCCCGGAAAGCTCAACCCTAAATCTGGTAAGAACATCGCACCTCCTTCCCTTCTCTATAAATAGAAAGCTGTAGACGGAAAGTCGCAAAATTCCTCGCTAGCGGCCGCCTCTGTAGCTTCCTCTTCTTTCCTTCCTTATATTTTCTTCCTTTCCATTGCTTAGCTATCTTCTCCTTCTGAGCAGTCAAATTAGTCAAGATGGTGAAGTCGATCTGATGAGTTCTTTCTTTGTGAGATTGATTAAATTTTTTTTTTTTAATCATAGTTTTGTATGTTCGTAGAACGTAATTTGTTGAGTTTGTGCAAAATACTTCCATCCGCGTGCGACCTCTCATTGATTATACATTATCGGTGAGGTTTTGGGCATAGCGGCCATATTTTTGCATATATCCATTGAGAAATCGAATGCCACAGTAGCTTCAAAGCTCTTATCTGATATTTAGCTGTTGTTGCTATTTTGCTTTGCAACAGGCTTATTGGATATTTGTGCACACATCTTCCGAAAAAAAAAAATGTAATGGACATCTTCCAGCTTTTAACCTCTCAAATTTGTTACTTTTTCTTTACTTCCAATAATGTGCTAAGAAGTAAGAATTTGTGAGCCGTAGCAGACAATTTACCCAAACTTCCTTCTTTGATAAACAGACCAAATTTGTTTTTGATGCCGTCGAAACTTTTTTCAATGCAAAGTTTTGCGAGCTATTGTCCAGTTTGTTAACGAGATAAATTCAAAAAATGCCATTTTTTTCCAAAACCAAAAGTACATCCATGTAACAATTTTGTAAGGATTGCATCTCCATGGCGATTAAAACGAGGATCGCAGGGATGCAATAGTCTCCTTTTTTGCCGCTTACAGAGTGCGTGGGGTTATTGTAGTTTGATTGATTGGATCCTCGTGATTCAATGTCTGACCGTTCGTCATTTAAGCACTTCGTGCGATCACCCCATATGGCCGCGCGTCTCCCTCCTAAACCGCCATCTCCATAAGTGGTTTAAATTTCAAACTCAAAACTGTTTAACCCGCCAACGATTTTGTTTTGCGAAATAGTCGCCACACACTTTTCCGCTGCCTATAAAAGCAGCTCTATCGCTCTTCATTTTCCTCCAAACAAAGCTTTCTCCTTACTCTCTCTAAGATTTTCTCTTCACTCATTCCCCTCTCCACCCTTAATTTAAGAAATAGTCGTCGGCTTAGGTTTTGGCTAAGTCTGAATTATTATCAGAAAATATTTTGTATGTTTTTTTCTCTCAAACAAGTTAAACCTTTGTTCACCTTGTGTAAAAAATGAAATAGATAGTTACTATCAAGAAAACATTTTGGAAAATGACTATCAAGCGGTCCGTACTTATTCTTTTCTGTATTTTGGCTCTTATAATTCTTGTTAATTAATCTATATGCTAATTATTTCTTTTTTTGTTAAGATATTGTAGTTTGGTATGGATGTATATATATATATATATATATGATAAAATATATTATCTTGACCAAGGATCCCTGAAAGAAGTGTTCTGTATGACCAATTTAACCATCGTTTAATGGTTGTTTCGAACAATTTGCATGTACATGTAATTCTTCAACCTTTGTCATAGTTTATTTTTTAAATGTACTTAGTGGTTTAGAATAAAATTTTGTAAATGGTTAATCATATTGGTTGTTTTCAATGATTTAGGCTAAGTAAATGATTAATATGATTAACTATTTACAAACTTATATTCTAAACTACTAAGTACGTTAACTAAATAAACTATGATAAAGGTTGAAGAATTATACATACCGGCAAATTGTTCCAACATCTCTTAAACAATGGCTAGGCTGGTCGTACAAAATACTTCCATTATAGGATCCTTGATCAACATAATATCTTTGATCATATATATCTACATCCATATCAATCTACAATAGCATAACAAAAAATGAATTATTAGTATATATATAGATTAGTTACAAGAATTATAAGAACTAAATAAAGAGAAGAATGAGTACGTACCGCTTGATAGTGATCATCAAAATGTTTTCTTGATAGTAAAAATCCTTGTCCATTGTTGACAGAAGGCATTCATAGGTTCGACGTGTTTTGGAGGGGAAAAAAACTTAAAAAATATTTGTGGGTATGATAATTCTATATTTGTGGGTGTGGTTACCCGCAAAATGTGGGGCGAGTAACCACACCCACCCCAATTTCCACCCCTAGTGGTAATAACCAAACCAATTAAGCCTAACTTTCATTAACCATGAAATAAAATGTCTTAACCAAGCCGTCCAAATAACACGAACACCGAATTAACCAAACCAAAGTTTAGCTGGTTTGGTTAATCGGATAATCGAAATAATCAAATAACATAACATTACATGAAAACAATTATCCGGTTAATGAATAAAACATAACCATTGTTGTTACTATCATAAACTATCATTATATATAAGTAATAATAATTAGACTAACCATCCATGATTATCTCTGCACCTAATATAGTTAGGTTACAACAAACCCCTTAATATAAATACATACCAATACCCCTCATCAGGAAGTTAAAGCTCTCCTACAAAATACTTAAACTATACAAGGTTTGAGGTGACTGTCATGGTGTTGTACGTAATCCTAAAGTTTAGTAGATGTCCAAAATGTTTTGGTTTAGTAAATAGGTAGACCCATTTAATTTTTGACAATAATATTTTGGTTTGTTGTGCACATGGAAATACAAAAGGGAATCACGAAAGTTTGGTTTCGTTGGTAGCATGGAAGTATAAATAATTTTGTATATTATGTGTATCATTAATTGGTTAATTAGTTTCATTGGTTAGTAGTGTTGAAACCAAACCAAACCACCTAAACCAAATAAGCTAAATTGTTTAACCAAACCAAACCAATTATCCAAATTAACCGAATACTACCTGTTAATATGGTTACCACGGTTACCAATCCGTTTGAACACCTCTACCTAGGAATACCAAAAATGCCCCACTTTATTAAAACCGTTAAATTATAGAAAAGAGTAATAAATGGTGATTGTATGCAATTGGCACTATGCTAATTCCTTAATGGGTTAGCATGTGATTTCATTCCAACAGAAGTTGTAATAAATAGAAAAGAACAAATTCTTTATTCCTTGTTTAATGTACTCGTGGAGATTACGCTGTTTTAATTAGTTAAATTTTGGAATTCAGATCAAAGAGGCGCATCTAGTGTAGTGGTATCATAGTACCCTCCCACGGTACTGACCGGGGTTCGATTCCCCGGATGCGCACTACTTTTGTATTTTTTATTTTTAACTTTCAAACCGTACCCTAGAAATAGAAAGCAAATTATTCCTTTTCCTTTTTCACTCTATACTATCTCCATTCTCCAAGCAAGCAGCTCGAGGCTCTGTCAACAGAGCTTTTCAGTCCAGACTTCCACCAGAAAACAAACCAAAAGACAACAATGGCTTCCGCCTCGTCGGCGCCCTCCGTAATCGTCATCGGAGCCGGAATCTCTGGTACCTAACCGAAATCCCTGAACCTATATTGATACTATGCAAAATGTGCTAGTTATGGTGGTGTTCATGATGTACCGCTCTCCCTTACTAATAAAATTTCCTCAGGAATCGCGGCTGCGAAGACGCTTCACGACGCCGGTGTGAAGGACATCGTGATCCTGGAAGCGACATCCCATGTGGGAGGACGGATGCGGAAAGCGGAGATCGGCGGGCACACGGTGGAGCTCGGAGCTAACTGGTACCTCAGTGGAGGGCCTGTTCCCAATCCAATCGCCGAAATCGCCAGCAAATTGAACCTCAAATATACCCTCACAGACAACGGAAACCTTTCTTCCAACACCTACAAACAACAGTAAGCCGCCGCCGCCGGCGTCGGCCGGAATACATTGATCAAATTGAAACCCCCTCATTTCCGATACATATTTCTCTTTATATTAATTTCTCTTCTCTTGGGCCGCCGTTGTAGAGGCGGATTGTACCCGAAGGAAGCCGTCGAGGCAGCTCAAAAGGCCACCGCTGCGAGGACTGATTTCTGCGCAAAGTTCAGCCAGGCTCTGAATTCAGGAGCTAAGGAAGACGACGATATCTCCATTTTGGCGGCGCATCGGTTGTCCGGAAGGTATTGTGGTCATTCTTATATTGCTGATTTTGTGTCTATTCCCTTGTTTCTATATGCTGTTGAAATTAGGGTTTGTGGGGGAGAATTTAGCAAAATTGATAGTTGAGAACTTGAGATGAATCACTTTGCTGTATTCTTAGTGACGGAGTAATTTTGGTTGTGCAGTCTACCCGAAACTCCTCTAGAAAGAGTTGTAGAGTACATGAACGATGAATTGACAGATGGAGAGCCGCCAGAACTCACGAGCTTGAAGAACGTTCACCCAAGGACGATAGGCCCCGACCATGGCCCGCTAGCTCACTTCGTGGCAGATCCCAGAGGCTATGAGGCTATACCTCAGTATGTTGGGGAGCAGTTCCTTTCCTCCATCAATGGCGATCCCCGCCTCCAGCTGAATAAGGTAACAAGATACATTCTGCATATCCTACTTGATTTGTTGGTGGAGAACAGGAAGCAGAATGGCTCAGTTGAAATCTTGTGGCCTATAATTACTGTGTGATCTTAGCCTTGTTAGCCCCAAAATGCACAGACCATGCTTATGATTAGTTACATATGCCACAAAATCACATTGGTTTACTACTTTCAAGTTCAGAATATACTGGTTCTGTTTGCATTATTCTTCTTTGTTTCCACTTACTGATTTCTAGGTGAAGTCAAATTTGGTTCATTTTCACTACATTGGACTTGGAAGGGACTGCTAATCCAGTTTTGATTGAAACTTTTCACCTTGATTCAAACGTAGCTGATAAGTGTATCCTCTGACATTCTGAAATATGGGTTTCCTTTTTTTCTATCCTTTTCTTAACATCAACCTTAAGGTGGTTAGAGAAATCACCTATACGGAGAATATGGTGGTAGTCCAAACCGAGGATGGGTCGACATATCAGGCAAACTATGTCATTATTTCTGTAAGCATCGGAGTGCTCCAGAGTGATCTCATTCAGTTCAAGCCGCAGCTTCCGGTGAGTGTCAATTTCATTGCTGTCGATATTCAAGTTGAATAAGATAATGCAATTTACAAGATAAGATATATGCTCTATTTTAACGCAAGAAACACGATCTGTTTTCCAGATGTGGAAGAGGGTTGCAATAGCTGATTTCAGTATGGCTGTGTACTCAAAGATATTCTTCCAATTCCCTCACAAGTTTTGGCCAACTGGTCCTGGAACTGAGACCTTCCTTTACGCCCATATCCAACGTGGTTACTATCCTGTTTGGCAGGTATCTGACTTAATTAAATCGTGCAGTATCTGATAGAGAAAGCTTTTAATCCTGAATAGGAAAGCTAGCATACTGACGTATCTAGATTTGGATATACTGTATCAGCATCTGGATAATGAGATCCCGGGATCGAACATACTAATGGTGACGGTAACATACGACGAGGCCAAACGAATGGAGCAGCTGTCAGACAAAGAGTTGCAGGCTGAGGCCATGGGCGTGCTGAGAAAGATGTTTGGTGAAAAAATCCCAGAGCCTGAGAGCGTGCTGACACACAGGTGGTTTTCGGACAGGTTCTACAGGGGAAGCCATTCCAACTGGCCGCGTGGCTATAGCCAAGATCGCCATGACAAATTGGGGGTGAGCTTCGTAACTAAAACTCCCTCAAAACTTTATACCCTTTCAGAAATTGATTGATGCTTGCTAATCCTGATAGTTGTTTCTGTATAACGTCTAAAAATATAGGCTGCAGTTGGCCCAGTTTACTTCACAGGGGAGCATCTCCACAAGAAGTATTTTGGATGGGTTAGTGGCGCTTACTTAGCAGGGATCGACACTGCCAAGTCTTTGTTGAAGAGCTTGGAGAAGTAAGCAATGCCGTGTAGAAGAAGGTAGGCAACAGTGGAATAAATGCTCGTTACATTTTTGTGCCATGTAGGATTTGCAATTGACTAAATACTTCATATGTGCTAAATTGTGGACTTGTGGTCCAATGTCTGTTAATTTAAAATTCTAGGGGTATTATTGCGAACAGGATCAAAGTTTGTGCCATATAACGATATTTCGCCAAATAAAGGTAATAATCACTTTTTTGTGAGAAATACATGTCATTCCCCCTCAAAATTTTCAACAATTCAACAGGAAGACGAACAGCGGTGGTGGCGGCGGCTGGCTGACCCAGCTGGAAGTTGCCATTGATAATATAAATAATAAAAATCCAACACGCAATTTGATCAATTAATTTCCCCCCGTACCACCGAATAATTCTTTGGCTAAATCATGGTTCACCATTTCCACATCCAATCCGAGTAATCCCCTCAGCGTCTTCAAACTCCTCCTCCGCCGGCATGCTTCCTCTTCTCCCCGCACGCCACCGCCGCCGGTGGCAGCAACTCCTCCTCCTCCTCCTCCTCTTCTTCTTCCATCCATGTCTCGCCGTGGATTTCATCTTCAATTCCTTCAACCCAAGCAACCCAGGAGTCACCCTCGTCCCCGACGCCCGGGTCGACTCGTCCGTCATCCGACTCACCAACGACACCAACCAGTACTCCCTCGGTCGCGCTTTTTACCCGACCCGAATCCCCATGAGACGAGCCACCACCGGCGCCGCCGCCAACAACAACTCCACCACCCTCTCTTCCTTTTCGACATCCTTCATCTTCTCCGTTCTCCCCGAAATCGCCACCAGCCCCGGGTTCGGCCTCGCCTTCGTCCTCTCCAATTGGACCGACCCGCCCAACGCCCTCGCCAGCCAGTACTTCGGCCTCTTCACCAACGCCACCGTCCCCTTCCAGGCCCCACTCCTCGCCGTCGAGTTCGACACCGGTCAGAACCCGGAGTTCAACGACCCCAACGGGAACCACATCGGCATCGACCTCAACAACATCGAATCCGCCAAGACCGAACCCGCCGGCTACTACAATTCCTCCGGAGGATTCGTCCCCGTGGACATGAGAAGCGGTCAGAACGTCCGCGCTTGGATCGATTTCGACGGTAGCAATTTCGAGATCAATGTGACGGTCGCGCCGGTTGGGATTCCCCGGCCGTCCGCCCCGACTCTCACATACAGAGATCCAGCGATTGCCAATTACGTCTCGGCCGAGATGTTCGTGGGGTTCTCTGCCTCGAAAACCACTTGGGTCGAAGCACAGAGGGTTTTGGCGTGGAGTTTCAGCGATACAGTAGGGGTAGCAGCCAGAGAGCTCAACACCACCAATCTCCCTGTTTTCAGATTGCCATCTTCAGGTTCGAATTCGTTATCCGCCGGTTCAATTGCGGGCATCGTAATCGGCTGTGTTGCTTTTCTGGCGATTTTGGGTCTAGGGATTTGGTTTTGGATGAAAAGCAAGAGGAAACGAGGAGACGAAGAAGAAGACGACGAAATTGAAGATTGGGAACTCGAGTACTGGCCGCATAGATTCTCCTACGAAGAACTCACCCAAGCCACCAATGGATTCTCCAAAGACGTACTCCTCGGTTCCGGTGGATTCGGGAAGGTCTACAAAGGCACGCTCGCCGGAAACGGGACGGAGATCGCGGTGAAGTGCGTGAATCACGACTCCAAGCAAGGTCTCAGAGAATTCATGGCGGAGATCTCGAGCATGGGGCGTCTCCAGCACAAGAACCTGGTCCAGATGCGAGGGTGGTGCCGGAAATCCAACGAACTGATGCTCGTCTACGACTACATGCCCAACGGCAGCCTGGATCGCTACATCTTCAGCAGACAGACCAAGCTCCTACTTAGCTGGAAGCAACGCCGGCAGATCCTCGCCGACGTCGCCGAGGGGCTGAGCTACCTCCACCACGGGTGGGACCAGGTGGTGATCCACCGGGACATCAAGTCGAGCAACATCCTGCTCGACGCCGAGATGCGCGGCCGCGTGGGCGATTTCGGGCTGGCGAAGCTGTACGGCCACAACGACGCCCCCAACACGACGAGGGTGGTGGGGACGCTGGGGTACCTGGCGCCGGAGCTGGCCAGCAGCGCCGTGCCGTCGGCGGCGAGCGACGTGTACAGCTTCGGGGTGGTGGTGCTGGAGGTGGCGTGCGGGAGGAGGCCGATTGAGCTCGGTTCGGAGGCGGAGGATGACAGGGTGCTGCTCGATTGGGTGAGGGATCTGTACGCCGAAGGGAGGGTGGCGGCGGCGGCGGACGAGAGGGTGAGAGGTGAATTCGGCGCGGAGGAGATGGAGACGGTGTTGAAGCTCGGATTGGCTTGCTGCCATCCAGATCCGGAGAGGAGGCCCGACATGAAGGAGGTGGCGGCGGTTTTGGTTGGGGAGGAGGAGGATCCTGATCCTGAAGCTACACCACCGCCGCCGGCCGGGTGGGAGGGTGAGTTGACCGGCGACGGTGGTGGTGATAAATTAAATGATGTGGGGGCTGATCAGTTGGTGTGATTTTGAAATGTGAATGCTGTAGAAGAATCGTCTGCTTTGATTTTTTCGGGGTTTACTTTTCCGTATTCCGCGGTGCATATCGTTGACTTTTTCTTGTTGTGCTTTTGACTGAGATTTTTTTGGTAAAGTACCTGAACAGTAAACACTTTTTTCTTCTTCGTATTCCACTGTGCACAAAATATATATAATGTTGACCCACGCTGCCACGCACACATAGTGATGGCAATGGGCGGGTAACTCAATTCTCATGGCGGGGCGGGTCGACCCATTCTTACATGTTATTCGAAAAAAATATAAGTAAATTTTACTTTTTACGATAAAACGAAAGGTAAAACAATTTAAGAATAAAAAATAGTGATAATAGAATAGATAATTGAGTCTAACAAGTTGAAAGAGCGACTATAATTAGTTGAAAAAAAGTCAAAATAGGAGAAATATGTATAGAAATTATAAGAAATTGAGATAAAATGAGTCTAGAACGGGGCGGGGCAGGGCGGGTCGCAAGTAAATACCCATACCCCGCACCACGCTACTGCGGGTCGGGTAATACCCGCCCCATCACGGATCAGGTCGGGTAATACCCGCGGGGCGGGTTGAAATTACCATCACTACGCACACATACTTACTCTAAACCCTCAGGAATCAGCCTTGCGTGCCAAGTCATCAGTTGTAGACCAAATAGACAAGTCAGTGAAACTAGGACTGGAGGTTCAGTTATCGGTTGCCGGTTAACCGGTCGGTTAAACCGATAACCGACAATTACCTGTTAACCGGCTGGTTAAATAGATAACCGACGGTTACCGGTTAACCGACTAACCGAAAAAGCTCACGCGGGCGGTGTTCGGTAGGGGAATTGGTTATGGCGGTTAACCGGCTAACCGATGAGTCTAACCGCCGGCTAACCGACACAACCAACCCCTTCACAAAACGTCGCCGCCCCCTCCCAGTCTCCCACTCTTCACGGTTCAGCCTAACCCTAATTCCCCTTCGTCCTTCCTTCCCCAATTGCCAATTCGCAATTCCCCTTCCCTTCTCTGCATCGCGACCGTCGCCGCCCAGTTCCTCCCTCCCGATTTGCGAATGGTTACGACGAATCAATCTCGTTCCTCAGCCTCCATCTCTTCTTCCCAGGCCACAGAAGTGGCTTCAGACGAAGCCGCGACCAGAGCGTCTCCTGCTCCGCCATCTCCCTCGCCGACCCGCGCCCCTGCTCGGCTGCTCCGCCATCTCCTCCCCGACCAGCTTCCCAACTCGCCGCCAGCCACACAGTCCCCCGCCGACCGCTATTGTTCCTCCGCCACCAGCACCAGTCCCCGCCGTCAACCACAGTCCCCCGCCGCATTTCCTCCGCCGACCAGTCCACGAGCAATCACCAGTAACCACCGCCTGTGTTGTGCGGTTAGCTCAGTTAACCGAGAAACTAACCGGTAACCGACCGGTCGGTTGTCGATCGGTTGGCGGTAGCTTTGCCTTGTATTTCGGTTAACCGGTAACCGACCATTCGGTTACCGATTGTAACCGAAAAAACCAAACCTCCAGCCCTAGGTGAAACACTCAAATGGGCCACCACTCAAATAGAACTGTGGGATCGCGTTTCATGTATGTGCCGAGTCGTTGAATTGCGTACATTGACAAGAATGTTACTACTGTATTGGTAAGAGGCTGTTGACCCCTTTCAGTCCATGTTAAAGTCGTTGGATCGTCTTAAATACCTACACACAATTGTTCAATCGCATATATTATTGACACCATCAACAAAAAAAGTCGATGCACCAACTAAAAATGCTTGAGAGGACAATCCAAGAACATCAGCAATATCCCCCACCCATCTACATAGCAACTTAATTCCAACCATCAAGGTGGGAGAATTGATGTGAGCAGATGAATATTCTCAGGCATGGTAGCATGTAGGGGAAAAAACAGGTGGTAGCCATTTTGATAGAGGGTATGGTGGCCAAAATACAGGGTTGAATATGAGGGAAATGGTCCATACATGCTACCAATAGCAGAAGGCCAACACGACAAAAAGAGTATGTCTGCATCAGCATGAACTCATCCTGGTGTCATCTTCTACTAAAAAGTTAAAAACTTCCACTATGAAGAAAGAAAGAAAAGAGCATTAGCAAGGTTTGAAGTTGGCAGCTGACAATTTTTTGCTGCCATCAAGGTGTCACCTTCCGTGTGTTTGATGGGAAAAACCTCATGAGGAAGCTTGACAGAGACCAAATGCAGATGACTCCAAGGAATTGCAGAACATTCAAAAGTGTCCCAAGGGAGCTGCTTATCTCCAAGTTATGTGTAGTCATCTCGGCCCCTTTCACTGTGTATGACAGTGCTGTGACTAGTTGGGCCGCCCTATTCAGTTGGTGCAGTCGATAAACCTGTCAATAAACAAGATATGTGTTCACTAGCAGAACGAACTAAAGATCCCTTCTCAGAGGTGATGTGTGTGGTAATAGGACAAGTAATCAAGTATATGACAATACCGCTGCTCTAAGACAGCAAATGAGCCAAATATGAAGCATTAGAAATTGGTCGCGGCTATCCTTACCTGAAAAATTATAGGAATCACTGACCAAGAAGGCGAATTTCGAGATCTAGCATACTGCTCAAATGCAAACTGGACAACAATGCCAACCAAGTATGGCGCAAGAGTAGCAGAAGCAGCAGGACCAGTCCATGGCCAGACCAAACCCATGGTTACCATCGGAACTATAAGACTCAGAACCAAGGTAGCAACAGAAGATATTCTCTGAGCTAAGTGAGGAGGAGACACTGTGGCTTGATTGCTTGGAATGGATTCTGATTCATCAGGCCTTCTCAAACGGTCAATCAGCAGAAGGAAAATGGCGACACCGCAGTAGAAGATTGCTTCTGTGAAAAACAGTATGAGGAAATCTGCAAAGACAAGAAAAAAGCATTCAACAGTGAATTGAACCTTTATTAAGATAACTAATAACTGCCAAAGTACTGGCCTCTATCTCTGAGCAATATATTTCAATGAGCCACTGGACTAGGCTATAATTTTTGTCCATTGGAACTTCTATGTGCACCATGAATGCAAAGAGATCATTCCATTGATTTCCAAGATTCTACAGAACCACAATATTGTTTCCTAGATAAAGTTATCCAACTAACCAGAGTATCGCTTAATGACCCATATCAAAAGGTAACTGTGCTTCTCATTTCCTATTTCATCTTAGTAACATTGTATGAAAGAAAATAGCATACTGGGAAATCAACATACGGAACTGAAAGAAGGAGCCAAGGGGAGACAAACACCAAAGTGTACCAGGAAAAGAAGCGATAATGGATACTAAACGCATAATAGTTAAGACAAAGCCGGAAAAAAAAAATAGAAAGCTTATACTTCATATGTCAGCGATCAAAGCCCACATAACAGGAGGGGGAGAACAAATCAATCAGCAAAGAACCCCATTACCAGGACTGGCCACAGAGGAAAGTTTCCCTCCGGTAAATTACATTTAGAGTTTGATCCACCACTAATTAAGCTTGAAGCTTGATCTTCAACAAGTCTATCATGCTTCAGTTGTTCTCATCCACACCATGTACTTATTTAATTTCACATTTAACATTTGTATTCTGGCACCAGTGCATCCTGCATATCTTACTCACTCGAGCATTTAAGATCAATCCATTCTCTATTCCATCTCCAAATTGTGCGAGTTCACACAAAAAGTTAGGGCTATACAAAACCACCACCAGAACTTCTGATATCACCATCTTTCCTTGTCATTCTCGACAACCATTATCTCTTTCCAGAATTAATAGTGAACTTGCATTATGTAGAACCTAAAGCAGAATTGTTTATGTCTATGATCGATTCAAACTTCGGATAAATTATATCAAACATCCACGCAATTAGACAATTAAAGTAATTCTAAGAACACCACTTAAACACCAAAGTCATTCATCCATATATAGTATTCTCCATGGTATCCAAAGCTAGAAATGACAGAAATTGCCAAGCTTCTTGTTCTTCTCAATGGAAACAAACTGAAAAGCAAATTATTAGATCACTACAACAACACAAACAAGTTTACCTGTGAGCAAAGAGTCCTCGAATATTGTGGAGAGTACTCTGCGCAAATAGATGGAAGGGAAAATGAAAGAGGCCACGAGGACAGCTGGACCAAGGAACCACAATAGGCTGCTCTGACTGTTTCCTGATGCAACAGAGGCAGGAACTTCGGCTTCTTCTGGCTTATATTGATGGCTATAAAATGAAACAAGACCTGGTTTTCCACCAGTTCCCTGAACATCGCTGAATGAAGTGCCAGTGGTGGATGTAGGTTCTGGATTAGAAGCATAATATTCTTGCTCGGTCACGTCAGATTTAACATCATCATACTGTGACTGGCCTTCTGAAGTTGCTGAGAGCCTCTTCCGGGTCATCTTGACATTTCTTTCATTTTGCAGCCAGCAACTGGTAAAGGTGGTTTTAACTGTTTGCAAGAAACAGGAAGACAATTAAAGGATGCTCGTAAATGCATAAGTGAAACTGCCGTTGTGCATTGAAGCTGAATAGGACTGAAGTTCACATCTGTGGGCAGACTACCTAAAACTAGGTTACTGTTTCAGTACACAAAAACCAGGCATACAAACAACTGAAAACAAGTTCCAAAAGTGCCACGGAAAGCCTCGTATAGAAGGGTTTACATATTTGACAATCGCAATCGTCATTGACATTCACCTGTAGCATTCCGGAACTTCCGAGTTCCAAAGTGAAAGCTACCATATGGTCCATCTCCTGTGCTTAGCTGGACAAGAAAACACAAGTGATATCAAATACTGCGGGGGAAAAAATGAAGCACCTCATACAGATTTTACTTCAACATTATAAGGAATGCTGGAGGAATATATCAAATTGAATGTATATTGTATAATGACCGATCATAACCAGAAACAAGCGACAGGTTGGCGATGCTTCAGGCACTGATTCTACTAGGAAAGACATGTGATTAGCACCCAGCAGTTGTTCAGAACAAGTTTTCCCACTGGACAAAGCCAATTGATTACCCTTAAAACCAACTATGAATCCTTAACAATGACAGCCCATTCACAATGCAGATTTGCTACCTATGCAAACCGGCAACTACTTAGAACCACAAATGGTTTCATTGAAGTAAGAAACCTCGACTGAACTAAGTTAGTTTCACTGATTAAGGAAATCAGAGATACCAGGGTGAACACTACCAAGAAACCAAATTCACCATCCAAACACGAAAAGCAGGCCACTTTAACCAATGATTCAGCACAATTCAGTAGTTTTGATATAAAGGACAAGAGAAAGGGAAAACCTTGGAGCTTCCACGTAGCTTAAGCGGAGAAGAAAGCGACGACGCACCACAAAATACAAAAGAGGAACCAGCTTTAACGGCCATGTACACCAAGGTTTTCTGAACTATGTGTTGCAACGCCGACGCCGATGAATCGCCGCCGTCTAAGCTGGAGACTGTAAACTAGAGAACGTACACAGCCATTATGCCAGGAAGAACTATTAGATATCTCTCGTGGGAATTGACGAATTCAGAGAAATTAAGGAATTGGGTTTTGGAGTTCTTCCGCCACGACGCTGACTAGGCGAAGTGAAATACAAGACTTGAGTTGAGAAGAAGAGAAACGAAGCGGCCCCGTTCGTCGGTTTCTACTTTCTAGTTTTTATCGAGAATCTAAATATGGGCGTAAAATTTGACCAAAAAAGTACAGCTTAGCCCAAATGATAAAATATGGTATATCGGAAAAAATAGGGTAGGGCATTTTATGATAGAAATACATGGTTGTTTGGAAGTTATGATTCTAGATGAATGATTTTTTGAATTCATGTATTATAGAGAATACATCGTTTTTTTTTTTCAAAACTTTATTCAATACATGCATTTGAGGTGGACCCTCAAATCACATATCACCCACAATCACTCATTTTAAATCTTAACAAAAAAGTGAGATTCTTCCTTTGAGATTGTTGGCTTTAATTTGTTTCACTTTTAGCTCATAAAGTGATTTTTTCTTTTCTTTAAAATTTTTGAATGGCTACAACCAAACAAGACATTCTTCCAATCATCTAATTCTTGCAATCCTTGTATTTACAATAGATGTATTCATCAAATACACATATTTGAAGAATCTCAACTTCCAAACGACCCCACAGTTTCATCACATTAAATGCAATCTATCGGTTTTGTCTTTGGTAGGTTATTGTTTTTTGGTAAAACTACAGTATGGTTTTTCAATCTTTGGGTACAAGTTTGTTGGTTTATTCAGTTATTTTGGTTAGACTAGTGGTATGGTTCGACCAGTAGTACAAGTGTACAACAGTTTTATGTCAGTTCATCTTGGGTTTAGCACATGTAGGATAGCGTGAAATCATTGACAATCAATGAATTTAGACATGGATAACATATTTGAAGACATTTTTTCGCAAATCTACAACCATGCGTAAATAAATTCGTTATATTTACTTTTGGTCCTCGAACTATGGGATTTTTCCTATTGAATTCCATGAATAGTTATTTTCCTATTTAACCCCTTAAACTACGACTAAATTCCTAAGTTGATCCTTCCCGTTAGTGATGACAATGGGGAGGAACGGGGCGAGTACCTCAATTCCCATACTGGCCCCGCACCAAGCGTGGGTCGAAGCAGGTAATACTCGTGCGGGTACAAGGTGAGATGGTTCGACGCACACTTACATGTTATTTGAAAAAATACACACACAAATTTGACTTTTTACGATAAAACGAAGGGAAAACATTTTATGAATGAAAATAGTGATAACTGATTCGGGTCCAAATGTACACATTTTACCTATCATTTCTTGATAGTTTGGCATTGCATTTCATCGTCCCTCGACATATTTCACGCTAGGTTGTGCCTGTTTTGATACATTTCAGGCCCTAGCACGTGTGGAAGGGTCGAGGACAAGTTTCGGGACAATTGGAGGTCAAAAAGCGCAAAAATCGAAGAAAAGTCCAAAGTACCGTGACAATTGCCCCGTAACAGTGAAGTTCAGGCGTCCAGGTTTCATGCCATGTTCACGGTTTCCCATAGTTCACGGTCTCCTAAGGCCGTGAACTGAAGCCATAAACCGTGAACCGCAAGACGTCCAGGGAGAAATATGCAGTTACTACCGCGAGAAGAGTTCACGGTCAACAAGACCGTGAAGATTGAGGCCAAACCGTGAACTCCTGTTGGCGAAGCGCCGCATTTCGACATCGCGCTTTATGTTCACGGACGCGTTGAAGAGTTCACGGCCGTGAACTGAGCCCGATCCTGGTATAAAATGTGAGCTGAAAGGAAGAAGTAAGGGAGCTTCACTTTAGGTTAGATTTTCATTTTTCAGAATAAAGAGGATTCTAGTGAGAGGTTAGGATTTCTTCTAGAGTGGGAAAATGCAAATCAAAGGAGGAATAAGGAGCTTTGGGCTTGTTCCTAGCTAGAGGATTGAAGAATTCTTCATCTCAAGGGTGTCTCAAGCAACAAGGAGGAAATATTGACATTTCATGGTTATTTCTCTCCTTTTTATTGTTTTCTCTTGTTTAGCTATGGAATAGCCTACCTACTCACTTGGGTATTGTGAACCCTAGTCTCTATATGTGTTAGGTTGCAAGAACATGAACCTATTGTGTTGATTGAGTGTTTTATATGTTATTTGAGGTATTATTCATGAATGATTGAGTGTGCTAGATTTAACTCAATATGGGGTGAAATTAACCTAGAGGGTGGAAATCCCCTCTTGGTCCAATTAGGAGCTAGACTCCTTAACCACTTGGGTAACCTCTTTTAGGTCATTTTAAGACCAAAATCTCAAATATCGGAGTAGGGCCGTGATTCCACCGAGATAGGTCTCTCCGCCGACCGGATTAAGTTCCGAGGGTTTGGTTTGCAATCCTTAGCCGGCTAGTTGAGAGGGTTAGGTTCCCTAGCCTATCGTTGTCACCCTTAGCCGAAAGGTTAAGTGAGTTAGCTTCCTAACTTGTTGCAACGACTCTCAATTAGCTAACTTAGAGAGATTTAGGGATCTCCTTGGTTGATCTATAAAGAGGGCTAGACTCTCTAGATACTAATCACAATTCTTGACCTAACGGTTAAGAGAGCTAGTTCCCCTAGCTTATATTTGTTGATTTTCCTTCATTGATCGACTAAGGGAGTTTTTCCCTAGCTAGTTGCGCTACCTAGCGGTGTATGAACACGTCCTTCTCACTAGAGCTTTGTTTGTCGCTTCTTAGCACGAGACTAGGGGGAGCAATACCCAGGTGAAGTCCCCTCAAGTAGAATTCTCCTCGATTTACTTTCCTTGTTCGTTCACTTTGTAGTTTTCTTAGTTTTAAACCCAAAAACCGTTTTGCCAGATAACAACTTAAGCGATTGAAGTAGGCGTACATGGACCGGCCCGGGTTGACAATTTAAATACTTGCCCTATACTACACCCGACTAGAGTTTAAAAACTTGGGCTCTAGTCGGGATTAATTTGCAGTGTAGTTCCGTGCGAGTCAATAACATAATACGTAATTGAGTCTAACTAGTTGAAATATCAAGTCTAACTAGTTGAAGAAAAGTCCAAATAAGAGAAATATAAATAGATATTGTAAATTTTTTTAGATAGAATGGACAAAGACACAGGACGGGGTGGGGTAGGGCAAATCGAAAATAGATACTCATACCCCACCCACACTACTGCGAATTGGGTAATACCCGTCCCATCGCGAGTTGGGTGAGATAATACCTAATTGGACGAGTTCAATTGTCATCCCTACTTCCCATTTGTTGATCGTTAGTCAACGGTTAAATAAGCTCATTTGGTGTTGACTTGGCAATGTAGCTTTTACCCTATTCCCCTGCATTGCTACCTTCTTAGACCAACTTCAAGTATGCCTCTCAAATCTAATACATTTTCTTTTAAACACCTACTTTCTCATTTCACATTTCACATTTTTACTCCAACCGTACACTCTCAAATCTAATGGTCTCACTTTTTTCCTTTGGATTTTCTAACTTAAATGTTAATTATACGTATGCTAATCTATATTGTTTATTTTAATCATTTCACGGTTCGTCATTGTTTTTTAAAATAATTCTGGACATATTTTTCAAAAATAATAATAAACAAAAAAATTAGTTTCTCTAAATAAACAACCCATTTGTGAGGCGTTGAAATCTTTCACTGTCATCCTTTATTTTATCTTATGATCACGGTCATCCTTTATTACGATCATATCATTCACATAAATTAACAAACCCATCATACCTCAACTAGGGCGAATTGTAACCGTGACTGATCGTTCAAACCTTTGAAAGTTGTACAAAACGATCACCAAAAATTTAATTTGTAACGACATAATAACAATAGTTTGAACTTGTATGAAATGATCACTTTGTTTGATTTGTGACCGCTTTGTTGTAAAAACAAATCTTTATTACCATGTCAACCATATAATTATCATGGTATGTATATCCAAATAAATATCTAGATTTGACCATCTAGCTATATATAGCCATGATATTTTGTCACGCATATAATTAACTTAGGCACAAATATGGGGATTGGCTGATAAATACTCCAGCACCTTCTTGTAAACACGCAATGCCCTTTCTGCCCCACTGTGTATTTCATCGTCTTGTTTGATGTAATGAGTAGTTAACTTACAGACACAACCTTGTCCTTCTTCCTCAAACTTCAACTCGTTCACCACGACTTCATCATTTGTGTCCGTCATCGTGTACTTGGCGTACAAGTTCAACGGGTCAGCAACATCCACCTTGATCTCCAAGGACATTAATTCAGTTGTCACTGCAATCGCACAACTCGTCAAGGTTAATAGAATGAATATAATTAGTGCTACTAGAAGTCAAGAAATTAGTTTGTCGCTAAAACCAATGGTTCCCCTCTTTGATAACTCAAGTTATCGGGAGAGAGGACAAAGCATGAATCACGATCGTATTAATTTTGAACATGCATGCACATTTAAATAAACCATTTGATAATATTGGGGACAATGAGAATTTAATTAAACACTAAATCAACCTTTTGGTTAAAGCTCTATCCAAAAAAAAACCTTTTGGTTAAAGCCTCTAATATACATGTGGATATATACTTAGTTTCAGTGCATCCTAATATATCAACATTTTGGGGGAGGCCCAATTATAGGGCACATATGGTTCATCTACCGTTGTTATATAGTATTTATTGGTATCACTAATATCAAGGAAACATAGATGAATATGATTCACTTACATATTCAATCTAGCTCGATGCGATGTTAATTTTTATTTAAACATTGTTGATTTGACTCGAATCAGACTATCTGACTACTTAGGGGTGGAAATTGAGGCGGAGTGATATGTTACCAGACTAACGTCGTTGCATGTCACGACTCCTCCGATGACAACAACATCAAAACACAAAAGTAGTTCGATAAGTGGAGGCACCCGCTTTTAATGAATAGATTATTCTCCACTCTCGATTATAGTCTTGTATTGTTGGTAGTTGGTTGCATGTTGTGTTGTTCGTGGAGAAATGGAGATGAGTTTGGGTATCAGACTAACTTTTCTCGATTATTCCCTTCTTTTAACGAATCGATTAATTTATCTAACTATATCTATGAACTTGGTTTTGTTATAAAATAAACATATACCACAGGGACAATGCTTATTTAATAAAAGTATCTCACATAAACATTGCGTATTGACTTGGTTTTGTTTTATAGAATAAGTTCATATTTGATTTTGGTAGCTACTTTAATTCTTAGTCTTCCAAATTTCACAAACTAATATAATTAATGTGAGTAATGTGGGTAACAAAGTATTTTGAAGAAATAAATATAACTAAAGTGGTTAATGTGGGTTTTGTGGGTAAACCGTTGTGGGTAGTGGTTAACCACTAGCCACAAAAATTAATATTTTGCTACCCACACCCAACCCACTATCCACAAATTGTGGGTATGGGTATCCACAAAGTGTGCGGTTTGGTGCGGTTTGTGGGTTACCCGCAACCCGCAAACTTCCACCTCTATGACTACTACTGGAAGTCACGGGTCCAAGGGCAACGCCCCTGATCTATCGTGTATGAACTCAATGTTATTTGAGTTTCTGTTTTGGGTTTGGTCTGTAACCGTTTTCCTTTACCATATTGGGTTAGAGTTGGACCACATGGAGAAGTACTATGAATACTTCTCATACTCCTCTGTAATTTGTATCTTCTCGAAGTATAGTGAAACTGGCTCTCTCCTGCTCGTGGACCAGCTAACACACATCGTGTTAGTGAACCACGTAAATCCGTGTACCGTGTTCGTTCTTGCTTTCATTATTTCTTACTTAGTCGTTTCTCCTATTTCTCGATCCACAAAGAAACAGTCGTGACACAAAAAAAAAAAGCACAAAGAGGGAAATGTTTACCACTATCAATAAAGTAGAACCTGAGTATTGTTTCAGGGCCGCCGTCTCCTTGGATAGTCTCGATAGTCTTGATCAGTTGAGGAAAGACGGTCGTGTAAGTGGTGTTGCTTTCTTGGACCACAGCCTTGAACATTTTTTGTGCTGAGATGTTGGAGGACTTGATCTCATGGTTAATGGTAGTCATTGCCATGATAAAACAAAAAAAAATGGAAGGATTTCCAAAAGCTAGCTTTGTTTGCTTAATCGATTACTTACTGAAGAAATGAAGTTGAAAGCTTGGAATGAATGTGTGGCAATATCAGCAGGCAAGCAATGGCATTTTATAAGGACTTCTGTTCATGAATTGGAATCTCTCCCACAAAGAAGAGAACAGGTTGATCTCCACGTTGATTTCAGTATCCAAATATAGGAGGTGGTGTTCTCTTTTTTCTAATACAATCTTTTTTTAATTAAATAGAAGTGAAAATACTTTAATATGCAAAATGTTTTGCAGTAGACCATTATTATACACATAAAAATTTGCTAGAGCATCTTGTTGTTTACACGCGAGATATGGTATAACACTAATGGCAGCATATGATATTTTTTATTGATTGTTTGATAAAGAATAGTTTTCATATATATGCTTTATTGTTTCGAACAACCTCTGATTATAGTCGGTAGTATTAGTTAGTGGCGGGCAATGTGAGGGTTGGGAGAGTTTTGCTCTCAAATTCACCCGCCGTTTATTAGCGAGTTGGTACAATTGTGATCTACTATTCATTCACATTTTTTTCGGGTTGGATAGGTTGGGTAACTGATGAGGTGTGAGTGCGGTTGAGTTGTAAGTTAACCCGCAAAAGTAATTATCTAATTAGTCATTAAGAAAATTGACTAATATTTATAATAAATTCCTTGCAAATTAGTAAGATTGTATCAATTTAGAAACTTCTCAATTTAATTTGTCCCTTGAGGATCTGTATAGTATTTGCATCAAAATATTTCTTACTCCAACTAATTGTTAGACAAAACTGAACAATTTGTAACTTTGATACAATTAATAGTTTATAATTTGCATTCCGGTATCTAATGGACATTACACAACATAGTAACCAATATTAGTTGTCCAAAATATTCTTTATACCCCACTAAGTTTATGGTTAATGTGCAATATGGTTGAGAAATATGATGACTATTCGATGACATAAATAAAAAAATAACTTTTTGACATATGAAAATATGTTACGAATTATTTGGGTGACTCACAATTCACCCAACACCCATCTGAATAATTGCGAGTAGATTATCAATATTGGTGATATTTTTATCATAAAAGAAGTTATGAGCTAAAAACTGCGGAGAGACGAGATCGGTAAAAACTGGTTTCAATAGCTACCATGGTTTTTAATAGCTGAAAAATCTGATGACGATGTAGAAGAATGGTTTCCATAATATTAACCTTTCAAAACTCTTAAGGAAAATGACTTAGGATGAGAATGAGAGGTTTTGTGGTAATATTTAGTTTCACGATAATATCATAGAAAAACTAAGTTTAGTAAAAATGCACGCGGCCGCCCGAGCCCCTGTATCATGAAATATGGAGAATTTCTGGATCCTCTTGAGCAAAGCCACAGCGTCTGTATCCAACTCTTCCGGCGAAGAAAAAGAAAAGGGCAGGAAACCGTAACCAACCGTCATACACAAGTCCCGGTACTTGACACATTTTCGCTGAGCAGCATCAGCAACAACTCGGCCAGGCACAAAATCAGTCATCCCAGTCTGCGTCAGAGGTGAAGATCCAGTCAAATCTACACACACATCTCGCCCCCTGTCCCAGGAATAAAGCAGCAAATCTACAGGACGAAGGGGTCTGCCATGTCCATCAACCAAACCGATATCAACCTCCATACCTGCAGAAATCCCATACCTATAACAGATGTCCAATAAGGTGTCACGAACGAGGTTGTGCCGATGCTTAATGCCCACAGAACCGCACATGACACAACATATGATCACCAAAGACATCACCAAGAAAGACACGGGAACAAGCAGGGCAGGGATTAGATACCGAAAACAACGGGACACCCATTCGATAGCTAAGCACACTACGATATGTCCTCCCATTCATAGTCTGGCCCAACCCAGCAATAGGAACAGCACGCAACCAGTCAGAAGAATGTGCACTCTGCTGAGACTTCCACAAGCCACCTGACGTGTAGTCAACGAGAAAACAGAATCTGAAGTAGCAACAACCTTCGCGAAATACATATCTGCCTATTTCTTCATAAGTTTTGGGGCAGCAACTCCACTAGGGTCATGTAAGAGACCAGAACCTGTAAACTCGTTAAAGGTGCGTAGGGTGTCATCAAAAGCAGGGCCAGGAGATAGAATAATAGAAGGACTTAGAAGTTTAGCTTGCAACTCTGCAGATCAAGAGGTCACCAGTTCGAACCCGGTTGGGCCATCTCAATTTTCGGTCGCGTACATTTTTACTAGACTTAGTTTTTCTATAGCTAAGGGAGTGGAGGTCCAAATTGTATCTCGGCTACCCACTAATTTTTTGTAAATCTTTGTTTGTTCTGCTTCCACTCATAAAATGATGGTTTAGAGTTAGACCCATGAAATATAATGGTATCTCATAGAACTAAGGGTGTGAAAGTGAGTTAAAATTGATTGCAAAGTTTCAAGTGGTATAATAAGAGGTTTTTAAACATGAAAACGGTAAGGTATGTTTTCACGGAAATAAAGTACCACAAAGATCAAGTGTCTAAGTGATGTGTGATCATTACGGATGATTAAGTATTTTGTGTGATGATTGTACTAGTGGAAAATTGATTGTATTAAATGATGTTCATCCATTCATAAGACAATATGAATTGAAAATGATAATTGATTGTCTTATTATGAATTGATTTTTCTATCTGGGAGCAATCACACATTTAGCTAAGTTGTTGCCTCAATTCGTTATATTAGTTTTTGCAGGTGTCAAGTGAATTGATAAAACTCTCACATTGCATAGTGATGGATGGAGAATTGGTTTTGGACTTTTCGTCGTTTTCCTAGTTTTGAAGTAATTTATATTTCACATCCTACTAGTTGATGGTTTGAGTATGCTTAGTAGGTACAATATATTTAACTTTGAGGTAGGTCAAAATTTTGGAAATTTTACTAAGTAAAGGATTTGAACTCAATCGTTATTATGGTGAACAAAACAATCGGCAAACCGACCCACCCACCCATCCAACCCAACCCAATCGTATTTATCTTTATTTTTAAATTTTAAGGCTGGGTGAGGATTTTCTGTTGTACAACCCGCTTCTATTGGGTTGGGTGCGGATTTTGGGTAACACAACCCCTAGAATTTGACCTAACCCGTGTTGAACTATAGTCATAAGTGCTCATACTAAAACATATTTGTCTCGTAAATAAACATATTTATGAGAAAAATAAGATATATTGTCACATTTTTCACTTGTGGTTCCATAGCCTAATACATGCTTCAACTTAATATATAGATGTAGATTTAATATAAGCTATGATTCATGTAATCTTTTTTCTTGTCTACAATTTTAGAAGATCAATATATTATGAATGTGTTAGCTTATAACCATTTTAGCTTATTTCAACAAATATTTATGAAAAAAATTAGACATATGTTAAAGTTAAGGATTTTGCTACGGTGACATGCATGTCACCGTGACATGGACTTTTCGGTCGACCTAATCCTAAAGGCGGTCGACCGAATTGATTAATTTGGGCAGCACGAGAAAGCATTGCGGTCGACCTAATCCTAAAGGCGGTCGACCTCAATTCATAGCATAATTGATGAGTCCTTGTTATCATTATTTATGACTAGTTATGATGGTTTAAAGCGTAATTTAGACGAGCAAAAGGACCACACAAATCGACATACATAAACAAAAAAGACACGGGGCATAGGTTGACTTTCTTGTATTCGGTCGACCTCGTACCGGATTAGGTCGACCTCGACACCAACACTTGATCTTCATTTTACGTCAAATAATTGGATAAATTGATAGAACACTTATCGTCTATCTGGTCGACCTCTTTCTTTATCTGGTTGACCATGTTGTTAATGACTGCCATCAAGTGGTCGACCTATATACCTTTACGGTCGACCATGTTGTTTCTCACGCCAACGAAATGGCCGACCGAGGTTTATTCTGGTCAACCAAAAATAACAACTTAAACTAAGAACGGTCGACCAGGTGGTCTTTGAGGTCGACCGCAATGCTTTCTCGTGCTGCCCAAATTAGTCAATTTGGTCGACCGCCTTCAGGATTAGGTCGACCGAAAAGTCCATGTCACGGTGACATGCATGTCATAGTAAGCATACCCTAAAGTTAATTGCATTTCATTAAAATCAAAAGAACATTTATGCATATTGGTACTTTTCGCTTTGATTTATTTGACAAAAAAATTTAAATAGTTATCTAATATTTTGTAGTGTTGAATAGTTGTCTTTTTGTGTTGGGTTGGGTTTTTAATTAAAAATATCTACATCTAATCCAATCCAATTATAAATAAACCGTATGGTTCTAATTTTTTTGGTGGGTTTGGATTTAATATTTTCAAAACCGTAGTATATGAGTCATGTGATTAAAATGACCAAACCTGAACCACCCGACCTATGTACATCCCTAAACGTAATCGTCAATAGAGAGTGTGTTGCACAGATGAATCATTGGTTCACACCATGAATTTTTGTTAGGGTGGGGTGTTTCTGTCTGTTTCTCTTTGTAGTTGCATCGACCAACCAAACCAAGCCAGTTAACACCCTAGTTGCATCCCACAGCAACGGAAGATCCACCAAACAAAATCTCTCTGAAGTTCCACGATTTCAAATGAAATGAAAGAAGACAGACATCCGCCTGAATGATAGTAAACAATATCCTTCGCTCTTCCAAGATGTCCTCAGAAACCATATGGAGGGCCAAAAAATATTCTTTATGCAGATGGGGAAACTCAGACTGTGGAAGTACAACATAGAGATGATAGTATAGCAGATTTCGCACAGGTGACACAGACATTTCTCTGCTGCTAGCATGTCACCTCTGGATAGAAACAAGGTGGTGGTGAAAGAATAATAATGCCTACTCGATCATAAGCCAAAATGGCGTCGAAACCTTCTACTGTTCCATGCCCTCATGGAACCCTCAAAAGAACATGCTACAACACAAGGGATTAACGAAGATAGATAGATGAACCAACAACCTAAAGGCTTACACTTCGCCAGCCCTTCCCTGTATTCGGAAGCCGCTCTTTCTCCTCCAACTGCGACATGTTCTGCCGGAAATCCAACTTCGGAAATCTCATCCTTCAACAACATTGAAACTACACCAACATCATATAAGATTTGCCCTCTTCAAAAACCTAATTGTTCTACAGTAATAGGGCCATATGGATTCCACAAAGTCAAGGTACTTCTCAGTCAGCCACTCCTTGAGTACCATCATCCTTTGCCTCACCATTTCTTTATGGTCCGCATTTTTTATTGTCACAATTGGTTGTATGAAACGAGCCCCGATTTCTTGTTTGAGCTTCCCACCTGCAATGTAGCTACAGCCCACTTGATAATAAGTAGGTAAATTCTTCACTATGTGGACGGTCTGTCTAAAGCTGAAGACGTAAAGTGCCCAGATACCCTGAAGCAGCTTGACGTAGAGGGCAGCAACGAGAGGGCCCAAAACCCACAAAGGAGTCAATTCCTTTGACACTTCAACTCCATAAATAGTGTTGATGCCAAGATACAAAGGGATACTGCAAATATAGGAAACTCGGTTGGTATTTTTGCCAAATCAAAAGCTAGCTGAATTGAGAAGTGACCATCTTTGTAATGCAACTCACAGAAAGCAATAGAACCCTAAAATTGTTTACAAGGAAAAGCCCAAGCTCCAAAAGTGTTGAGACCATAAAAAAGGTCTTCCAGTATGAATTGCGCCAATCCAATGGAATCAAACAAACTCCCATTCCTAGAATTGCTCGAATTCAAATGCATGCCCTCTATCTAAGGATCTACCACATCCATAACAAGATGAATTTTTTTCTTTTTCTTTTGGTAAGACAAGATGAAATTTCTTGGCATAGTTTTCCATATTTTTCACAGATAATACAAAATAACCCATCCTAAATTGCAATAGATGATATATGATGACAAATGAGAAATAGCTCTACAATGAAAAATATATATAATCCATTCAAGAATAAATTGTGATTGTTAAGACGTATGTCCTTAGTAAGACTGCGCCATTTAAGGCGTCCTGATAATGATTTCAAAATTTTGATTTCTTTGTCATTAAATGACCACTAGTTACAATAATTTAGAGTTAAATTGAAAAAATGAAGAAAGGATAACACTAAACGAAAAATAACTAACAAAATTTAGAATTTGTCTTCACCTAGAAGCTGAGATGAGGTTATCAGATGCATCATCTGGTTCAAAATGTGTATATTTCCAAAAAGTGTCGAGCGAAAAATGATGTGTTGTATGAACACTCTCAAAACACGGGATCCAAACAACATAAAGACTACGAAAGTTATACGTGCCACCATTGTCCCTTCAATCATCCAATGGTAATGTAGAAATTCTAGTGATACAATTTCAGTTGCCCATTTTCTCATTACAAACAGCATATTTAGTGGTTCCACGAAATTCCTAATTCTGCACACCAATCTCCAGTTCAATTGTACCGAACAACCACAACTGCAGTAAATAAAGGCAGAAGCCTAGCAGAAGAAATATACTCACAATATCAGTATCGGTATCTTTATTGTTGCATCCAGCTGCCAAAAGTGATGAAATATCTCGAATAGGAAACTACGTTTCTGTGTCTCCTGAGAAATACTTTGAGTTTGGTGAACTACTTCTTCTTCCCTTTGAGCTGGTTCCTCTAAGATAACATCAGCCACCTGACTTGACGAATGCGACCGCAGCATGTTTAACCATTTCTTGAATAAATTATGAATAGCAGGAGATCCTCCAACTCCTTCATTCGGTTCAGAAGTATATGATATCGGAAGACTCTGGGCATTAGGAAGCTCTCTGAGGCCCTCTCCATTATCATCTGAGACATATGAAATTTTGACAGAATTCTTTGAGCCCTTGGACCCACTTGAACTCCCCCCGGCATCACTGTTCTTTGCATCACTGTTCTTTGCACTACCTTGAAAGGAGGAAACTTGCAAAAGTTTTGCTTTGAGCCCAAGATCACCAGTCCCTACACTGTGAAAACTATTCTGCTCAACTGATATGTTCCAAGATTTTACAGGACTCTCAAAACAGCAGATTGACCAAGCTACCACGGAAAAGTGGTCCAACTAGTAAAAGATGATTACCTTGAATGAAGATAACACTTTGCTGAGAAATACCGATCTAATCTCCCAACCATGTGAAGTGACATGACATGTTGTTTTAGTTTGACACCTCTGCTCCATGATGAAGGCCTTGAGGGAAATCCTACATATGAACCCTGGTAGAGAACAAACGGGGGAAACCGAACACGTGAGGTTCTATAATATATTGAAGATACAAAGTAAACATCTGAAAACAAAAAGCAGGCGAACTGGTTGATTGATTGAAGAAAGAAAGACAAAGTAAGAGCACCCTAGGGATCTGAATTGACTATGACAGGAAACGCTCTATGAAGAGATATACAAAGAGAAGTTTCAGCCCCTATGAATGCCAGGGTCTACAAGCCTACATTTCTTTTGACTTACCCGCATTTGATGTGTCGCCAAAGCCATTCTGCTCCGGTTTTGAGCACCAACACATCTATCCAATGGAGCCTAAGGAAACAAAACAGCTGCTAGATAAGCAATCAATGAGGAAAGGAAGAGGTAAAGCAACTTCAGCATGAAAGAAGAGAACATGATTAAATTACAAAACAGTAGAATCCTTATCAAAGACCCGCTCTTCATTCTACGGTACTCTCATAAAACCAATAAGACTAAAGCAATAGACAGCTCCCAGGTTCCTGTTCAGTTTTGCCTATCAGATAGGCGAAACACTTGGTCAAGCTTATCCATACCATAGCATAAGCGCAAGTCAAAAGCATCATCAGAGTTCATATACCAAAATCAAATTGCCTAAATGAAAACGCACCAACTTCTTCCCTTGTATCTACCGCCAAATTTGTTCCCGCGAGTACCAACCCATCAGGCGAAACCTAACCCCGAAGCAAACACCGAGTACAAAATTAGGACACAAATTGCAGCATGAAATTGAGATGAGAGTAAACCTTGGGCGCGCGAGTTCATAACCCGGCTGGAGTCCCCTTAGGGGAAGCCAAAGACAGAAAGTCTTATTAGAGCTGGTGATTATATATACTGGAGAGGAAGAACACGAAGATAACGGCAATGGTGGAAGGAAGTGGCTTGCTTAATGGATGGGTTCGGGTTTAACAGGGGAAACGGGAATTGAATTCCTGATAAGAAGAGTGGATAAAGGGATATGACTACGAACGATAGGAAAGGGGAAGAAGGACCGCTGTGAATCTTGTTGCTGGATTTAAAATTAGGGCTTTTAGAATTGGAAGAAAAGAAAAAGGCAATTGAAAATGGTTATTTGTCGTCCTAAAATTTAAAAAAATTCGCCCTAAATCAAATTAAATTTACGTATGTACCCCTAACTCTAATTCATTAATCATTATCCAGCCGATTTCCGGCCGCCGCTCCATTCCCCCAACCCACCATCGTTCTATTTCTCCACAGCGATGTGTAATGCTCTGATGCCACCGGGATCGGAGGAGAATCCGAGGGAAGATCTGGCATCGAAGCCACCGGCTTCAGTCAATGCTCCGGCTCCGATCAAAACAGAGGATCTGCCTGAATCAGACAATTCCTCCGCTGGCCCTCCTCTGCCGCCGCCGCCGCCAGAAGAAACGGAAACTGAGGAAGTCGACATCGTTATGGAACCACCGACGCCCGACTACAGGGGATGATTATATAATGGTATGAGAGTTCCCGCTGAGCTAAACAGAAGTCGGTGGCCATTGGTGGGACTCCGGAGATGATGAGAGAAAGTAAATGATTGTGTTTGGAAGAATAAAAGTGATTGTGAAATTACCAAATTCTGGCCGGCTCCGGCGACTGTGTGTTTGATTTAGGTTTAAGTGTTTAAATGAAAAAAATAAATAAACTAAGAGTAGTAGAGTAAATTTTAATAATTAGGGCGACAAATAAGAATTTTTAGGGCGACGAATAGCAATCCCCTTAATTTTCCGGCTGAAAGGAAGGGTTAATTGCACCAGATACCACGGAAATATTGGTTTTGTTGCATACTAATCACTTAAATTTTTTAGTTGCAACTAAACCACATAACTCAATTTCCGATTGCACCATTATATTTTTCATCCATAAACTTAACAGTGAGTATCAAATTGAACTTTTCCACCTTAATCTACACCATACCATTTTTCTTTCACTTTCTTCTTCTCCGGTCTCCACAAAAACAAATATTTTTTTTTATAAAAAATGAGGATTGAATAATCCCAATCACAAAAGCCATTTGAAATTCTTCTCTTGCTCTATGGTTGTCGATCCTCTCGTAAAATTATTTATAAAGTCGGAGATGAGGGGTTTCGGCTGCGAACTTTGGTTGAAAAATTGAGTTTGTTCTGGAAGTCTTTCTTTACTTGAACACCATTAACAAAGCTATGATAGAACTTCAACTGGAAGTTCTTCATTACTTCACTCTTTGTCACTCGATTTTACTGCTTAATACTCGTTTCTTAATTCTTCTTCGCCCATCTAGTTCAAATCATCCGCTTGTATTTAATCTGAACATGTTCTCTTTTTTGCCCTGATCGTCTTCTAAGTTCATGTGTGCATAACTCAGTTAAAGGAAGACTCTTTACGCTGGAACTTCTTTCAACTCAAATATTCATTACAACACATATCAAAAAATAGCATATACATATTCATTCATAATAGATGAGTTTAAACCATCTATAAAAGAGGCAAAGATTTCCCCGAAAGAAACACCCATTATGAGGTGCCAATTGTGCAAAACAAATCTTAAACGAAAAAGTAAAATAAGGATTGCATTTCGCATTCTACATAAGTTCAAAAGGTTTACTACGTCATAAGGAAGCATAAGTTTAATTCAATTAGACCCAAAAAGTTAAATAAAAAATGAAACAATAGCAAATGTTGAAGGGAAAATAAAGGAGGTCATAAGATAACTAAATAGAGCGCTAGTAATACCGAAATGAAAATGGAAGAATGTGAGGGAAATTTTTTACATCTCCGGATAATACAGACAAAAAGAAAGGAAATAAACAAACAGAAACGGAGTCTGAGTGACTGACTATAGAAAGACGAGGAGAGACGGTGGACGTGTGAAGCGGCAGCTCGGCATCGAAGCAGCCACGCACGACTGTGACAAAGGGAAAACGTAAAAAATGTTAGAAAGGAAGAAAGAAAGTGGAGTGTGATGATCTAATTTCTTACGTAGGGTAAAGTATAAAAAACTTGTGCTCTCAAGTCCCATTGCAGTACTGATTTTGCTTTCACGATGATAAAATCGTATAAGAAGTTGAACCGAAATAATCAGCACCAAAGTAATTTATGTTGGAATTGTGATTTAATTGTAGTTCTGTCTGTTTCATATTGGTAAAAATTACCTACCAATTTAGACTCCAGCAAAGAATTTTCAGGTCGGATTGTTAGTAGACAATGTACGATACGGTTTTACAAACACGGATAATAACACTACCAATTTTGCCCGGATCGATGGTGTTAGCTATGTGGTGGTCCTTGTCATTGTTGTGTGTAGGCTTGAAGTCGACAGTGTAAAGTGTAAACCAACTAGTCAGTGTTGGCTTGCTTGCTTCTAAAATTTGACCAAGAGAGAACGACTAGTAAAACAGCGGATTAGATCGTAAGCAATCCTCCCCTTGTTTCTAAATTTCCAAAAATAATCGGGACCCAATCAAACATAACCATGTTTCCTTGTTTATTTGCAGCAAGATCGAATTGTCTCAAACCTAACCCACCAAACTCAATTCTGTCAAAAATTGCGATATCCCTCCCAACTCTGCAAAGTCTCTTCCCCCAAGTTGAGATCATCAACCACTATTTTACGGGCATAATGAATCCCGTCCAGGGGGAGCGAAAAGCACCTGATCACAAGTCATAACACAATCGACCAAACCAGCCACAAGCCCAGACAGACATTCAAGTGGAAGGGAGGTTCCATTTCTCATAACAGAGCAAAGAAACTGAAACTGAAAACTACTACCGCTCAAACCCAATGGGTTCCAAACAGCAAACCTTGCTGCACGATCAAATTACTTGGTTCTGGTTCAAATCTCTCATCCACCAACAAGACACAGAGAATAAAAAGAAGAATATGCAATCAAAGGAATCAACCAACTTCTGTGCCGATTCTCCTTTCTGCCCTTCAGCCGAATCTGTTATTTGCTCCAAATCCTGGTTAACTCATCATGGCATCATCAGCGAAAGTAATTAGCTAAGCTGTATCTACAACTCAACGCTACAACCCAACTCCAGTTACCTGCAGAGTGTGGAGGACAATCTGCCCCATGCAAAGCAAGGAAGACGCTCTGCTGAGATCTCTATTCATCACTAGTCTCTAATACCCTAAAACTGCCACCTTGACGTCCATGAAAGTCGCCACCACCACGTCTAGCGTGATTCGGCACTCTTTCCCTAAACCTTGGACGCGAAGCATGAGATACATCTTTGGAAGAAGGCTCAAGGTTGTTCCCCTTGCTTTTATTTTGTTGCCCAACCGGTTGGTACTCGTAATGAGAACTTTGCTTCATCGCCCTTTCCTTGTTTGCTGCTGGTACATTATGTTGCCTGTTGTTATCTCTCGCAGTTCCACTCCATTCCCCGCGAGACTCCTGATGATGATCCCGGTTGAACTGGTTTCCACCGCCTCTTCTGTATCCTGAAGAGTAGTAGTTTTGGTCAGAGGCTGCTGGCTCCACAGGGCTACTAGAGTTGTTATGTCCTTTGTGAGAGGTCACCTTCCTCTCCCTCCTACCACCCTCTTGATCAGAAGGATGCACTTCATCTGCCCTTCCAGCAGCTACTTCCTTATCTTTAGGTGGTGGCACAAACACCCCAACAGCGTTTGAACTTGGACCCCTTTTATTTGACCTACTACTAGCTTCTGGAGAAACAACATTCTGATCATCATTATTATTAGGCTTGGTTGCCCGTCGACCAGTAGCAGAAGTTGACTGTGACTTGGGCTGCCAAGACCGAGTATGAGCCTTTTCACTGTCCATGCTGACTTTTGTCTCCACACTGTCGGGATTGTGTCCTTCTCTATTTAGTCCCTTCTGTGGCTGCCGTCTTCCCCTGGCAGTAGCTGTCTGATCCTTAAAACTAGAGACTGGCATCGGTACATCAGGCTCTTCGGGCATGGTCCAGCCATCTGTCCATTCATCGATTGGTTCAGATGGCTGCCTTTTCACTGAACTTGTTGCGTCTGATCTGTTATGAGGTTGCTGCTGACTCTCAGTTGACTTCTGAAAACTAAGATTTGAGGTTGAAGTTTGTGATTCAGCTGAAGAACATTGGTGCCACGATGACCCCTGTACTGTCACAGGCTTAATCTGTCTGGTGCCCTGCCCATTCCTGGTGGCTTCGGCAATGGAACCAAACTGGAGGGTGACAGTGGTTTGTGAACTTTCAGGCCCCAAAGGAACCGATACACTGCCAACAATAGTCTCAAGTGCAGGCATCTGGACAACTACTGGAGAAGCCACAGAATGGTTAGCATTTCCTTGCTGAGCCATTTCTTTGGCTACCGGCTTTGGAATGTATCTTTCTATTTCTGCCCTTTTGTTCTTTGTGGTAACATTCTGCAACTGCTGATCACCACTCTTCACAGGTGGTAAACTAGCAGCACTTTTCTTATCCCCTTCCTCGGCACCATCCTCGGATTTAATATTATGCGACCGCACTGGAGCCCAGACGACAGTATCACTGCTTCCATGGAATTTACTATCCGTCATTTTATTATTAGCCAGTTGATTCCTTGACATTCTTCGAAATGGTTGAGATTTCCACTGGTTACTACTAGGTTTGACATGGATATCTTCATTTGGTGATGTAGGATGTTTTTGCTCCATATGCCGCTGACTATTTCCTCCTTTGCGATCAGGGACCAGCTGAACTGAGCTAGGAGCTGCAGAGGACTCCGGAGTTTTTGGTTTGACACGGTCATTTGAAGCTTCCAAAACAGTAGTTGTATCTATGGAGAGAGCTGATGATGGCAAAACAGCAGTAGGAGGTGCTGCATCCTGCAATTTTTGCTTATTTCTTGTACTCCTGATTTTCCTCCTCGGATGTGCTGTTGAAGACTCGGCTGTTGCATTTGGGCTGACAGGCACACTTGGCACACTAGCTTCAGAGTTCGAAGAAATCTCATGAGCATTAGACTCAACAGGAACAGAAGGATTAGGCATCGCATCAGTACTATGACTTTTTGATGATTCAGCTGTGGTCAAGGAGACTTTTTCACCAGAAGTCTTTTCTGAATAACTATTTTGCTTTTGTCTATAGTTCATGCGCTTCTGCTTTGAAGCCCCACTACCATCATACTCCTGTCTGGCATTATTAATAACACTTTCTGCACCAGAATCCTGACACCGTGATTTAGATGGATCATGCATTACGAGAGGAGCTTCACTGGAATTCTTCTTGGATTCTTGAGGCAGTACTTCATTAGATGAAGGGGCAGATATACCGACTCTATTTGTAATTCCCTCATTAGTAGGTGCCAATGCAACCGAGTTGGAAACAGAAACAGAAACAGAATTACCCGTAGATGTGACAACTACAGGTGATTGGGCAGAGTTCAGCAACTCCTCTTGCTCGTTGGGCAAAGTAGTACTAGATAAAATTTCAAGCTTCTGAGAGGAACCTTCACCCCACGGCATTCTCCTGTTCAACTCCTCTAGTTTGGCAAGCGCCTTGGCCTTCTGTTCTCTAGTTCGCTCTTCTTCTTCCTTCTCTCTCTGCTTGAGTCTCTGGCGAGCTAGCTCTCTCATCATAGCTCGCTGATGAGTAAAACAAACAATAAGCACAAGGCTACATAATAAGAAGTATACAGACCAAGGAAAACATAAACAGACAAATACAAGCTCGGCTACCTGTGCCTGGGTATCACTTGGCTCAGATGCTTGTAGCATCGACTCCCTATCATTGCCTTGATGTGAAACAGACTTCTCGGTGGCCTCAACAGATGTACAGTCATGGCTGTGCACAGCAGAACTTACATGTACACTTGATATACCATCATTCAACTCAGTAACTTGAGGCCTTCGCCTCCAGCTATCAGGATCCTGAGTACTAGATCTTCCTTTACCACGATGATCAGTTTTAATATGCATGCCCTGAGTAGACATCCTGTAAATTTGCAAATTAGCTTTTCTATTTTCCTAAACTAGGCAGTAGAGACAGTTAAAGTCTGAGAGTCACAAACTCACCTTGTTATACCTGTTCCGCCACTTGCAACTGTCAAGCCGAGACTCGTACCTGTTCCAGAACTCTGATAATCAAAGGAGCTAGTGGTGACAGATGCATCACTTGCTGATTTTTCCGGAGGAACAAAACCACTTACATCTTCATTTACAGGATGATGATTGCTCCTGATACTGTCAATTTTTTGCTTATTCTTCTGCTCATCCCTACTACTAACTGATTTGGCATCTTGCCTTCCATCAGCAGCCCGAGCCTTAGCATTTAAACCTTCAATTTTTTTAATAAGACTAGGGTCTCTAGAGCATGACACTGATTTGGGAAAGGAAGCTCCATGTTCCCCATACTCTGATATCTGATCAAGACCAGTATCAGATGGATTTAGCGTCACACCATTTTCAGTGCCTATTGGTCTGGCAGAAGAAGCACCAGCTTTGTGGTCAACAATCCCAGAATCTCTTCCAGAAATGACTCTTTTTGTTTCCATGCCATCATTTCTCTTGATCTGATCTGTTCTCCAGCCATTATCCAAAGCTGACTTTCTAGGGTGGTCTCCATTTCCAGGATGCACCACATTGGCTGCCCTGTTATCATCCCACTTCTGCTCCCCAGCTTTTCCGTCCCACCCTTCACGCTGCTTCAGAAGAACTTTATATGGGCCTTGAGTATCACGAGGATGATGACCAGATTCCACCTTCTCCGAAACAAATCCTTTACCATTATTAGAGCCAAATCCACTGGATCTTCCATGGGAATTACCAGATTCATGAGCATTTTGATTTGGATATCTGCTATATGCACCAGGACCTACAGGCATTCCCATGTAAGGAATGTCCCGTTCGTTAGCATTGTTGTTGTACGCCATGGGAGGACCGTAATATCCCTCGTAAGGAACTGGGGCCGGATAAAATCCAGGTCTAATTGGCATGCCAGGACGAATATAAGCATCATGCATGGGAGGTCCAAACACATCTCCATGTTTTGGGTGACCTCTTGGACCAGCTGATGGCTGTGGGGGCACTGCCTGTGCATTTGCCATGGCGCCAGGGGGAATCTGAGGTCGGTAATAAGGAAATGCCTCCATAGGGAATCCACCAGGCCCAACTGGTGGCGCAAATGGTGGACCACCTGGAGGACCCCGATACCAAACACCGCCACCTGGATGATTATTCAAGGGAGGGCCGTGCCAAGCATCGAAATGTTGAGGGATAGTAGAATTAGGATATGGTTGAGGATCAGCATGCCATCGCTCAACATTGGGCCTAACTCCCTCTCTCTCATAGAAGGAACTCTCTCTTCTCCAAGCTTTTGTATTGTCACTCTTCATGTCTGCGCTTCCAGAATCTACGGCTAGAAAGGACATGAAACATTAAAATTCATGCAACCAACATTACAATATGAGAGTCAGGTAAGTTACAGCCAAGAATACAGAAGGAAAAGTCGAGTGCTGAATACAAACCTACACCATCAGCTGTGCTCTCTTTCACTGGTTCTCCGCCAGAAGGCGAGTCATGAGGAAAAACATTCTCTGGATATAAGTAGTTCATAAACAAACAAACAAAAAAATATGTGAGGAGTTTATCTACTACATAGGGAATCAAACATGCATCAACAAGCATAGAATCCACAGTAGGCCATCATCTTGTATCGATCCAAGTCAATAATACTAAAGTCTCAAAAGTTCTTAAACGCTTCAACCAACTAGCACAGAGATCTGAATAAATAATAGCGCAATGCAAAGGGGAAAAGCTTGTTAATTCAATAATTTTCCTCATGCCCAGCCAAATGCCTCCATGAACCCAAAAGCAGAGAAATTTTCATTGACCTTGCAGTCGATATAGCATGTAACAGAGTTCTAAGTGATGTTCTTATCTACATGAAGATAATATCATATGAGGTCAAAACTGTAAGCATATCTGCATACACAGCACGATGGCACACTCCAAAGTGTTCCGGGAATTCTACAGTAATCTAGCATAAAAACATGAAAAACTGCTGCTCAAGCTTTAACAACATTTAAGGGAGAAAACCTGCTATATCTGTGTTCTTCGTAGAAGTTTCCTTTTCAGAGCCAAGAGTTGGAAAATCACCAGAAGTAAGTGAAAAGCTATCCTTTTTAGACGGTGCCACCCCCTGCATTTGCGAAAGTGAGTAACAGATATTTTCATTAATAGCAGAAGAGAAATATATGGCCAACAAAATAATGAAGGATGACAACATTAAGAAAATCAGTATATGATGATACATTCATTTATTACAGATGTTTTCATGGACAATATTATGTTTTCAAATATGCCTCTTGTTGGCTAATTGGATGAGGATGCTCATATCAGCCCTCTAATCTACACAAACTCAAGTTTCATTTCCAAAACACCCAAACTTCTTGGCTTTGGAAGTAGGACAAGATTATATGCCCAATGATGAAGACAAATACAAGCTGAACATACCAAGTTCTGATTGATTTTGGCATTTTGTTGTTCGGCATAATATTATATTTTCCTTTATTTTTACTACAAGAACAGAAACTTTTAGGATACGTAAGCAAAAAGTTCAAACCCCTCTATAGGTCAGATGCAAGCCCTTGTCAAAGCTACAGAAACCTAGTTTCAACATGCATAAGTCAACAGCATGTTTTGACCCTTTACTGCTGAAGAGTTGGCCTAATATTTTTACTACAAGAACAGAAACTTTTAGGATACGTAAGCAAAAAGTTCAAAACCCTCTATAGGTCAGATGCAAGCCCTTATGAAAGCTACAGACACCTAGTTTCAACATGCATAAGTCAATAGCATGCTTTGACCTTTTACTGCTGAAGAGTTGCCCTAATAATGAATTAATGTTAATAGGTTTAGATCATAAATAACCCATAAAATTCTCAAGATCAAGTCCTGGCAGTTGTATATCTGCGACAAGCACCGGGGAAAAAAAAAGAAGCAAACAAGCAAAACCAAGCACATCTACAAATGAAAAGCGCAGAGCAGGTTGAATAGGAAAACCACACTATATGAAAGCTATAATACCAGTGTCAGGACGAAGAACGCCAGAATATCAAATCAAATACTGGAAGTGGATAATAATTAAGCGTAAGAAAAATCTCCAGTTATTTTTACTGTGCCAGAAATATTATACTATTTTCCTTATCAGGTGCCAAAAGCATCAGACATTAGTCTCCATGCTAGTTGCTACAATGCAAAGAGAGACGGAGAAAAAGAGTACAAATGCTTATCCTGCATTTATCATCATGAAAATAAGATGGACATCACAATGACAGATTGTGTCAAGAAAATCATACCAATTTTTCAGCAGTCCCACTAGCACCCCAAGCTACTGAGTTATCAGACAAAGGTTCTGCAAACCGAGATAACTGAGAGCTTCCAGGTCTTGTATCAGCACTACGAGGACGAGATGCAGTGATTGCAGTCTGATTCGACGTCAATGGACCTGAGGCTGATGACGGCCTAGAGCTAGAACTCCACGCATTAGCTATGGGTTCATGGCCTCTATCGCTACCTGCGGTTGATGGCCTTGTGCCACCACCAGATGAAGGACGACCACTAACATAGCTAGGGGAACCAGTACCACCATCGGATGGAGAGAGAGTAGACGAACCCCATGCATTTGATGAGGATGAAGATGATCTACTGCCCCAGCTATGGGTCCCCCTACCAAGTGTCAAAAACATTACAGCACAATGCAGGACCAAAGCATGATTACATATTTATTTGGCTAACAAGTGAAAGGATCGCGATTATATATTTATTACTAGAAGAGTACAAAGGAGAATAAGTCAGACGAGGGAGAAGACTGCTAGATAAGATATACTCACTTGGGCACAATTTCCACATTTGGGTCCAGACCATGATTTTCCAACCTTCACACATAAGAGAGGAAACATGAATATGGAAGCAAAACAATTTCAAGTTTCTCCCTAAATGAAAATATAGCAAGGATCATAGCATACACCTTTGACTGGGCAAGTTAATTGGTTTTGGTACAGCAACTTTCCCTAAAACAGTCATGCCGCCTCTTCTGGCAGACCACCTACAACCAAGCAAATGAAGTTAATCATATGATATAATGGGGCTAGACATATATTAACATAGAAACTAACAGAAATTATTCAAATGGATAAAGCTGAACCAGTACCTTCGCTCTCCGGTCAACGCACTGGATGCCATATTTTAATGGTCGTAGCAAGGTCATCCAAAAGCACTAAAGACACCTGCACAACAATGAGACGCACAAAATTGCATAAAACTCTGACTCCCATGATTACAATCCAAATATGTTTTGAAACAGACCTGCAAAAGATGACTTAAGAATTGAAAACTGAGTCCCTAAACAAAGAAGATTAATAAATAAGATCAGAGGCACTGCTCAGAGTATAAATTTGCCACCACAGTATACAAGGCTGAAAAATCAAATGAGCACAGAGTGTCTAAGTTGCACCAAGCAATCAAAGCATTGTTTACGTAGTGAGCATGCATACAGAAGCAACCGCAGGTTACCGATAACGCAGTATGCATCTTCTTGTAACCCTATAGACCTATTTCTCACGTCCCAAGACCATCACAAACTTCCTAAGAAGAGAAGCCCTCTGCAAGTGTAAAGTCCAACTTGCCTTTCCTTGCACCGATTCTGAAACCAGCTACTCCCAACCACTTTCCACATCATTTGTGGAAAGTAGAAGGAAAACAGCGTCACGTTCAACGGTGGAGTACACAACAGGATCACATTTTACGCTAGGCCTAACACTTCCCACCAAAAACATAACAAGCAAACCCAGTAAAACAATCATTCATCGGAAACTGCAGCAAGCAACCATCAAAAGAAAAGCTCAAGCGCAGTGATTAAGTTTCAATCAAATTCAGGAAACTAGCACGGTAAGAATCTCTCCAATTCCCCCCTTCCTTCTTTCCTCCCCTACCGTCCACTAGGTCGAATTTAACACTGTAACCACACACACACACCAATCGATAGGCAACATTACCGAAATTACCAAAGGAGCAGTGCGAAGGTGGAATCACTTGCCTGAGGTTAACAGGAATCCGTCTCCACTCTGTGCGGGGAAATATGTCTTCCCGTTTTGGCGGGGTTGATACGGTATTCAGAAACCCTAGAGTTCTGGAAGAGAGAGAGTGGGAAGGAGCGGGAGGCGAAGATTGGTTCGTGGAGAGAAAGAACGATACAAGAGAAGGGGGAGTTCTCTCACGGGGTTCAAGGGATCAAAGGAGAGCAAGAAGAAGAAGAAGAGAGATCCGGGGAGGAAGAAAAGGCAACGATTAATATGAAAAAGGAAGAGAAGTGATAGAAGAGAAGAGAGGGGCTTTTTTTCGTATACGAGATCGAAGAAGAAAAGGAGAGGGAAAGAGAGAACGGCCACGGGGGGATGGGAAGGAAAGAAAGATAGAGAGGAGGATGAGAGCTGAAGAAGACAGACGTTTTGCTTCCTTTTTCCTTTTTTTTTAACTCGAGAAAAACAATAAGAAAAATAAGGTTCCTAAAAATTAAGGCAAAAAAAAATATTGAATAAACCAACTTTTTCAAGTTATTTTCCTAAATTCCAACTTGTTGACTGTATTGATTAGAATTTAGAAGTAGAACTTGATTGTATTTGGTTAATTGTATGGTTGTCAAATCGATATCCGATCGGTTGGTTCGATCGAATCTAATCAAAGCTGATCGTATAAACTGTTCAAATACAATGAGTTTCTAATGATTTTTCAGAGCTGATCAAAATTGCCAAATTTGGAAAATTTGGGGAGGTGTGATTGGATTGATCAAATCTCGACTTGAAGGAAAATTACATTGTTTCAATCAGCTTAAAACAAAGAAAAAAATTGCAGCGTCAATCTCTCTCATTTCCCCAACTTCTCTCCCCAATTCAAAATCCTAGTTGATGAAGGAAGTGGTTGGTAATTCAATTCTTGAATTTCACTCTTCACTTCAAAATAAAGACTCGCCATCCTTGCAACTCTACAACTCCAATTCGTTCTACTTGAATCCAATTCATCGATTCAATCTTCATGGAGTACAATTGATTTGATTTGTAATTATTTTTATATTAAATTTTTTCCATATAAATCCATTGAACTCACAAATGGACATTTCATTCCCTGACAGAATCACAAATTTACCTCGATTAAGAACCACTCATGGTTAAAATTCAATTTGACTTGTTGAAGCAATCCTGGAACAAAAGCTCGAGGAAAGCCGGAGCTATGTGAGGATTGACTCTGTAAAGCTTCACAATTACTTCCCGTACGATTTTCTCCGCTTGAGAACAAGAATAGCGATAGAAATCTGAATCATACTTGAACAACTTCTCGCAATCACCTACATCTTCACATTTCACACTCGTAATCGCTCTCTCTTTCATGGAATGCTCTCCTAAGATACTCCATAGAAAAGAATAAGATGGGAAGTCGAACACAATGATGAATGAACAAAAAGGAAACATGAAGGCACATATGAAATATAGAAAGTAAATGAGGATTGAACGGCAAATAATCATCATAAATTTTCAGCCCTCATTAAATCCCACTTATAAAGGTGGAACTTGAAAGTACACGGGACCTATGGATTTGCACCCTCAAAGTCCATGGTCGCTGTGATATTAACTTCTTTCTAACATACAGTCTAATATAAATAAATTTCATAAGTTTTGAGGAGTTAATTTTGAAATTAAGTTATTTTGTGTTTGGAATATAAAGGAATTCGTTTACCATTCTAAATTTGAATTCTGTGAAATTGTGGCTAGTTTTGGCAATTATGAGAAATTGAGGTCGAATTTTCAAATGAATTCCACAAGTATTTTACTAATTACGATAAAATGACTAATTATTAAGTAAATTACCCCTATGTATAACCAATTGGCCCAACACTCCAGATTTTCGCGTCTAATCTTCTTCACTCAGTCGCTACGTAGCCAATATATAATCATCATTTGGTTCCTACACCCTCTTTTGCGTGTTTTTGGGGCGACTTTCTCATTTTTATTCTTCTGCTAAATTGCAACCATGCCACTACTCATAATCAACATTAGTAATTGCCTCATCAGGTTAGATTTATACTTGTGTTGCCCCTGTGCACATTTACCCCTTACACATTGTTACTTGTAGTTGCTTTTTTAGATATTTTATGATTAATAAAAATGGCATTCAACTTTAGAGGCACAACCTGCAAACCTCTATCTACCAGTACAATGTGTTTAGACCAAACATATAGCTAATTACACCATAAAAAAGATCATATACTGTATATTTCTGTACTAGACTCAACATCATCTGGTTGTTCTAGGCAAACAAGGTACTTTCATCTTGTATCCTCTTCGCTCCCTCCAAATGTAACCTAGAGACAACCTCCACAAAAAAATGGCCAATCATAGCTTGATCAGAGCTTCCTTTACATGCTTGAATTGCCCATTAATATGATCTTGACAGTTCAGTACTTCTCGGACTAAGCAAACTTTCCTCATAACTGATGTAAGCACATACCTACTATAAGAACACGAAGTAAAAAGGTGATCTCTTGATTCATCACCACCCGGCCATAATACACAAGGTGTGTAAGTACCCATCCCCCACGCAACCAGTTTATCTTTGGTTGTGATTCTATCAAGAATAATCAGCCAAACCATAAAAACTGTGCTTAGGAATACTTGGTTTTCCCCACACAACAGATTCCTAGGCAACATTAGGAAGTGGGCTCCGAAAAGTTTCCCAGATAGTTTTCATAGAGTAACGAGAAAGAAGCTTGCCATCCCATGTTAGAGAATTACCAGATCCTGAAATATCGGGATGTGCGACCCCTCTGCATTTAAGAATCCATCGTCATATCTATGAACCTGAAGACATGCTCCAAATAGGTCAATTCTTGATCTTGTATTTCCTAATCCACGCTACAAACAAAGAGTCTGCTTCTTCAAGTATGGATCAAAGATGAAGAATGACACAGGCTTGATTCCACGTTTTAAAATCCTGAATCCCCATCCCTACTTCCATTTTTGGTGCTGCAACTCTTTCCCACGAGACCAACGCCCTTTTCCTTTTCTCAGCTCCTCCTACACCCCATAGAAATCGTTTACATATCTGCTCCACATCCCTAAGCACTTTCATTGGCAGCAGCAACAGAGCCACCCAATATTGCATTGTACTTATAATGACTAATGAAATTAGCTGCAACCGACCCGAATAGCTCAATATACTGGCATGCCATGTTCTAGAGGGAACCCCGTTACTTCGGGAAATCATCCTCTTTTCTACATCTGGAATCCTAACATAGAAAATTTGACAGTTTTCTATGTTACAGTGAAGTTCAGAAACAACATAAAATATGTCAAGAAGCCTCATTATACCATCCACTCCTCTAACAGACCCATTTGTGAAAACAAGTCTATCATCAGCAAAAACATAAATCCGAGATTTCTAATGCTTTACACCAAGGATGATATGGATCTATTATTCGAATACATCCTTCCTAAGGAGACATGAGATGAAATCCATTGTTATAGTAAACAAATATGGCGAGAGTGGAAGCCCTTTGTGTGCTGGAAAATACTCACACACGCTATCATTGAAACACACACTAAACATAGGAGTTCTAACACAAGTTTCAACCCACTTCACATACACTTCAGGCAATCCCATAGCCAACATAACTTTGAACATAAATCCCCAATGAACCGAATCAAACGCTTTCATCAAGTCCATTTTCACTACGCATCTAGATGACATATTAGAGTTATGATAATATTTTTACTAATTTTGAAGCCATTAGTATATTATTAGTGATCACTACCCCTTAACAAACACGGATTGAGCTTTACCAATACGTTCTGGGAGAACATTTACCAGCCTATTTGTTAGATTTTTTGAGATTCCTTTATATAAGACATTACAACACAATATAGCCCTGAAATTTTTCATTCGATCAACTTGAAGCAACTTAGGTATTAAGGCAAGGATGGTGGAGTTTACCTGTCGAGGCATGATTCCTGTTAAAAAGAACTCAAGAATAACATCCTCCACAGCAGCCCCAACAACTTCCAAGTCTCCCTTAAAGAACTTAGCAATAACTTGTCCGGATCAAGGCTTCTGCTGCAACATCCACACCCCAATTTGCGTTGAGGGATATCATCACAACACTCGACTGGGTGCTCAACCAATGCAAAATCCTCTTTTCCCAATAAGCTTTGATAGAATTCTACGGCCACATCTCCCATTTCTTTCACTTTTGTAATCACTGTACCTTCATCTCTAATCAATTTTCCAATAGATTGCTTATGATTTCTGATCTTCACCATTCTATGAAAAAAGCGGTATTACCTTCCCCTCTTGAATCCATTCAACTCTTGACTTCTACCTATATAAGCTCTCTTTTACCCTGAGTAAATCTTGACATAGCTTAGCCTGCTCCAACTCCAACTTAACATTAATATCACTAGGTTGAAGAAGCACTTCAGTCTTCCCTCTCTCCAATTGCAATTCACCTTCTATGGCTCTAACAAAGATCTCAGAGTTGCATTCACGATTAAGGGTCCTTAGCTTAGGCTGAGTCCAATGGAGACCCTATAAAGTGGCCATTCTCTATAAATGGGGAAAAGTTGGCTCCAATGTAGTCTCTATAAATGAGAAAGTCTCTATATTTGGGGACAATCTCCAAATGGATCCCTGAATTTGGGGATGGAAATGGGGAGGGGTGTGCTTGTGGGTTGGACAACCACCAGCCCGCCACATGGCTTTTTTTTTCTTTTTATGATTTTAGGGGTTGATTGGGGTTTAATTAGGGAATTAATTAGAAGTTTAATTAAATCAATAATTTTCAAGTGTGTGTAAAGAAAAATTAGGGCACACATTTTTTTGCAAAAAAAAAAAATCGGTCTCGAAATTTAAAAAAATTCTATTGGAAATTTGTATTTAAAAATGATGATGAACTATACAAAAATTAACAAAAACAAATTTGATTAAGATGATGATGAGTACATTTTTAAGTAATGGAAAACTAAAAAAAGGATATCCCTAAATTTCGAGAATGTAGCATTGGAGCAAAAAAAGAAAATGGGGATGATCCCCAAATTTGGGGACTAGCATTGAACTTGGCCTTGCTCTTAAACAACTTAAGCTTCTTGTATAATTTTGCTCGTAGAAAGCTCCTGATGCCTCTTCACTCCATGCTTCTATCAATAAACTTTCATAGTCTGAATGTTGCCTCCATATCTTGAAATACTTAAATGACATAGGAAGAGAGTCCACTATTAAACAAGAATCCATTAGTAGACCACAGTGATCAAAAACTCCAGGTGAAAGAGTATGCACAACATTGTGAGGATACTTATCCATCCACTCCCCACTGACAAAGAATCTGCCAAGCCGCTTTGCTATGGGATTATTGACCTGCTTGTTCCATCATGTGAACGAGGACCCCTGTACAACATGATCAACAACTACATTTCATTTATCCACTATTGAAACTCTAAAAAACTTTGATTTACCACTAACATTGGATGCTTCCGCCACTGAGACAATAGCATTGAAATCATCGATAAACACACTAGGAGATCCTTGAGCACATCTCGCCAGTAAAGTAGCAATCATTTTAGACCGCTCAGATGTCTTATTCAGAGCATAAACCGATGTAACCAAACATTTCTCATCACCCTCCATTGAACCTGTATAAAATGCTCACCCATAACAACTTCAGAAACTTTCAAATTGGATTGTCAAAACAACCCGACTCTGCCTTAACTAGAATACTTGTAATTATTCATATGTGTCCAACCTCTAAATTGATTCTTTATTATAGTTTCAGTATTACTAGCTACTGCTCGAGTCTCCAAAATAACAAACAAATTAATATTATTCTTATCAACTTTCTTACTAATAAACCCATGTTTCTCATAGGCATTAAAGCCTCTAAAGTTCCAGCATAGCATCTTCATCACTCCCTTTTCCTTCCTCCCCTCTTCTTAGGTGAGTCATGAATAACCAAGCTCTGAGCCTTTGCATTTAATGGAACTCTTACCTGTACTGCAGAGGGAGGTATCGTCCGCTGCTTTCCCTTTTCGCACTACAAGCTGGAAACCTTCATCATCAACTATTTCCCATTATTCGGAGTAAGAACCTGAGATGAGCTAGCTAGTAAGTCTCCACTCTTCAGAATCAAGCCAAATACTAGAACTGGACCTCCTTTAGATAAAATTGAGCCAACTACTGGAACTGGACCTCCTCCATTTAATTCAACAACTAGAGTGGGATCACCTTCCTTCATATTTGAGCCAGCTACTTGAACTGGACATCCTTTATTAGTATTTGAGCCAAATATTGGAATTTGCCCCAAAGAACTAGCAGTAACTTGCTTAGCAACCCAGGTCACATCATCAGTCATGGCTTCAGCAACCACCAACTCTTTCCCAGTTTGAACATGAACAACCTTACATTATTTTCCTTCCCCATCATAGTGCCCATATTCACTACACTGACTACAACGTGATGGAACATGTAGATAGCGAACCACAAGTTGAATAAGTCGATCTCCTTCAGGTGTAATACTGAGCATTTCTGTAACTTCGAAGTCCGCAAGAATCTCCACACATACCCTCGCAACACTTGCTTGAGCCCCCAATCTAGTCGCCTGGTCCATCCATTAAGAAATACCTAACAGACAAGAAACGTGAAGCAACCCCTCCGTTGTACTATATTCCGACGACAATCCACTCAAACGCACCCAAATATGGAGAGACTTGAGATTCATTTCCATAGACTAAATTCCAGGGATCCAACGACGAAGAAATAACAGATTATTTGCATAGTGCCAGGGGCCATTCTCACATACCCAATTACTTGTAGCAGGATCAACAAACTGGAAAATGAACATGTTATCACCGAATGGCAAGACCAAAACCTTCCCATCTCGACCCCAAAATCTATGAGCCCAATGGCGCAACTGCTCAATTCCAGGTGTCGACGATAGGAACTGCCAACCAGCACATTCCTCCAACGAGCAACCCCCTCGTCACGCACAGTTCGTGGGATGATAATAGAACCATCCACAATGTTCAGAGTGATGTACTAGAGCCGATTGGATCGCCAACACCGAACAGCTGCGCCCAATTAGCAAGTGCCCCATGTGCAACGACCATCTTCCGGAACCCTAATAGGAAGCTTTCAGAGAGAAAATGAAAAAACTTTGTTTTCTTCAGATTCGTTACTTTCTCATCTTCGCTTTTTTTAGAGATTTTTTTGTTTATATTTTAGTTTTTATGATCTGTGTTACTTTTCTTACTTGATATCAATGGACATTCTATGTTGGAAATTGTGTTGATGGTTTTTCTTGTTTGATAATACTCTGTTTGTGATGACGAGATCAAGCTATATTTTCTCAAGAGAAAAATAGGTTACAATGAAGATTTTTAGAAGATCGGACATCCAAATTGTTTACTACTTTTTATGTTTTTTACTTTGACAGATTGGTTGGATGATAAATTTTTAATTTAATTCAATTCTTAACGTATTTCAAAATATGTTTTGGAAATTCAATTCAATTTATTTCTAGAAACTTGAATATGACATTCCAAATATAGAAAATTCATTTGACAATGAATTCATTTTAAAACGAAATGAAATCCTAATTCATCTAGTTTCAAACGGTCTGTAAAAGTAAAGAAAACAATGGAGTTTGAGGTAAAGATCCTAGGAGTTGGATTTGAGATAGAAAAAAACCTCATAAAATCTCCCTTAAGATCATAACCGACCTTTAGAAATGTAAATGAAGCAGGTTTGGGGTGGGTACTCGATACTCATACCCGCCCTGTGACATAGGGGTGGGCATTTGGTTGGTTCGGTTTCGACTGAACCGAAATTATGAATATCGGGTCCCTGATTTCTCTCAAACCTCAAACCAAATTCGAACCGAATTATAATTCGGTTTGGTCGATTTAAACCGAATTATTTGGTTCGGTTCGTTTTGTCACACAAAACCTAATTTATGAAACTACTTGTATCTTTTCACTTTTAAATTATTTTTCACCCCTAATATAAACAATAAATATGTAATTATATGCATCATCAATGATAAAATCAAACTTTTCAATACATAAGTCATAAAAAAATTCAAATATTTAAGTCTAAAAATAATTACAAACATAAAAATCCATAATTTGGAGCTTGCAATTATAGTTTTTCGGTCGAAAATTCGGTTCGGTTGAAAGAACCCTGGTTTCCGAACTATCCATATTTTCCTTCCGAATTCCGAACCGAATAGCATTAATTTGGTTTCGGTTCGGTTCGAGTTTACCAAACCGGTTGCCCACCCTACTGTGACAGGTCGAGTTCAGGTTGGATAATTTATCACGGGGCGCGGTTCAAATTAGGTCTGCCCAAATTGATTAGTTTAAAAGGAAAACATTATAAATATTCATTTTTATAAAACAAGAAACAAACTATAATAGGATAAGTTTAGAATTATTGGAGGTTCTCACCTATTTACTTCATTATAACTAAACACATGATATCATGGAAGTAAGATCTAAGGGGTCATTCGGATGGATCAATAAAAAATGAGACAATTTGATCAATTGTCTCATTTTATAAACGATGCAATTAAAAGGAGTCAATTCGAATTACGTGCACCCACCCCAGACAATTGAAATTGACTCAAAACGGATCAATTCAAAAATAGTAAAATACTTTAGGCAAATTGATCCATCAATTTTTTTTGCTGATAAACGAGTCAATTTGGTACAATTGTTTCGAAATGAATATATTACATCAAATTGATCCGTTACAATTTCTCATTCAAACGAGCACTAAGTAATTTGAGTAAAATTGAATTGGTCGAGAATGCAGTGGATTAGGGCAAGTCATGTCAAGTAGAGTGCATGCATAAGTACTCATATTCACCCCACCTATGAAAGGGTTATTACGTGCCCAAAACAGATCTTATAAAAGTATAAAACGGATCAGATCAAAATTGTTATTTTAAGCTTCCTGGGAGTATATTAAACGCCGGGCCGGAGTCGGATTCCAACACCCTCGCACAGTCTTCTCGGCCGGCCCAACTCGCCATTTCAGCTCAGCCTCCAATTTCTGGCTTCACGGCACGCTTCTATCCCCCTCCGCCGATTGGCAATTACTGAAGAATGAACAAGGGAGGAGCAGGCGGCGCTGGAGGAGCGGGAAGCGGCCCGACGGCTGCGGCCGCGGCAGCTGCGGCACAGAAGCAGAAAGCATTGATGCAGAGGTTGGAGACCGATATTGCCAACATCGTCGACAATTTCACCCACCTCGTCAACGTTGCCAGGGTATAAAAGTTTGCCTCTTTCGTTCTCTCCTCCTTCTTGCAATTCGAATTGGAGAGTAGATTTCTTCGGTTCTCATTAGATTCTTTTTGTATCTGGCTGGAGGATTATCTTCCCTGCAAAATGCTGATCCGCTGACTGTTTGAACTCAATTTCGCTGCTGCTGCTTGGAAATGTAGGTCAATGAACCGCCGGTGAGGAATTCGCAGGAAGCCTTCATGATGGAAATGCGTGCTTCCAGAATGGTAAGATTGCTTACTCCTAGTCTAATCTATGAAATTTGTGGGGTTTTGCCATAGGAACATTATTGGGCCTGTAGTGTGTGTGATCCTTCTATGGATTTCAATGGTACTAGGAGGCAGACCTTATCAGCCCCAAGAAATGTTGATTTGGAACTCGTGGAAACTTAGACACTTCGAAAAAGGGTTCTTCCTTCTCAGGGTTGTCACTGGTTGGGATGAAAGGGCAAAATGAACTTAGTGCTTCATACTTGAACTATGAGCAGTTCTCCTTGTGTTGAACACAGCTACAAGTTGTTAGATTTTAGAAGTTCAGCATTCCACGTAGTTGTAACCATGGAGCTTGTTTGAGGTAGAAGCTTTTGTGATTTTGCTCTTCCCGGAAGCCCCAGAAACTTTTCGCTCACTTTGATCCCATTTAATTTTTTTTCAACCATGGCATTCTGATAATTCACTTGCTTCAGATTTCTGCACACCTTTGTTGGCAGCTGACAACTGATTATGACTGCTTCTCCGTAAACAGGTTCAGGCAGCCGATTCGCTACTTAAGTTAGTATCCGAGTTAAAACAGTCTGCCATTTTCTCGGGGTTTGCATCTCTTAACGATCACGTGGACCAAAGAATAGCCGAGTTCAACCAACAGGCAGAGAAAACTGACAACATGTTAGCCAGAATCGCAGAGGAGGCTGCTGCTAGCCTCAAGGAGCTCGAATCTCATTACTACTCTTCCTCACAGAGAACTAATCAAAACTTGGAGCCTTGAACTCAGGGTAGCTCATCAAACTAGTGTACCATGCTGAAACAGTTTATGCTCCAGAATCTCTAGATTTTACTGTTTAGATTCTGTAACTGTAATCCATATTCGGCAGTGCGCAATGAAAAAGTCTCGCCCTCTCGACCGCCTGCACTGCATGCTTCTTATCTAATAAGATGCACCTGATCTGCATGATCTCAATCCAACAACAATGTTATCATTTTCGTTAGACATCGCATGATTGCATCGTTTGGATAATGGATCAAAGGAGGAATTGCTTGGCGAGAATGAATGAGTCTAATCCCAAGCGGTTCAGGCGACCAAAGGTTCGTCACCAATGATCAAATGGCCAACCACTTCACCTAGACTTCACCAAAGCCCTAGGCACCAACCATTTCTACTTTCTTTCATTAGCTGCCAATCGTTTTTACTTTCTTGTTGGCAAGCCAAACCATTCGTCATCTTCCTACACCGGCTCGAGAGAAACAATAGAAGATATCGACAGCACCCCTCGATGGACGCCTTACCATTGGGATCGTTGCCTTGATATAGATAGCACACATATGGACCGTCACAGACATGCCCTTACACATGCACAGTTATTCTTCATTGTAAATTATGTACCATGATCATATTCTCATTTGTGAATTGCATAGTACAAAGTTGAGGTATGAAGAATAAGAGATCCAAGATCTTCTATGTCAACTTATCTTGCAGCGGAAACAAACACACCCTATTGCCATTCACGGTTTTTCTGTATAGTTTCCCCCCGCAGAAGCAAAGAACAAAAGCTAAATCGCACGAGAACTGTATATTGCTCTTTTCCTACTCTTCAAAATGGGAACTGCCAAACCCGAATATCTCTTGCTGGTTGAACTGAAGCCTCACCCTGCACAAGTAACGATAACTTGGGAGATTAGTTGCAGACGGTAAAGATTAATGAATGCCCCTCCCCTAATCTTTGAAGATGGCCGGCACAGTTTCTTCTGTGAAGTATTCCTTCCTCACCGTCTCCACCGGGCAGAATCTCGCCTGCACCAAACACAAAAACCAACAACTAAAGTGAACTACTGTTGACATGATAGAGGGGAAGAGAAAGAAAGCAGCAGCGATCTAACTTGGACTAAAACTCCAGAGCTCTTAAGAAAGCATTTCTTCTAAACAAATTCCAACACACCTACTTTTGCAAGTTTTTTATAAAAACTAGCAATCTCGTTTTAAGCATTGAGTCGTACCAGTGAAGCATAAGATTTTAGCAACGGCTTTGCCAGCTGCCAAAACGGCTTGAAAACAAAGGGAGCTTCAACGAAGAGGACTTCACCAAGCCGCCTTGGATAGTAGTAGTAGAACACATCAAACTGCAGCAAACAAATAAGCTATCAAACAGCCAAAGAGACAGTATCAGTACCACTACATAGGTGGTAAAAGTAAAAGACTCTTAATCATACAAAGTCGATTTTTTTATACTATTCGGTAAAAAAAGAAGCCATGGATTTCAGTCTCATGTTGTTCATAACAGAAATCTAGTTGTCCCAGGTAAAGGGTTCCTGTGTTTATTCAATGAGAAATAAAGCTACAATGGCCAACAATTCAATTTCGTTTCCCATTATAAAAGACTTGATTCTGGATATTACCAGAAAAGTCAGGAACTTCACGTCTGCATTCGCAGTACTGAAGTTCCTGAGATCTATAACTCCCAATATATCATCTTTGCCAGGTGGTAGCATCCTCAAAGCCTTCTCAATCAGGAAAGCACACAACTTCTGGTCGTCTTCAGGAGCATGGACCTGTAAGCATTCATTTTGCGGCCCATAATGAGAACCTAGGCTAGAATCAAGAAAACATGGGCAGAGCCAAAGTACTAGCTGCCTTAGAAATCAGAAACCGTCACATACGAGCAGGGAAACAGGCAACGAAAATGCATACGATCATATGAACTTAAACAAACTATATCGCTCTCAACTGGAAGAGGCTGCTAACTAGAATGACCTAACACTACCACTAAAATTCCCAACCATCAAACGGTTTCCTCATCAATATTGCCACAAAACAAGAAAAAGGATGTACAAAAGTTGCAGCACTTACACCAGGGAAGTGATTAGAAGCCACAACTAGAAGCACTGGCCTGCCATGGACATCAAAAGAGTCATGAACATACGATTTCCCCGTTTTTGCTACACTCTCCACCGACTCCTCAGTCAAATCAGACACCCCAAATTCTTGCCTCCATTTCTAATCAAAGCTGTAGAAAGGAAAGCTTGGAGGCACCAAAATAAAGCCCAATTCAGCAGCAAACACATCATTACTAAAACTCGAGAATCAGCCATCTATCTAGCAATTTCGAATGTGGATATTGAACTTTCAAAAAGGGCAAAGACAATGTAACAGTAGACTCTAATCGAGAGGAGGATACAATGGCTTTGGTCAGTTTCCCAACAGCTTCATCGACGGAGAACTTCCGGTCCTTTAGAAACCAGAGAATCATCTCTTCATCGTCTCTTCCATATTTTCCGGCGGGGAGACTCCCATGATCCTTTGCGAGCTTCTCCTTGACTTCTAAGACAAGCTGCAGCAGAGAATTTTACAAACCTCAACAGTTTTTTTCTCGAAGAGAGACTGAACATATCGCCCGCGGCCTCTAGAGTAATTGAGGAGAGACGAAAGAGATTGGTAGCGTCACCTTCCTTGATTGACCGGCGTCAGGCATACTGCTCCGAACAGAGAATCTGAAGCTCCGAGAAGTGGATTTGGTGAAATTAACGGCGGAGATTAACGGCTGGCGGTAGCCGTGAGGACAAGCCCGGAGCGCCATTTCTCGGGGGAGTGGAAGAGCAGTCGTGCACTAGCTGCTTTGCTTTTTGGAGTGCAGCAGCAGGTGTGGTTCGGCGAATCGGTTATTAGAATCGAGCTCCACAATTTTTTTTTTTCCAGAACCTGTTTGTTTCCCGGGAAAATGACCCATTCGATCCTTTTTTTGTTTTTCTTGGGAGTACATCGGAAAAGGAAAGCAATTAGACGACGATAGATCAACGGTGAGGTTTTGTGGAGTAGGTGATACTGGTGCGTTTGCTGACTTTCTGGGTGTGATGAGTTTGACGACGAGCCATTTTGGGCCGGGGATGGAATGCTTCTGCCTCGTTATTGGGCCTCACAAGTACGGTTGTTAATGATACTAGTCGAGCCATTAGCTCGTTAAAATATTTCCAAACTCGAACTCGGTTCAAGTTATTCATCAATTCTATTATGAAAACGCGAACTCGGCTCGCTTATTTAAATGAAAGTTCGAGCTTTATATGAGGTCGGCTCGCCAAATAAGTTTAACGAGTCCAAATTCAAGTCAAGTCAAGTCATAAAATGTTCATGATAGCTCAAGATTGAGATAAAAATGAGCACAAAATTACATTCCAACCTGTAGCCAAGTCTCTAACAAAATATAACACAATATTAATCCAAATTTCAATACATAAAGTCCATGAATTCCAATCCTTTCTTATGCCAAACCGTTAAATGAGCTTGTTAGCGAGCTTTTGAGCTGAACATGGTACTGTTCGAGTTCGGCTCGTTTAGTTAGCGAGCCAGATCGATTAAGACAATCGAGTGTCGAACGAGTTTTTCTCGAGTCGGACGCGGAATCGTTCATGAGCTGTTTAGTTCATTAACAACCCTACTCACAAGTCACACCATCAAAAATAATTTCTATGATGATTTTTATGATTGTTTAGGTAAGATTGTTACAATACTTGTTTGAATTTCTATGATGATTCTAATTAAAAAGTATCTTTTCTTTTTAACTATTTAAAAACACAATCGCATATACCAAACTCTATAGTTCACTATACACCAAATTCAACAATACATCTACAATACATCAACTTAACAATTAGACAAAACCAAACCAACCATGTCCAACTTTAATCCCCTCACCATTACAATTTACACATTAATATACTCTACTTAACACTAAAATCCATTAATATGGAAAAGGGAGTTTTGATTGAGAGAAACTAATCATCAATACTTCAGTAGTATTGCTGACCTTTCTTCTTCTTCAACTTCTCCTTTTCCTTATCCTCTCGCAGCTTTTCTTCCTCCTTAGCTCTCGCTTTCGATCTCTTCCTCTCTTTCGCCCTCTCATGCCCAAACGCCAATCCGTGATCCTCCACCGTCCTCCGCAGAATCTCCACCAGCTTCTCCGGCGACATCGGACCTTCCATCTGAACACACAAAACCCACAATTAAATCAAGACCCGACTTCTTTAGAAAAAACAATTTAGGGTTTTCCCCCCAAAAAACTGAAAGATCATCACTTGCTGCAGGACGGTCATGTCTTCCCCCGCCGCCGGCGCGACGACGGCGCAGCAAGGGAAAGTTCCGGGCCGGAGCAGCGTTTTGGCCATCTGTCGGCCTTCCCCTCTGTCGGCGAGCGCCCCCCACGTGACGAAATTGTCGTCGAGGTACTGAACCACGCGGTCGGAGGAAAGGGTGTGTTTGCAGAAGGCAGGGGTGAAGTGGCGGTCGGCAGGGGAGTGGAGGTAGATGAACACGAACTTGCGCTCCTCGTCGCCGATCTTCAGTGCCTCCGGGAACCGACACGTGTAGAAGAAAGGGTGGGTGGAGCTTCCATACTGGCGCTCGAAGGTGGACAGAAAGGTCCATTCTTTGTCCTCACCTGCTTCAGGGATCATGTCCCTTCTCCTTCCTCTTCCTCCTCCTGTGCTTGACCCATTTCCCATTTTCTTACCCCTTTGAGAAAGAGAAAGCTTAGCTGATTAATTAGACTGTTACCAATTGGAGACTAGTTTGAGTTATTTATATACATCATTAGCTTGAAAGATGCGTGGCTAATTGTTTGTTCTGATTATGGCGGGAATCATGAAAAAGTTGATCAGATGATTTGTTTGATGGGGAATCCAATCCACACCCTTTTTTTCTAATTTGGCATTATCTTGAGGGGGGAGGGAGGGCTGAGAGATAGATGCTGATAATGGTGGATGATGGAGGAATCCAATTCTTATTCAATTTGCTTTTGTGTTTAGGAATGCTCTGTTTCAATTAGTTGAAACACAGCGTTGATAAGTGTGTGATTGTGACTATGCTTAATGAATTAGGAGGATAAGTATCGTATCTCAAGAATGTGACCTTTGATCTTTATCAGCATCATGCTGAAGAGATTGCACAGCATGTCGAGATTTTTGGATCAACCTATCACGCGTTCTTAATCGTGGGATTGTCGCGTTAGCATTTTGTAAGTAACGTCGATCCAGTAACCGAGAGCACACGAAAGACGGTTAATGGCATTGGCAATGGCATGAACACGCTAGTTTTGAGCGCGATTCACTACAGGTGTCTGAGTAGATCACTCATAAATGGAAGACCTCCATAGCAGCAGCAAATTCTGTGCAACCTTTTTGTACACATTCTACAAGCAAAAAAAAGAAGAAAAGAAAAACAAACCACCACTTCGGTGTCTAGAACACGTCTGACCCATTTTAAGGTTGTGTGAAACCAACAGTACTGTTGGATTTCCCATACCACTTGTCATAAGAAAACTACACAAAAATAGCTATTGCTTGCTTCAGAAGGTTGTCCCAAAATCTTGTTATCTACTACCATTGAATTTTGCTCATCGAAGAGGTTTCTCTTTCTTTGTTCCAGCTTTCTTTTTCAGATGAACCATCACCATCTCCAGCTCTAACCATGAAGGTCAAAGTCGAGATGGAAGAACTGATTAAAAGGGTATGAGGCCTGGAGGGTAGCAGCTGAACTTTTTTTCACACCCACTTTGAGAAGAACACATTTCTGGGAATATAAACAAACGGATCAACTGTGGCTGGTGCCTGTCTGGTGGTGGTAGAAAGTGTAAAAATGGGGCACTTCCCTTTTCTATCTTCCTTCATCTTCATTCATCATCGATGCCTCTCCAACTACTTAAGGGAGGAAATTGCAGGCTGGCAGCTGGTAGCACTTGTGGTTGACTATTGTAGAGAGAGTGTCTCAACCAATTTCGAGGATTAGCTATATAAAAAAAGGTTTCTGATGTATTACCAATGTTAATCACTTCAGGAATGTCTTTTTTTAGTACTGAAATCCTTTCTTTACTGGGTTTCTGATTCCAAGAAAAGCATGGCAATGGTGGCAGCCTTTTCTTTAGTTTTTTTTTTTTTTTCAAGTTAGGAGGCATATTGTGGGGTTGGAAGTTGGCACCCATCCTATGTAGACCCAACTTTAACCATGCCCCTCATTTCTATATATTCCTTCCTGTCAATTAGTTTTGTCTAAGAATGCTCTTTTCTATATTAACCGATCGAGTAAGAATGTTGAACGTAACTGTGATGCGATCATAACAGCAGTACAACACTAATACATCGAATTTCATTACAACTTTGGAAAAGAGTACAGTTGGATCATGATTGTCTAACATCATTGATTTCGGAATTCGTGACATTAGTTAGATGAGTTTAAGATCTCAATCAATTCTGTTATGGCTCGGTTGACACGACCAGTGTATTATATTTCACAGTAACAGTTTTAGTTTCTTTTGTCCAGTTTGTTGCATAGCAAGTGTTGTGGAAAGAAGATAGAACCGAACTAGTACTGGAGAAAGTGGGAGGCATCATACCCCAGACCCAGAGCCCCCTGAAAAGGCCACGCAGCCCTTCAAAGGCACCGCTGCCCTAATAAAGCCCCTAACTTTTCTGCTTGCATCCCCACAAAATTTTCAAAAGATTATGGCCATACCCTTACACTTAACTCATTATTATTTTCTGGGTCCATTCTTCTTTACTGGGTTGTTCCCCATTCCCTTAAAGTTTTGTATTGTTAATGTTTGCTTCAGTTTTACTGTTTACTGTAACCTTGGAATGATCATTTTAAGGCTTCAATGAGACAAAACCAGTAACATGCCATTGCCTTATAACGGCAACTACAATTACTGGCCTTACCTACATGAGGCACCTTCTGTCCTTCTCTCCTTCAACCCATGTTTTACAATATGAAGAAAGAAATAAGGGGTCAGAAGTTTAGGCTGGTCCTAAACATTACTGTTTCTGCTCCGTTATCAGTAGTACGCCAGTAGAAGATTTTCTTTTCTTTAGCCCTTGAAGTTTCAAAACTTGACCACTTGGGTGCTTGCAACTTCCAATTGTGTCATGTGGAGCTTCAACATGCAATTTTGAGTTACATCCGTTATGAATCTGGTCAACTTGAAAGTGTTGCAATCTAATCGAAGGGAAGTGTTCGGTTTGGGGAATTTCGCTATCCTCGTGAACAGGGTAGATCACGAGTTTAAGCACTCTGGAAATCAGACGGACGTGAGGCATGCAGGACACGAGAAAAACACGAGTGATTGTGGAGCATTTCCATTCTGCACACACCATAGACATCAGATTGTTGATCAGACGACTGAGAAGACATAAGCTATATAAGCACATACTCATCCCGGCCCGTTCAATAGCCAATCAGGTTTGGTTTTGATGGAAACCAACTTTGTTAGGGTTTCTATATTTTATTATTATTATTACTACTAATAGGGTAATTCTTATTATGGTTAGAAGTATTCTAGTAGAATTAGGTTTATTAGTAGGGTTTTCCTATATTCGCTATAAATATGTACTAGGCCTATTCATTCAGGAATAATAAGAAGAATATTAAGAAAACTCTCCTAAACCCTAATCTCCCAATCCTCTCGATTCTAGATCTCAATCCCTCTAAAGGCCTAGGCCGATTCTCTATCATTCTCTTCTCAAATTCCTAATTCTGTTCTTGAATCCCTAATTCTCAATCTCACGACCAGACCCGATAGAACCCTAATATCAGGTTCTATCAGGTTTTTGTGGGATAGTGAGGAGAATAGAGGTCGATTTCTGCAGCCTGAATTACTCTCTGGCAATTTGGCTTGGGCTGTGGTGATGGGAGATGGATGGTGACATGGTGTGGTGTGGAAATCAAAGGTAGCATGAACTGCATTTTGCAGGATACATAGGTCCCATATTGACAACAATCATGGTCGAGTAATTAATGTGGTTGGAGGGTTTTTGTTTTCTTCCAATTCAACTTTTGGTGTAAATTTGGTGGCGTTAGATGCAACCCAAAATCCCAACTGCATAGTAATTTAGACCCAGAAGATAGCAGCTGCCAAGCTTTACTGGCGCCATTGTACTGCAAGAGAGGACCATGTTTTTTATACAGATCCCGTATGAATGGTAATGAATGTGAAAGTGTCCTCTTTTGTAAAGAAATTTAATTATGGGGATAGACCAATCTTAATCACAATACCTGCACCTGCAAGCCAGTCAACCACCTCTAACAGCTCATATTAAATGTTAATGTCTCGTTAACAAGGTTGTCAAACCACTATGAGACAGGTCAGTTGGACCAGGTCCGATTGGAACTGTCATGAAACGGTTTCCAGAAGTCATTTTGAGTGTTAGCCTGTAGCCAGTCATAATCGAGAAAATCGGTGGACGGACAAATCTTTAGGTTTCCAACACGATGACAAAATGTCGTCCTTTAGGAATGGAATATGCTCAAATGAGATGAGACTAGTGTTTTAATGAGTTACATATATACACACACACTTAAATGCAAGGTTGTCACCTAGCGGATTGACTCGTACTCGATGAGGAAAAAGAGCGGCACACACCCATGTGTCGACCCGGAACAAAGTTCTTGAATTGAAGGCCACACGACGTCGTTTTTTCCTTTGGTTTGTGAATATTGTCTATTTTCCGAGTTTGGCCTTTGCCAACGGGCTAAATCGGGTTGACAACCTTACTTTAATGTAAAAGTACTAAATGATACTTATAAAGTACATTTCATTTTACTCATTAAAATTTTAAATTACTATCTTATTTATATATATTTGAAAATATATAAAATAACTCAAACAAATTGCAATGTGTTTACACCGTTGAATCTCAAACACTAACTTAGCAAGTTAAATCAGTTTGACAAGCTTGCTCCTTAACCACTACTTGAAAGTATTACTATACATTAAATTCATTACTATTATGCAACTATATAAAGTTGTTTTGGAGCGAAACAAGAATGAGAGGGAAGCACATGGTTAATTATCTGAAGTGATGATCCTATCCATCCACCCAAACCTAATTAACAGTAGAGTCTAAGATGAAATTATGAGGGTGATTGTTTATTATTAGTGACGGAAAGCGGTATAGGATGAGCTACAACTCTTCTCAATATTTGATACAAAATTATAATTGTGTATTCATGTGTTAAGAAAAAAAAATAAGGACTATTGTTTAGGGATGGCAAAAATATTCATAACTGTGGATATCCGTCCGAATTCGATCTAATTGGGTAGGGTAAAACCCGAACCCGAAGGACTTTTAATGGGTATGGGTAAAACTCGAACCCGAATATTGCGGGTATTGGGTGGGCATGATTTTTTCACTATCCAACCCGACCCCGCCCGATTATACACATGCATATGTATTTTGTCTACAAATAATCAATATGTTTCTCTAACATATTTTTTATGTAGAAAATAAATATAATATTTTTATGAAATTGTGTTGTTTTAATTAATTTTCTTCATTCTAGTGAATTATTGTCGTACTTTTCGTCTTACGTAACATGAGAATACGTGTGAATATTAACATATTGGTTGGAATTATAAAGAGAAACTATTATCCATGGATAACCGTGAAAACCCGAAACCCGAACGGGTATGGGCACGGTTTGGATTTTCTATTTGTTTCTCATGTGGGTATGGGTATGGATAAAACCCGACCTACTTTAAATAGGGTAACGAATATGTACTATCCGTCCTCGACTCGACCCATCGTCATCCCTACTATTGTCTAGCATCTAATTAACTTTCGGATGAAAGAAGAAAATTCAATCATTGTAAGAGAACAATTCGAGTCAAAAGAGAGCCAACATTTAGTATTATTTATCATCATGGGTGTCTCTTAGACATTATGATGATCCATTTGGCCCATTCCCTCCAAAGATTACTAAATTTCTCAATCACCACAACGTGTTGGTCTCACCACTTTCTGAAATAAGGCTCTTCCTTTTCTAGACTACATTCCTTTAAAGCATAATAATTAGTTATCATGCACGGCTTGCAAGTAATGGTGGGATCCAAAAGCTGATTTTTTCATTATGATTCTTGCCAACTATTGGATGAAATCAGCCTGACGTATGTGGATATCAATTTACTTCCGAATAATACAATATAAACTCATAATGGGTACATTGAAAGGATTTTGATCTAGTTATAACGCTTAAAGTTTACGAGTCAAAATGAGTTTGGATATATCGAGTTAAGGATTAACATGGATGGTTGGTAGTCGTGGATTAGGGCATTGCATGTCATACGTTAAAACTAGTTAGGTGATTGTATGTTGCGAGACATGTTATACATAAGACATCATGGACAATATGTGGTAAGAAAAAGAAAAATCGACAAAGGGCTGCAGGAGACATACAGGTAACAAGCAAGTAAGCACCACTAACTGCAACGGTCCGACCTGTTTGATTGGATCTCGACGAGTATCGGTGAAAGAGTCATGTGTCTCAACTAGTCTTCTAGGCAACTGTTCAGTCTTTCAGTTTGTCCATCTGTCTGGGATGGTAAGCTGTGGAGTAGTGTAGATCCCCACCTTGTAATTCAAATAGCTTGGACCAAAAAATTGTTGTGGAGACTGCATCTTGTCTAAAACAATGGTCTGACATGCCATGGAGCTTGAATATCCCATCAATAAACACTTGAGTCATTCCCATTGTTGTATAAGGTCTGCTAATGCTGAAGAATTGTCCATGTTTGGAGAACCTGTCCACCACTTTCTTTCATGTAGACTTAGGAAAACCATCAATGAAGTCCATAAAAATGTGTTGCCAAGTTCTTTCGGGTAATGGCAAGGACTGCAATAGAGCAGGATATGGTACATTCTCAATCTTACAACGCTTGCATATATTGCATTCTTTCACAAAATCCTTAACCAAGTCACTAGAAGTATCTCTTGAGACTTTGATAAGTAGCATGCACTCTAAGACACCACCTACTGGTGGGTCATGAAACAACTGAAAACTTCAGACTCTCATATTCCCTACTGAGCCTACATACAAATGCATATCTATGGTATAGCAAGTTGTGTTTTACTGAATTCATCCTAAATACAAATGCATATCTATGATATAGCAAGTCGTTTAGTATCACACACTCGGCCGTAAAAATACTTATTCCTACACTTGTAACAAACTCTTATCACCATGTTGCCTTTTTAGTCATTAGCAGGCAATGTATGCTTAGCAAGTTGAGCCTAGGATTTTCCAACTTCCTAAGGGTGGAGGATGAGTCTCCTGCAACTGTACTAACAATTGGTTGAGTTATTAAACCCCCTTAGTTTTCTTCTCCTTGTTTTATTAGAGACTTCTTCCAGCTTAGACAATTTATTATCTTCTGGTATATTTATTATTCCTTCTAGATATTCGTTTATTATTTTTACTAATTTATCTATCTTATTGAAAAAAATTCCATTAGCCATTCTAGTAATAATATGTTTAGAAGGTTTTCTAATTTTTATATTAAACAGTACTTGATGAAATATAGTTTTGGATGTTTTGACTACCAAAAGGTAATTAAATTAACCATAAAAAAAGATAATTAAATTCAAGATTGGATGAAAAACTAGACGAATGCACATTTCAGAGACTTTAATGATATCCGATGATACCCTATTCAAACTGAAGTGATATGTCTACTCCAATTCTAAACTTAAATGGTATCTAAGGTATTTTACCCAATAAATTCCAAGTTTCGGGATATCTTGAACCTCAAGAGATTTCTCCTTTCTTACTTTTGGTGAAAATTCAAGAGATTTTCCTTACACAACTGAAACTGCGAAGAGAGACAGCAATAGAATTCTACACAGCAACCCACAACCCAAGTTTGACTCCTTTTTTGGTTTCCTGACAAAATTGGGAATGCTTTCTGAAGTTCAACCCCAAAAATTGAAAGCAGAAAGGGGAAATGAAAAAACAAAATCAAAATGGCAGCTCTCGAACTATTTACCAGTATTGAAAAGAAAACAAAGCAAAGATGACGATGATGTGTGATTCCCTTTCTTTCCTCACCTTCTCCATAAGTCCCAGAGAATATAGCAGACTGATCAATTTGGAAGATCACAACAATGTCCCAACCTTCCCTTAATTCAAAACCCCCCCTTAACTCCCACTCTCTACTCTACTGTCATTCTTCTAGAGATTAACTGAAAAAAACAGAGCACAATTACTCTGTTTTCTCCCTCTCTCTGTAGTCTGTACTGACCACTACAGCAAACAAAAAAGAAAAAGTGTATTCAGAAAGTGAGCCTCTGCCCATCTGGGTCCTATTTTAATATGCTCCTCTCCTCTCCTATTAATGCTCCCCCATCTCCCCCAACCTTTTTCTTTTGTGCATTTGTGTGTGTGCTCTCTCTGTCAGATTTCAATACCAAGAGAGAGACCACCAGAATCTCTGTTACACATAACCCCAAACTATTCTACAAGAAACAGAGGAGAGAGAGAGAGCTGTTTTGAGGAGAACAGCCCAACTACTGAACAAATTAAAAAAAAAAAAAAAGAAGAGCTGGTTGGGTTGGTTGTTTCTATAGTTTCTTATTCGAGGGGGGTTATTGAGTCTTGAACTTGTAGATTGAGTTTTGTCTTTCCTCGAATGGCAATGAGAGCGTGCTCCAATTTTGGATCGACATGAACAAGAAGAGAGATGAAGAAGCTGGCTGAAGCAGAAGATGGCTCAATATTTCCATGGAGAAGAAGACAACAAAAAACCCACCTTCTCCTTCGTCTTCCTTCGCAACAGGAACCTACCACCACATTAGCCCCAGCGATACAAACAACACACAAGCAACTACATTATTATTATTATTCTTCAAAAATGGCTGCTTCTTCTTCTTCTTCTGCTACTACCCTGACTCTTTCTCTATCTCTATCCCACATTTTTGTTGCTTTCCTGCTTGTCTCCCTCTGTTACTCCGCATCCCCTGTCTCGTCGGATTCCTCAGCCAACAGCACCCAGACTTTCCTGCCAAGGAAAGAACTGCTCAAGCTTAAGAGAGTCAATGCTTATCTCAAGAAGATCAACAAGCCTGCTGTCAAGACAATTCAGGTTCTTTTCCTCCCTCCCTCCTCTCCTTTCCCTTTTCCTTCATTTTTACTTTCTAAACGCGGTTTGGGGGAGTGGGTTTTGATGCAGAGCCCTGACGGTGATGTGTTTGACTGTGTATTGTCCCATCTTCAACCAGCATTTGATCATCCCCTGCTCAAAGGACACAAACCCTTGGTTGGTTGATCCACAAATTCCTCCTCTCCTCTTCCACTGTTTGTTTCCTGAGAAAAATGCACATTTCATTGCTTTTCGACGAAACTCTTGAGCTTAATTTATCGATTCATCTCACTCCAGGATCCACCAGAGCGGCCAAAGAGCAATGAGACATCAGGAACAGAGGAAATAATAGCAGAGAGCTTCCAGCAATGGCACGATTCAGGGGAATCCTGCCCTGAAGGAACCGTTCCAATCCGAAGAACCACGGAGAAAGACGTTCTTAGAGCAAATAAGCTCAGGCGATTCGGAAAGAAGCCCATCAGACATCTCAGGAGGGATTCTTCTGGAAACGGCCACGAGGTTTGTAACTACCATTACCAATCGCTTACTCATTCAATCAGGGGAAGAAAGAAAGAAAGAAAGAAAAGATGCTATCTTTTTCCACTTTTACATTTTCGGTTTTGATTTTAATGGTGGCAGCACTAACTAGTAACTACTACTGCAGCACGCAGTGGTGTTTGTGAATGGAGAGCAGTACTACGGAGCCAAGGCGAAACTAAACGTGTGGGCGCCAAAGGTCACCGATCCTTACGAGTTCAGCTTGTCGCAAATTTGGGTCATCTCTGGCTCTTTTGAAAATGATCTCAACACCATTGAAGCTGGTTGGCAGGCAAGTTGATATGAACCACCTGACCCGACCCAAACCCACCAAAGCGACTTTACATCTCCTTTATGATTGATGGGGAAAAAAGAAGAAGCTCACTTGGGTTTGCAAATTACTCTGTTTTTGGTGGTTTTTGCAGGTGAGCCCTGAGTTGTATGGGGACAGCTACCCGAGATTCTTCACTTATTGGACTGTGAGTGTTAGTCTTATTTAGATCTGTTGATGTTTTTTGTGGGGGGTAAGCAAATGAATGATTAAACACTGTGATTAACTGCGATTCGCGCGAATCGAATGGACAGACGGATGCATATCAGGCAACAGGATGCTACAACCTGCTGTGTTCTGGGTTTGTTCAGACCAACAACAAGATAGCCATTGGAGCTGCAATATCTCCCAGGTCGTCTTACAGGGGAAGGCAGTTCGATATTGGCCTAATGGTCTGGAAGGTATGAAACAAGCAACAACTAGACTCCTTTCTTTCCTTTGTTCTTTGTGTTGATTATTATTAAAATAGAAACAAAGGCGAAGATTCTCTTGATTTTTCATTTTTGACAAAAGGTTGATGTTGATGTGTCAAAGTATATTTTTAATTCTTGTTTTTTTGGGGTTTAATATGAATATATATATTGCTTTGACCTAATTAGTGACCTCCAACTGGCTCTCTACTCTCTGGAACTGGAGTCTTCCCTTTTCTTATTAAGTGCAGAGTCATTGACATTTGACATTTTGACTCACTCCAGCTACATGCAAAATTTTCTAATTGAGCTTACTTGGTTCTATTTGGACTGCTAGTTTATTTTTTACACCTACTTTTTGAATTACACATATAATCTCAAAGGTATTACTACATAAAAAAATCTGAAAATGTATTTTTTTTAAGGATGAAATAAGTTGATTTTCACAGTTAGATGCTACTAGGGGTGACAAACGGTAAGTCGGTAAACGGTTTACCGTTTTACCGAACCGGTAACTGGCGGTAGTATTGGCAGCCGATGATCAAATGAGGAAGCTCGGTTTACCGGTCCCAAAATCGGTAAATACCGACAGTAATTCGGTAATACCGATACCGGATCAATTAAGGCATTAACTAATAACATATACTTCATTATTCACAAATATTACATACATGAATGGAAGTAAGTAAGTATAGGCCTAAAAAATATTATAAATAAGGGTTAATAATAATTTATTAATTACAAAAATGAAGAAAAAACTCAAAAAAATCAAAATATTACAACATTACCCCATAGCCCAGATATTCGGTTCGGTAATTTTCCGGTAAACCTAACCGAAAAACCGTCTGCAACTACTCTTTACGGTAAATCGGTAAAACCAGTTTGTAACCGTTTACCGGTAATTCGGTAACCGGTAAACCGGTTACAAACCGGTATCGGTAATCGATTCCCACTTACCCACACTCGGTATACCGAAAACCGGTAAAGTCGGTAACCGGTACCGGTTACCGACCGAATATCACCCCTAGATGCTACTGAAGGATTCAAATATGATATATTGAGATTCAAGACATGTATTACTACTGGATCAACTAAAATATAATTTAGACATCGAACCAAATACGAAGAAAGAAGGATTAACGGATTAAACATTTTCCTTTAGTTCTACCAAACAAAGAAAATTTTCCCAAATGCTACAACTAACCTATACCTGATATAATTAAAGGAGATGAACAGAGAAGTAAGTAAGTTACACCACCAACCAAACTTTGGTCGCTGAAACCATCCATTATTAGGTCAACTCTGATCTTTGTATTAATTACCAATAACAATGAGACTGAAAAAAATCGTAATATAATAAACTAATTAATGCAGGATCCGAAGCACGGGCACTGGTGGCTGGAGTTCGGGTCGGGTCTCCTGGTGGGTTACTGGCCGGCGTTCCTGTTCAGCCACCTGAGGAGCCACGCCAGCATGGTGCAGTTCGGCGGCGAGATTGTCAACTCGAGGTCCACCGGCGCCCACACCTACACGCAGATGGGGAGCGGCCACTTCGCCGGCGAAGGGTTCGGGAAGTCGTCGTACTTCAGGAACCTGCAGACGGTGGATTGGGACAACAACTTGCTGCCTCTCAGTAGCATGCATTTGCAGGCCGACCACCCTAATTGTTACGATGTGAGGCAAGGCAGGAACACGGTTTGGGGCACGTATTTTTACTATGGAGGTCCTGGGAGGAATATGAGGTGCCCTTAATTAATTCACAAAAGTATGATCATGGGTTTTTCTTTTTTTTTTTGGGTTTTGTTATTAGTAAATTATCATATATTTTTTTTTATATAATTTTGTGCTTGCTAATAATATAGATTTGGATTGGTTTTCTTGGGTTTTTTTTTACTTTGTATTTGTATCTTTAGGGTTGAGGTCTTCTTTCTATATGTAACAGGCTGGTATTGTGTATAATTTTTTTTTTTTTAGTACATGATGTGAATGAAATCGGAGTGGCGTCTTTATCATTTTTTGAATAGGAGTGAATGAAACAACTCGAAAATCCTGCTCATTTTGTTTGTGTCACTTGATTTAGTACGCCCATATTTATCAAACTAAATAGAATTTTAGGGGTGAATGAGACATCGGGGCGGTGAAATGTAAAATCAAGGTGATTGTGGATGAGTGCGATTCGGGTTTACGAAACAAAACCAAACCGACCTATGAACTGCGTTTTTGTTTTCTCTCGTTTTCTTAGAATTTGGTACTTTTTAGCTGACAAAACTTTATCAATGAACAAACGTTATGTCTGAACAAATAATTCACTGAAATTATAAGCCATCATAAGTATAAATACATGTGAGATCCATAAAATATTTGAAAGTTCTTCTATTCAACCCTTTTTACTTATGCTTATTGCTACATTCTCTCGTCTCATCTTTATTTTGCTAATACTATAGCAACTTCCGTGTACATTTCAAAAAGTTCAAATCCTTGATAGTTGGACATATAACTTATAACCAACATCCAACAATTGAAAGTATAATAATACTAGTACAACTAATAAAGAGATGTTTTTCTTAACATTTGAAACAACAAATACCTAATCTTGGGAACCAATTTTCTTTTTTGGTTATGGGAAGGTGAGACTGCATGTGGGTATGGATCAGGAAACTACCCATATTTTAAGAGGGTGGGTTTGAAAATTGGGGTTGGCCAATGAAGCAATGGAGAATCTCAGTTGTTGCTATTTTATAATGCACCAGTTCAAGATTGGGATTCAGTCAAAACACCAAAAAAGAAAATTAAAGATTGGGAGAAGAGAAGAATATTGCTTCCAAGAGAGTCAAACCCTCCAATATGATCTTCAGGCTTCCAGCCAAACCCTCCTTATCCAACAAAGGGCTTTGTCCTTTTCCAACATGTAACCATTTTGATTTACATATTAAATTACTCACTTGGAGAATTGCAATTACAGTCCCCATTTTTTGACAAATTTGTTTTGTGTTACTTTTTAGTTTTGTATAGTGGTCATGTCCTGTTACCAAATTCCTGACTGGAAGTGGGCAATCACCATGTTCAAAGGGCAATGAGCCAATGACTCATTCTTGTGAAGTAGTGAAGTACATTTGAGAGAGGGGAGTCTAAAGGGCCAATTCAACTGGGAAAAGGGGGCACTAAAAGATGGCATGAAGAGTGCTAAAAAGAAAAAGGAAGCAACTTTGTGGGACTATTGCAAGTAAAGTAAAGCAAAGCAACTAGTAGATGCAAATAAAAAGCTGAGCCCATTTCATGTTCAGATGTTCCTCTTTTTGGGTTCTTTTGTTTTGTCGAAAATCTCTTACGAATTTAAATTGGCGAAGTTATTCGAACAAATGAAAATAATCAATGGCAATTATGTTTATTCTAATAAATTGATGATAATTTCATTAATGAATAGACCGTCTAACGAAATAAAGTCTAGTAAACTTGACATTAAAAAATGTCAACCCGAACTTTCCCCAGAGCATACTGGGATGTATTTGAGTAAATCTTTGGTACTGACTATGTGAGAACCATAGGCCAGAATTTCATGCTCATCAGAACTACGACTTGGTTGATCATGTAGATGCACAATTTGAAAAACTCTGGATCTTCCAAAACTTCACACTGAGATCCATTGCAAATCCTGGATATCCAGCAAGACCATTTATGGATTCCTCCACTTTCCCTACTATCCTTCGAGTGGCGTAGAGATTGAAGGTGTAATGTTGAGTCACCTGAGATGAACTTAAGATGACTGATGTTTTATTGTATGTGTATCGATGGAAGAATTTGAGTCACCAGGAAAACACAGAAGTCAACAAAACTCATGCCTGTAAGGTAAAGAACAAAATTCTAGACCATCTCAATCTAGGGTCTGTCTCAGTTGATGCGATAATCTAGATAATTTGGACACAGAACCTGATCAAGATGGACAGAAAGGCTATCGTACCAGTTAAGTGTATATGGTGGTGAGCTACGATTTATGTGAGTTGAGTTAATGATCTGTAGTTAGAGAGTGGGGCCCATTTATGGTTGTTAAGCCCATGCAAGCCCATGCAATTAGGTTAGACGTGTGAGAGATGAAGTATGACCTAGTGTGCAGAATATATAAGGAGAGTGATGAGGGATGCCGCTTATGTACATTGATTGTGTGATTCTTCTCAGTAAATCAGTAGCCTGAAGAGCGTTCTAAGCTCTTCCGTGGATTAGTCCTGGATATCCAGGGATACCACGTAAACACCTGTGTCTGTGTCCGATCTGTTTTTCGTTCATTAATCTGTTTCTGTATTAGTCAACATGGTATCAGAGCTTAACGCGGCTGATTCGGAGAAGCCGACTGTGCGTCTCACGTCGACAAACTATTCCCTATGGGAATTTCAGTTCAGAGTTTTTGTGGAAGGAAGAGGCTTGCTGGGAATATTGGATGGGACGGTTCCTCGACCCACTGCTGCATCTGCTTCTCCTCAAGAAATATCAACGTGGAATCAAAATGATGCTCGGATCAGGTCGTGGTTGTTGGGGTCGGTTGATCCGTCGACTTGCCTCAGTCTTCGCCTATTTCCCTCTGCGAACAGGATGTGGAGACACCTATCTGGTCTCTACTCTACAGTAAATGCCGCCAGGCAATTTGAAGTTCAAACCGTACTTGCACGTCTGGAGCAAGGTGATCGGTCGGTCACTGATTATTTTAATGCCGCACAGGAGTTGTGGACGGAGCAAGATATGCTTCACATAGCTCTTCATCCTCATGCTGAAATGACCGCCGACACGATAGCGGAACGACAACAAACAAGGGTTCTACAATTTCTTATGCGTTTGAGGCCCGAATTTGAGATGGTGAGATCGACTATCTTGAACTGAGAGCAGCTGAACTTTGATGGTGTAATCAGCAGCCTTGTTCGTGAAGAGACTAGGCTGAGAACACAGGCCCAGTTTGATGTTCGACCTGGTGAAGGGGAAACAATGATTGCCGCAGCAACAGCGTCGGCGAGACAAGGTATGGGTCAAAATTTGAATGCTTTTGCTGTGACAAGGCCGCAGTTTAATAGCCGAGTCCCGAATGCTGAACTAGAGTGTCACCACTGCCATGAGAAAGGGCATTTGGTGAAGCATTGCCGTAGAAGAAATTATTGCGTATATTGCAAAAGGATGGGCCACATAATTTTGGAATGCCGCACTCGGGAAAGAAATGCTGATCGTTGGACTGGGACTCCAAATGTTGATGGACGTGGAGCTGGACGTGGTGCTTCCTATCGTGGTGGACGTCCCGCATATATGGTTGGGGAATCAAGTAATGCTGCTGCCGCTGAAAGCTCGACTGCTGCCCAATTGGAACAACTTGTGCAAGCTGTAGCGGCATTGCAAAGCTCTTTGCCTACTGCTTTTGGTTCGGCTCTCTCGGCACTACAAGGTAAAATCAAACATAAACCTTGGTTGATAGATTCAGGATGTTATAACCACATGACCCATGATAAAAATTCATTGATTAATGTTCGGCCTATTAGTCATGTTGGTTTAACAGTCGCGAATGGAGATAAGATGGCTGTTCAAGGAGTGGGTACTGTCAAAACCCCAAAAATATCATTGTCGCATACTCTTCATGTTCCTGCTTTGGTTCCTAATTTGGTTTCAGTCGGACAACTTACTGAACAGGGTTGTTCTGTTATATTTGCTCCTACTGGTTGTATTATACAGGACATGAAGACGGGGAGACAGATCGGAAGGGGGAGTAAGCAGGGGAGGATATTTCATCTCGAGGAGCTTCAGAACAGTGCTATTCCTTTGTCTACCTCGAGTTCAATCGTGTCTAGGTCTGTCAGTAGTCCTCTTGTGTCCACAGAAACAAATTCAGTTATTGATCCTGTTTTTTTGAGTTTGTCGAATAAGGAGTGGGATCTTTGGCATGCTCGATTGGGGCATCCCCACTCCGCGCGTCTATCGAAAATGTTTAAACAATCTCTTTTAGGAAAGAATTCTGTGAGTCCTTTGGCTAAACATTCTTGTACAAGCTGTGTGGAAGCGAAAGCTTCTAGTACTCATTTTCCTTCTAGCACTACTGTTATAAATGAGCCTTTTCACCTCATCCACACTGATCTTTGGGGACCTTCTCCTACCTTATCTCGTCTTGGTTTTCGATACTTCGCTCTGTTCATAGACCATGCAACTAGATACACCTGGATCTACTTTCTTCGGTTGAAATCTGAGCTTTGTTCTGTGGCTATAGAATTTCTAAATATGATCCAAACTCAGTTTGGAAAAACTGTTAAAATTATCCGTTCAGATCCAGGTGGAGAATTCAGTTCAAACCCTTTGCATGTTGTTTATCGTTCTCGGGGTATCTTGAGTCAAATGTCATGTCCTGGTGTTTCACAGCAAAACGGTCTTGTTGAACGGAAAAATAGACATGTCGTGGAGCTCACTCGAGCTCTTCTTTTTGCCTCGTCAGTTCCTAGCCGTTTTTGGCCGGAGGCTGTTGTCACTGCTGTGAGAATTATCAATTATCAAGTCACTTCTGTCCTTCAACAAAAGAGTCCTTACTATGTTCTTCATGGTCATCATCCTGATTATTCTTGCCTTCGAGTTTTTGGTTGTCTCTGCTTTGTACTTTTGCCTAAACGTGAACGTACTAAGTTAACTTCTAAAACTGCTCGTTGTGTTTTCCTCGGCTATAGTAGTGTTCATAAAGGGTACATTTGCTATGATTCTTCTAGCCAGCGTATGAGAATATCTCCTACTGTTGTCTTTTTCGAGCACTCCATGTTCTATACCAACTCGCCTAAATCAGATACCGATTTCCTTGGTTCCCATTCTTTGCTCCCCATATTTGATGACTTTGATGATGGGATTTCATTGTCCGATGAGCCAGCCGCTCCTCCTTCCCCCCCCCCCCCCAGCACTGTCTTCCCCCACATCGAGCACCAGTAGCGAGTCCGAGACATCATCAGCTTCATCTGCTCACGATAATGGTGATTCCACTTCTTTGTCACCACCTGCCTCACCTCCTCCCCGGCGATCAGACTGATCCAACAAAGGTGTTCCACCTGCTCGCTTCCAGGATTTTGTGGTCCATGGCGTTGACACTTTAATTGTGCCTACCACTTACAAACAGGCCCGCGGCAATCCCATCTGGGATCGTGCTATGCAAGATGAATTTGGAGCTCTGGAAGCCAATAGGACATGGACTGTTGTTGATAGACCGGATCCTTGTCCACCTACCATAGGCAGTCGATGGGTATATGCTATTAAGGTTCGTCCCGATGGTTCTGTGGAACGGAATAGAGCACGTCTGGTTGCCCTTGGCTACACCCAGGAGCACGGAGTGGATTACAATGAAACTTTTGCTCCTGTAGCCAAAATGTCTACAGTCCGCACTCTACTGGTAGTTGCTGCTTTGAACGACTGGCCTCTATACCAGCTTGACGTGAAGAATGCGTTTCTTCACGGCGATTTAGAGGAGGTGATTTACATGGAGCGCCCTCCTGGTTACACTGTTGGGCACGAAGATCAGGTTTGTCTGCTACATCGATCTCTTTATGGTCTCAAACAGGCACCTAGAGCCTGGTTTGAGAAATTTCAGTCTACAATTGTTCAGCTGGGGTTCAGTCAAAGTCTCAATGATCCTTCTTTATTCAAGAAGGTTTCTTCAGCGGGTATAGTTGTTCTTCTCCTATATGTCGATGATATGGTGATTACAGGTACCGACTCCCATGGGATATCTCAGCTCAAAACCGGGTTGAAGCAGGCCTTTAGTATCAAGGATATTGGTACTCTTAATTATTTTCTCGGTCTGGAGGTTAGTCGTAATGATCAAGGCATCCTGCTCAGTCAGAGGAAGTATATCTCCGATCTGCTGTCGGATCATAATTTTGATGCTTGCAAACCCGTGAAGACTCCAATGGAGATGAATCTCAAACTGCAGAAGGATTCTGGTGACCGACTGAAGGATGGTTCACAATATCGCAGCATAGTAGGTAGTCTTATTTATCTCTCAGCTACTAGACCCGATATCTCCTATGCTGTACAAGCGGTTAGTCAGTTTATGGCTGCACCCTGTGTTGGTCATCTCTCCGCTGTGCATCGCATTTTGAGATACCTGCACGGTACACAAGACTTTGGTATTTGGTTCCCTTCCCATGGTTCTCCTTCGATATCTGCTTTTTCAGACTCAGATTTTGCTGGTTGTATCGACACGCGACGGTCTTCTTCAGGTTGGTGTGTGAAGTTTGGTTCAGCATATATTTCCTGGCGGTGCAAGAAGCAGGATAAAGTTTCCAAATCATCGACTGAAGCCGAATACCGGGCCATGTCTGAAGTTGGATCTGAAATGGTATGGCTGGGTCGTTTATTGTCCGATTTTGGTATCTCTTGTC